GTAGTTAAAACGGAGGTAGTATGAATTAAAGGTGATTTAAAAGGCTTCTAAACAAACTTTGAAACATTGTTTTCACAAGTTTCTGTGACAATTGACACCTGTCAATTTTTAGAGCTCGCAAGAAAAAAAAAGCTCATGTACACTTCTGAAAAAAATACCAACGGTACTGGTTTGGTAAACGAACTCAAGCTCAATAACTGTCACGACAATGTTTTCTTAAAACCATCAAATGATCTCACAGAGAGTATTATTCACTTCCATCGATGCTTAGTGTACAAAGAATACCTCTGTAAATTGCAAGGAAAGTAATTGTGAGTAAATTCAAATGTATGCTTTGAAGTTGTGTGAGTTTGCTCGTTTGTTTGTTGCAGTGGGGCGTCTAAGTCTGGTCTTTTTCAACCAGGTAACTAAAGTCAAATGAGACACTTTAGCTAGACCCAAGGGAAATTTAATGCAGCTTTTTCTCGTTGAATTCATTTGGTTTATGTCGTTCAATTTTCGGTACAAATGGCAAAATTGAACGGGTTGACTTGCAAAGACTTACCGAAAGCGTATTTAAAGTAGGATGCGAATGCATCACATCGCTTTGGTCAGAAGAAATTTTCATTTCCAGCTGTTGTCAACACAGCCAGTAGTTATCGAAAAATTATTGAAAAAATAAGCCGCTAAGATCTTGAGAGTGCAGGTGTTTAAAAGAGCCTGCCATTTTGAGGAAAGATCCGATGAAATTGTGAGGGAACATCATCTGAGCGTCTGAGGCCATTCTTTCATTCATATATCTCCGTCAATTAATTTTTTTTCCAGTCATTTCTAGCCCACGTATTTTTTCGTGAAGATTGAAGATTGAAGTGATGAGGAGCTCTGCTGCACTTTCTCGCTGCCGCTATACATAAAACTTCTCACGGTGATTAGGGAAAATAAATGGCACTTGTCGACGAAGACATTTATAATCATCAGTTATAAGTCTCTTTGATCTAAGGAATGAAGGGGTTAAGAATGCAGGGAAAAACCAAACTGCAAAAGCAAATTTCCTTGCGTCTTAGCTTGTGCTTTTTAAGTTCGATCACGAGTCCCTTTATTCCTTCCTCCATTAACTCGGTTTTTCCTTCATTTGTTCATGCGTTTCGAAAGCCATTCTCTGTTTAGTTCGTCGAGTCGTTCACGCGTCGGTTTGTCCGTCCATTCCTTTGTTTACTTATTTTAGTTCACTCATTTTTCATAGTTTGACCACTCGACTGGTACACTTTTCATTTTACTGACGGTAGCTAACTTGGAAAGCGTCTCTAAGCTCCTTTGATTTCGACGGGCTATTTTTGTGATCTATATTTTCGTCATCTACTTGAGCGGCAAGTCTACCTGACGCAGATTTATCGAGGAAGATAAACTATTTTGTCATTTACTGCCTACAGCCTTCAATATTATATTCTCTCCTATGTTTGCCCCCCCCCATATGTTTGCGCATTGCAAACAACAAATAATACCTTACCCAATTAGTTGTAATGATGATAAATGATGTAACACAAAGAGAGCTATTTTTTACTCTGAAAGTATAATAAACACGAAAGTATCCTACGAAATTGTATCTATGAATTTTAACTACAACTTTGGTATAGTTAAGAGGTTCCACTATAAATATTCTTGATCTTTGTAATAGGTGTTTCGGGCAGGAGGTAGGTGCGTGTTTAGCAGCAAGACTCTCTCTAAGTAAGGTTCTCTCTTTCCCTTTCATTCTTAGTTAAAGATAAAAAAGGAAACAATTTTTAGTGTTTGATATCCTCTAAAAGCAACATGCCTTCTAGGCCGAGATTCAGCCGATTTCAATGGGAAAACTTGTTCAGTACCGTCTCTTACAAAATTTAACTGGATATAACTTAACGTTTGACGTCGTTGCTATAAACTAATTCAATGGTAGTGGAACTGGCTAACAATTAACTATGATTCTACCATAAAAGTAGCACGACTGAAAAAGCCAAGATGAGAAACACGTCATGCAAGACCACAGGTGTCTTCCCAGCAATCTGATCAAAATCACCTTGGAAAAAAAAGCAAATGGTTAAAATGGAAGAATAAAGAATTAAATTAAAAGAAAGGATAACAAACTATTCATGTGACAAACTATATTCCTCTCTCTCTTAGCAGTTTTATGGCGAGCCGTTACAGCCTGAGAATGAGAGTGAGACAGAGTGAGACTTATAATAGAAAATCACTGGCGAGATTGATTTTCACTTGCTTGCCAAAAAAAAGGAAACTATTTAGCGAGAAAAAAGAAATCCGCTGGTGAGATATTAGAACTCGCCAGCTAGGAAATAGGAAGCTGACAGTAGCTCAGAAAACTAAGGACTGTTGTAGAAGGCTTTATGATAAAACCGATGCTGCATCTGGTAAACCGTATATATTCAGAAATCAGCCTTATATCAAATTCGGTTTTGCTTAGAAATTATAAAATCTATAGTCTCTCGGTTTTGTTTAAGACCCAGTTAGGACAGTTCTTCACAAATGTACAAGGTCTCAACTTCTATTCGTGGGCTGCGTTAGTGACTTCTTTAAGTCACAAACGCAGCTCTTTTGCCCAAGACGGGAAACCCTTTTTTTCAACTGTTATACTATACTTTTTCAGCTGTTGTGCTCGATTTTGTTTTTCTTTCTGTTTTTGTTTTCGCCGAATTTAACTCTGCATACAGCCTTAGCGTCAGAGTAGTCAAAGAAACCTAAGGACTGGATTATATCAAGAAGTACCTTTAACGCTCATGATGAACCTTTATTCAAGCATTAAAATTCTCAATTTATACAACATACACCTATTTTAAATGGGAAAGATTATCTCTTCGTTCATGATAGACCGTCTTCCTGATGTTATGAAATATTATTTTCGTTGTCGAGTCGCATTCATTTCTATTACACCAGACAACGCAATTCCTTTTACATACTCCTTTGCAGAACATATAAGAGACAATTTAAGTTGTGTTCCTAAGGTACTAAATTTTTCAATATAGAAATCCAAAGTGTTGGACCCCTTCCCTGTTAAGTTTAAATTACGAGCATTTTTCCCAAGTTGTCTCCCCTCTTTCTTTTTTTTTTCCTACTTTTCTCGAGCTTCTTGAGTATGTGTTTGTTTCAGTGCCTGCTATTGTTGTTGTTGTTTTCTGTGTCTGTGTGTTCTTTCCTTTTTAACCTAAAATATTTTGTACTTAAATTACGCCATGTAATTGACATCTCACTTTATAAAATAACAGGACCTTCTAGCAAGCTTAGGCCTCTACGAAGTTTCTCTACGGGTTTCCTCGCTGCATATTAAATTTTCAGTTATATTATATTCATGTATACGGAATTCCTTTAATTCATACTGCTGTATTACAATTACAAAGTTGCAAAATAAGCAAATAAGTAACAAGCAAATAAACCGGTCATCAGTTATTGCTTGTGAGGGGAGGACTTTTGGAAGTGAGCACATGGTTTTCAGGGGGTACGGAGGGAAGATCAGTCTACGCTAACAGAGTATAAAGAGGGAGACTGTTAACAATTGACAGCCAATGAGAAGGGATCATTACAATACTACAGAGTCTTGAGGGAGGAAAATTTTATTGCCACACAACCAAAATTCTCTGACCTCCCCCACCCCCCTTCCCCCGGGCAATAAATAATGACTCCCCCCCTACCTTCGGCTTCAACGAGGTCAAAGCGCTGACACTGATCTTCAGTGATGTTGTTAAAGCAGCCTGTTTGCAGACAGCAGTAATAAACTCCAAAGTGAACTTTGCTCATGTCCGTGATGGTCAAGTAATAGGGATCGTAAGGTCCGTTATGGGTGACATTGTAATGCTCGTCCGTCGAAGAATCTAAAAAATAACATTAAAGAGAGTTGTGAAGCTGATTGACCGAGCAACTTTTGGTTGACGGCCAATGGTTGGTAAGGAACTGACAAATTGACTGACTCGCCGGCGGACTTATTAGTAAGATGGTTGATCCTACTGAATCACAACGACCAACAGTGAACAAACAAACTGACCAACAAACTTACTGTCCTAGAAATGATCAATAATTTGACTGACTGAGTAACCGAGGGACCGGAAGACAGACAGACTGAATAATTGACTGACTGACTGACTGATTGACTGAATAACTGACTGACAGACTAAATGATTAAGTGACTGACAAACTGACTGACTGACTGACTTAATGACTCACTGATTGACTGATTGATCGATTGACTGACTGACAGACTAAATGATTAAGTGACTGACAAACTGACTGACTGACTGACTAAATGACTCACTGATTGACTGATTGACCGATTGACTGACTGACTGACAGACTGAACGACTGACTGACTCACTGATTGATTGATTGATTGATTGATTGATTAACTGAGTGACAGACATAATGTAAAACTGACGGAATTGAACGCTTAACTAAAAGCAATCATGTCCAGCTCAAACTTACTTATGCAAGATGTAACTGTTTCGTCGCGCTCATTCTTTAATTTCCATTCCACCTTCAGAGGGTATCCTCTGGCACTGCACTCCAAAGTTACATTGTCTCCCGGCTTTGCCTTGACTGTTTTTTTATCTTTATCTTTAAACAATGGTTCAACTAGAATAAAAGTAAATAGTGATAATAATGATGTAATGACGACGACGATAACGATGATGATCATTTTGATGATGATGATGAGAATAAGACGCATGTTTCTCCCAAAAATGTCAAAAAACATCGTTGGGTTTTCACTGACTGATTTGGAAATTATTACATTTTTTGGACCGTTTTTCACCCTTACGCAGAGGGATCAAAATGTGCCAATAGATCAGTATTCTGAAGTTCCTAACGGACTTGTATTCAAAAAATGTATCAATAAAGTTGAAAACCAATGAAAAACGAGATTGTCTGACGGTTAGCCCGATTGGGATCAATATGATATGTTTCCATCTACGCAAAGGACTGGCCATACATGAGTATTGGCAAGCTACCAATTCTCATACAATACGCTTATGTACTTTACTTACTGTGAATTACAATGTAATCTGAGACATTGTAGCTTTTGATGTGTCGTAACTTTACTTCCAACAGACAGGTATAGTTTCCACCATCTCTGACTCCAACATCTTCAAACTTAAGTGGAGCAATAAGAACCTTTTCAATTTCTGGATCTGGATTTCGTAAACTCACCAACAATTTTCCATCTTTATACCAAGAAATCCTCTTCAATGGAGTGCCATACTTGTTTCCTCTTTTGGTTAAGCTGCAGCTGAGTGTTAACTTATCGACGAAATTGGTATGTGGGACCACAACAGCTTTAGGGATTTCGTCTCCTAATATATAAGAAAATAGGCAACTTAAATAATTGGAAAAAAAAATTGTTGACAAAGTTATTCACAGGGCTCGGTCATAATAGTAATGAATGCATGGAATTCAACCTTAGGTCAAAATATGGTTAAGTTGAATTGCTGTCTCGTACCCAGACTTTCCTTTTCAGTTATTGTTCATTTCAAGAGTTACACGGTAGGACCTGGATAGGAGATTAGTTGAATTATTACCAAAATGTAATAAGTTTTTTAAGATAAGTTAACAGATGTGTCTACATGCACTTTGCAAGTAGAATGGATAGGCAAAGATCAATAAACTTGTCGAGTCCGTAAAACTGCACTTTATAGATGTAAAAGCTTACTTGTTATAACGCTGATACTAAAACCGTGTCTCTTCGGAGTTGATTCATTCTTGGCAAAAGCATGGCACTCGTAACTTTCAAAGTTTCCGTACTGACTGCCATCTTCAATTCCCACATTCGTGATTGTCATGGTGTTAAAAAGTTTAGGGTTTCCATCTAAAAAAATAAGGTGTTTGAGCTGTTAATGTTATCTGAAAAAAAAATCTGTCTTTGCATGACAAATCCGCAATAACTCCTTCTTGTGCTTTGCATATCCACCAGTAAAAAAGTGGGCCGGGAAATGTTGCGTCGTAAGGTACTGCAATAACATAAATTAATAACGGGGAAAATTTTCATAAGTTTTCTAAGGACGAAAAATTACGCCAAAGTAATAAGTGGAGAGAAGAATAAATGTATTGTAAACCAGAAAGAAGAAGATAAAAGGGAGAAACTCAAAGAAAACATGTGTGTACTCGCCTAAATATTCCGTTCGGTGTGAAAACGATAATTTTTCGCTCGGTTTCAACTCCGTATAGATATTTAAATCATCTCTCCTGAAAAACAAGATTTCCTCGGGTTCTCTTACTCCAGATGCATCAAAGGCAATGCAAGTAACACTGGCTGTAGTGTACTCCAAAGGGAAGATATTTTCAGGTAAAGGTTGCACAATGCCAAAAGTACCCTCGCCTGAAAAGAAAAAGAAGAATGAGTATTCAGGGAGATGCTTGCACATTTGGAGCCGAACCTGTTCCAAGGAAGGTCTTCACAGAATTATCGCAGCATCCCAAAATGCTCGACTAAGGTTAGAGGTATTTTAGGAAGAAACAAGATTTTCGCTGTTTGCGCCTACAGAACATAGATAGGGCGATAATTGATTGAGAGATGAAAAAAAGAATCTTTTACTTTGTAATTCCATTTTTAAAGATGTTTAACTCACCGAAAAAGATTTTCACGTTTAGGTCAATTTCGTTCCCATTTGGCGCCTTTTGTTGCTATTGCGTACCATACTATAAACATTAATATGCCTTTGAAAGTTCTCTTCTCGTTGGACATCAACCAATCTTTCTCTTTCACCATTTTATTTTTCGAGCACTCAACAGTAAACGAAACGATTAAGGACGAGGTCTGTGCATCCTAAATGATGTTCATTTCATGGCAATACTTACTTTCCTGCAAAGATATTTCCATTAACTAAGCTTGGGTAAGGCTTTTATGTGTCTGAAGATTTAACAAAACTAGCGGGGATGCAACAAAACACTGAAGCGACTGTAGAATTCCTCAAAGCCATTGCCGGTTTTGGCCTTTTCATTCTAGGAATTTCAGCAATTTCAAACACAGGGAATTTACATTTATAGGTCGCTAATCTCTTTTTGACATCAAGGTGATAATTTCGCTGAAGCTTTTAGGAGTTTGAACATTTTTCGAGTAAGAGGAATCGGAGAGCTTAGGAAAGCAATCGGTTAAGAAATTATATTTATTTGCAATGAGCCTAGCTAGCGAAAATATGTCATTGCGAGCGAAGCTGACGTGATGTCTGTACCATTTGGCACTGTTTCAGGATAATAACGAATTAAGACGCTCGACTGCAAACACTTGTCATACTCCTAAATACGTCCCACACACAGTTATTTCTTCGACTGGCTAGACTACATATAAACAATTATCTTCTCTCACCAGAAGTTTGGTCCATTCGTATCTAGACGTATCAGAAGTTCTGTTTGCCCATATTTTATCTGTGTTACATATCCCATTACGAGAACCTTTGTTCTGGTCATTCAGTGGGTTGTAATCGCCACTGAGAATTACAAATATCAACTTATACATACCAAAAAAGTCCTAAAGTTATTTTAATAATTTTAATTTCAAATAGTTGGGTCCTTTCAAGATACAGAAGAATCGATTGCATGCTTGTTTGTTATTAAGGACCACGGGAAAGAGAGTCTACACTGAGGCAACATTATAAACCAATCTAGGATCCTCTAAAGACTTTTTTTTACAAATCCGCAAATCCTCTAAATCTGTTTAGTTTGTGTTACTTTTAAATCCGCACCCCCCTTTAAATTTTCACTCGTCTATCTGAAGAAGAACAAGGTAATTTAATATTATCATCTGAGTTGTTAACGCAAATTGGCGACGGTAAAGAGTTTAAAAGGTGACATTTCGAGCGTTATGTTAGTCCTTTGTCAGAATAATCGCTCTGACGAAGGCTAACGCTCGAAACGTCAGCTTCAAACTCTTTACGGTGGCCAATTTACGCTATAAACTCAGTTGATAATACTAAATTACCCTGTTATACTCTCCCACCGACGCAACACCACAGTTTCTCAGGAAACTTACCCCCTTTATCTATTTGAAGAAGAACTCTAGGATTGCTGCGGTTTCGTTTCTTACCAATATTTAGAGCTCAAATGAAAGATGTCGGCTTGTACCACTTCAACAGTCCATATCGTTGGTTATTCCAAACACCAAATTGACCAAATACTTTTAAATCAATGATTCTAGCGTATTTTACCCCGGGCGACTTAGTTCATGGTTTATTCAGGAGCCCGAATGACCCCCTGAATTTCCTCTTGTCGCTGATTTTAAATCAGAAAGTTTGTTATCTAAGCAAGTGATTTGCGTTTAGTTATTTGCGTAAATTTCCATCCTTTTTTTGAAAGCAATCTAGAGTCAAACTTCAACTGTTTTGTGAGTAAAAAAAATGGAGAGGTATGCAATACACAACTGAAGTGCATTGAACTGATTTCCATCCATGCTGACTTAAAATTGCATTAACCAACTCATAATTATCACAATTAGCCGTACCTTTAGCCATTACTACTGCACAAATAGTGCCGAGAAAGAGAAGAAAAACTTTCGTTAAAAAGGCCATCATGATATTGATTCCCCACTGCATCTCGCTTGTCTTCTCGCTATGATAATGACACGTCTAGCGATCTGCTCGTTCATCAAATGATACTGATATTCCTGCTATGACATCATTTATAGTCTGTCTAAACTTAGTGGGCAGGAGCGGTATGGAAAGTGGACATTAATCCTTTTTTCCCCTTTTTATCTTTGTTTTTCTTCCTTTCTTGGTAAACTAGATGATCACTAACAAAGCATGCAGTTGCTTTTTTTATGATGCCAATTAAAGGCAGGCCACAATCCACTCAGACACATAAACACATAACCATGGTATCACTTCGGTTTTTCAGACATTCCAACAACAACCATACTGTTGCTATTCGACGCTTATAATTGTGTCAACGAGAGAGAGAGACAGTTTCGATGCTAAAGCGAAAGAACTTCGCAAAAAAGTTTCCCCGAGGAAGGAGTTACTTACACACTTTTTTTTAAAATCAAAATTTAAACACGTTTAGATTTTTTGGTTATCAGATTTCATAGACCCCTTAATGTTGCAATTGTTCCACGTAAGTGCATTTTAGAAATGTTATAGTAATTTCACAAGTTCTTTATAGCTTTTTAGCTTCAATACTCATAAACTCGCTGAAAACCACTTCAGTTGGTTGAAACTTCCTAGCTGTTAATTTATTTATTTTTCCTTTTGATTTATTCATATCGAAAAAGATGATGTGAAGGAAATGCTGTGAAGTAAAAGGGAACCATGTTAAAAATTTTGGTTATTAACTGGACTTGACATCTGCAGCGGCTTGCTTTATATTTCCAAACTTTTGAAAAAAAAACAAACTTTCACTGTTCCCGCTTGCACCCAAGGCTATGAAAACTTGAAGAATTATAGTTCATAGTGCGCTTATCTATTACAGGCACGACTCTGATCAGAATGGAAACCTAAGGGATCTCACCACAAATGTCTCAGGAGGAGAATTCTGGTCTTTTTCTTTCTAGTCAGACAATACATTTATTCTTCTCTCCACTAATTACTATGGCGTAATTTTCCGTCCCTAGAAAACTTATGAAAACTTTCCCCGTTATTTATTTATGTTATTGCAGTACCTGACGACACAACATTTTCCTGGCCCGCTTTTTTACTGGCGGATACGGAAAAGCATAAGAAGGAGTTATTGCGGATTCGTCATGCAAAGACAGATTTTTTTTTCAGATAACGTTAACAGCTCAAACACTTTCCTTTTAAATGGAAACCCTAAACTATTTAACACCATGACAATCACGAATTTAACAATTGAAGATGATAGTCGGTATGGAAACATTGGAAGTTACGAGTGCCAGGAATTACGTTTTTTAATAAGCACGAAAAAAAAAATGCTTTAAAGACTGACAAGATTTTAATATCTGGACAAAAGGAGTAAATGAAAAAGAAGGTGGAAGGTTGAACAGAGTGACCATTGTCTCGTGACCTGTCTTAGGTCCGAGGACGCAAAGGCGAGTACTCTCGACATGATAACATTCACTCGTTTGTCCGTCTGAGCGTCAGGGCTCAGGCTCCGAAAACGTAAAACGAGTAAGCTCGACGTAATGACAAAGGAAACATGAACACAGAACCATAAAAAAAACGATTTTCTTACGTTTCGATTGAATATTTCACTCCCTGGAGAGTTTGAAAATAAACTACGGTGTTATAAAATGATTTCCAGCCCTGAAAAGAGCCGTAAAAACATGTGAAAAAATACGATATTTTTTCACGTGTGTTTGATATCGCCAATCAGCTGCTCGCGCGTCACTTGCCTTTCGCGCCACTCGGTCAGGTTGATGAATGAACGGCAAAGCCTTCACCGTTATTAATTCAAGGTCGTTTGTCGGATTGTGGCCGCTAAAAATCCGAAGAATTCGTATCACTTTTAGACAGTGACGATCAAACTTTCCCAGAAAGGAAAGAAAACCAAAATACGGAAAGAAAAACCGAACGTTACGTATTCAGTGGCTTTGGTAATAGCATTTCCCTCGGCTGAGAATGAAAATCAACAACTGGAAGATTTGCCACAAGCCGATTTTGGCTGTGTACCTGAAAGATTTCTTCTGTCGGTAACGACCAATTCAATAACTGAGAATTGTGTATATTGAAAAATTAGGCCCACTGTTTGTATTTTGTGGTGATTCAAAGCAAGTTTTCATCTCGAGTGCGACTACGCACTTTACGATTTCTATTAAGGGATTGTCGATCCTTTTATTTTCATTCGTCAATAAAGTCGACTTTTCTTGTCAGTAAAGGGCTATTGTGTGTATATGATAAACAAAATAATACATGATTGCTTGTAGATATGAAATTTCTCTTCTCGTGTTCAACTCGACATCCTACTCATTCGCTGCGCTCACTCGTGAGCTATCGAATTAAATAACCGAAGAAAAATTCTCACCCATTTATTATTCTCTATTTATTATATAAAAGGGTATTCCTGAGCTGAATCCGAGTGCTCTTATTGGTTGTTAATCAGTCGGGATTTTGCCATACGGACTGTTTCCACGGAAACGGTCATAAACCATGTATTTTCATTCTTGAAAACCAGCAAATGCAAAATTTGAAACTAAAACCACAAAAAGGAAACCCGTAAATATCCTCATTCTTTGTAAAGAAAGTTATAAAAAAGTCACCAAACGACTGATTACAGTTATGGACGACGAAAAATAATACGATCATTCACAAGGCAAATTTTAGAATGATCTGGAAACCTCTGAAACAAGCAGTGGCGAAAGCCAGGAGGCTATTTACAATTTCATTAACAAACAGAAAGGCTTAAACACACTTGGTTAATGATATGAAAACTCTTGTTCACTACATAGATGCAAGTGAAATTATAAGCCAAAGAATTAAAAGCCTACTAACTGCATCCGAACTTGACCACCTTTCGTCAAAATTTTATTATGCACACCTGCAGAAAAAATGGAGAAATTTGCGAGCCAGAAACAACGACAACTTTGAGCCCGTAAAATCTCAGCTAATACTTGTACGGAACAAATGAACGTTGACTATTGAGTAATATACTAGAGTTTATTATTTCTTCGGTAGTTTATTTCTACACCTTTGAGCTCATAAAATTTCATCAAACTCTTGTTCGTAACAAATAATACGGTGAATTTTGTGTAATGACATCTATTGGATGTATAACTGTTTACTAAGGAAGCCAATATTCTTCAAATAAGCGAAATGATTCAGACAATATATTTTACTTAACATAACTGTAGATTCTACTTTATGGTCTCACTGTACTGGATTCTGGATTCTGTTCACAGCTTTTTGTTAATCTGGGAATGCAAGGTGGTATGAACTAACTAGCAAGGCTGTCACTTGACTTTGAGGTCTGCACTTCTACATTGTAATTACCTCTTTATATCTAATAATAACAAGGAAAACTTGCTTACATTTGAAGTGTTTGAAAGTTGGGTCCAATATTTTGTTGTTAATAGCCAAAGAAAAAAATTTGGAAAACTAGTTGTAACCGGCAGACTAACATGACTAATAAAACAATAGGCAAAAACTGGGGTAGTTTAACAAATTTACGCAACCGAAAAATTTAGAGGACGGTATAGGAATTATCGTGAATTGGTGATGTTCAGAAGCAGTGAACGTCTCCTAATAAGAAAATCAGCCGAAGTTAAGAGTGAAGTTCAAGTTGTTTCGTGGGCTTCCCCGTCCTCTACAATCTCAAAAGCGACACCACAAAGAAACCTGAGATGAGGAACACGTTATGGGCAACCACAGACATTGTTCCGGCAGTTGGTTCACCTTTGGAATAAAAGGGTCAAAATTGAAAAATGTTAAAATATCTAAAATGAAATTCAGTGACGGTTGACAGATTTCTCTGATATGTTACAATTTTTACAAGCGTAATTTCAATGATATTTGAGAGGTCTTTCAGCGATCTGCTCTGGTTAAGCCTCGAGCAGACAGGAATCTAGATCTAAGGATTGTCGTTGAAAGCTATTAGCAGACCGATTCTTTACCTACTGAACAAACATATTTTAACAAACCAGTTTAAGACAATTGGTTCAGTTACAAAAGCAGATGCACAGTATACCGTTTTAAGTTGGATTCGAGAGAACGAGACGGTATGTTTCCTGAGTTCTCTTCATGAGAGTATTTTTGTACAGTGATTGATTACTCCATGCATATGCGACATTCTTAGATAGGAAAATCTTCTCCGGGCAATGATTAGGATATTTTTGCAAGAGGATTGTGTACTTAGAAGGTGTTTGAGACATTTTCTTCAAAATGTACCTATGCACTAGCCCAAAACTTGGTGTAACTATAAATGCTTACCTTTTTCATCGATTTCAAAGCTTTGACACTGATCCTCATTAACGTTCTTAGAGCAGCCTGATGGCAGACAGCAGTAATAAACTCCAAGGTCAGCTTTGCTCAAGCTTGTAATGGTCAAGGAATAGGGATCGTGAGGTCCCTTCTGGCTCACCTTGTAACGATCATCCGTTGAAGAATCTAAAATATAAACATTTATACAAAATTCGAGAATAGTACACTTAACCAGTTGCAAAAAGCATTCATACACTTACTGGCTTTTGGCTGATTGTTAATGGATGGTGGCTATGTAAAAAGTTGACTGACTGGCTAGCTGATGGACTTTTATGTCAGTTGATCTACCTGACGGACTTAGTAACCCAGGACTGATGGATGATCTGACGGACTGAATTACTAACCGACCAAAAAACTAACTGACTATCTGGCCGACTGACTGACTGGCAATTAGACTCTCTGGCTGGCTGGCTGACAGAATGGTTGATAGACAGCTGAACAAACAGTATGACTCGCTTACCGACTGATTGAATGCAGAGAAGGAACTAAACCACTTACTGATAGACAATGAAAGATTTTCGAATTATGTCCAATTCAAACTTACTTATGCAAGGCTTAACTGTTTCGTCTGTCTCACTCTTAAACTTCCATTCCACCTTTAGAGGGTATCCTCTGGCACCGCACTCTAAAGTTAAGTCGTCTCCCAACTTCTTTGCGACAGTTTTTTTATCTTTACTTTCAAACCACGGTGTGACTGAAATAATGATGATGATGATTAATATAGTTGTCATAAAAAATAACAATAATGATAATAATAATGCTGATGAAAATATGAATGACAAGGCTGATGGCAATACCGATACTACTAATTACTGCTACTGATAACAATGATATTACAACTAATTACAATAATCAGTGATAATGATTATATTACTGATGATAGGGATAATAACATTAACAATAATAATGATGATAAAAATAATAATAATGCACTAGCCCAAAACTTGTTGTAACTATAAATACTTACCTTTTTCAGTTACAAAAGCAGATGCACAGTATACCGTTTTAAGTTGGATTCGAGAGAACGAGACGGTATGTTTCCTGAGTTCTCTTCATGAGAGTATTTTTGTACAGTGATTGATTACTCCATGCATATGCGACATTCTTAGATAGGAAAATCTTCTCCGGGCAATGATTAGGATATTTTTGCAAGAGGATTGTGTACTTAGAAGGTGTTTGAGACATTTTCTTCAAAATGTACCTATGCACTAGCCCAAAACTTGGTGTAACTATAAATGCTTACCTTTTTCATCGATTTCAAAGCTTTGACATTGATCCTCATTGATCTTCTCAGAGCAGCCTGATGGCAGACAGCAGTAATAAACTCCAAGGTCAGCTTTGCTCAAGCCTGTAATGGTCAAGGAGTAGGGATCGTGAGGTCCCCTCCGGCTCACCTTGTAACGCTCATCCGTTGAAGAATCTAAAATATAACCATTCATAAGGATTTGAGAATAGCACACTTAACCGGTTGCAAATAGCATTCCTACACTTAACTGACTTTTGGCTAATTGATAATGGATTGTAGCTTTATAAAAATTGACTGACTGACTGACTGGCTGGCTGACCGACTGTTATGTCGTTGATCTACCTGACGGACTTAGTAATCCAGGACTGATGGGTGATCTGCGTACTGAATGACTAACCAACCGAAAAACTAATCGAATTACTGACTAACCGACTATCTGGCCGACTGACTGACAAACTGACTGACCGGCTGACTGACTAATGGATGGTAGCCATACAAAAAATTGATTGAATGGCTGGCTGACGGACTGTTATATCAGTTGATCTAAAACTAAATGACTAACTGAAAAACTGACTGACCCACTGACAGACCTCAGCAATCGCTCTGACGAAGGGCTAAGGCTCGAAACGTCAACTGAAAGATCGACAGCCAATAAAGGCTTTTTCGAATTATTTTCAATTCAAACTTACTTATGCAAGGCTTAACTGTTTCGTTTGTCTCACTCTTAAACTTCCATTCCACCTTCAGAGGGTATCCTCTGGCACCGCACTCTAAAGTTAGGTCGTCTCTTAACTTCTTCAAAACAGTTTTTCTATCTTTACTTTCAAACCACGGTGTGACTGGAATAATAATGATAATAAAAAAAATAGTCGTCCTAAATACAAAAACAATAATAATGATGATGATGATGATGAAAATGATAATGCTAATGGCAATACTGATACTACTGCTAATGATACCAACGATATGACAACTAATCACAATAATCAGTGATAACAATTATATCACTGATGATAGTGATAATAACAATGATAATGATATAATAATGAAAATAATAATAACAAGAACAACGAGGAAGTCGAAAAAGCCCTTTCCTGGGAGTTAAAACAACTTAGGTTGTCGTTTTTTGGGGGTATGGAAGTTTAATGGGGATTCAGGTAAATGAAGCCACTGCACAATAGAAGGATGTAAATTAAAGAACTGCCTGGTAAAGGATGATGATGAAATAAATCCATACGTAACATAGTAGCTAACGAAGCACTTACTTGTGAGCGAGCTAGTTTCTTTTACTTCGCGAGGCACCTTGTCTTTAAGGAGGACTTTCAAGTTGCAAGAATACATCCCTCCATCTTTCATGCTAATACTTTTGAGAACCAATGAAGTGGATTCTGAAATTCCGTCCTCCTTTAAAGTGTCAGTCAGGTTTTCGCCGTCTTTGGACAACCACAAACTTTTCAGTGTTGTGGTTTGGCTTCCTCTGAATGTTATGTTGCAAAAAATCGTCGCGGGAACGGAGTGATCCACCGTCAGATTAGAGACAGTCACTTTGGGTATGTCACTTTCTGAAAGAAAACGAACAATGGAGCTCTTGCTACCTGAGTGTTGTAATGGAGCGCTTACTGCCTGAGTGCTGTTTATAACAAATCTCAACGGCCAATCGGCCGCCGAAGGACGGTATCACAATGAGCCAATGAGCGCTAAATGTTTAAACAAGCGAGCTGTTTGCAGCGCGGGAACATGCAGGTGGCTAAGTCGGGAGGGATTTTAGTTTTTGCATCTGATTGGCTGCAAGGGTGGCATGGATTTTATAGACCAATCCCAAAGCATAGTCAAGCAAAAAAATATAGGATCACTTTTTACTCTTGATGGAAAATTGTTCTAATACCAGCCCAACCGGCGTCAAATTTATAACCTTTACATGGCGTATGATTAATTTCTCTGATTATCGTGATAACGAGCGACAGTTCTCTTTTATTTCTAAGCCCACTCACCACTTCATAGAGTAGGTGAAGTTATTATAACTCATTATTTCTAAGCTCACTCACCACTATGTACAGAGGGTGAAGTTATTATAACTAATTATATCTAAGCCTACTCATCACTTCATAAAGTGGGTGAGGTTATTATAACTAATTATATTTAAGTCCAGTCACCACTACATACAGTTGGTGAAGTTATTATAACTGATCACTAAATGCATACGGAATTATTTACAGCAGAACCTCGCCCACTTGTCCTTTCTATTGAAACAGAAAATAATCGGAGACGAAATATTAACTTCCAAGGAAATTACTTAAAGCTTGAGGTAGAGAGGTAAGTGCGATTTATCCTAGGTGACGCATCAATTTGTTGCTTGAGTAAATGTCCTGCATGTGTAGTCAAATATCTTTATAAGGTGCTATTCTGGCCGGGGGTTATAGAGACAGTTACAATTATGAATCTCTTTCACTTAAATTTGAAAATCACTTTATCTAGATGTTTATTAAAGAACATACCTTGAATTACAAATATAGAGAAGACAAACTGTGCGGGCCTACTAATGTTCACTGCGTATGCGACGCATCGGTAACTTTTATCTCTTCCTAACTCGTACTTTTTTGTGACGTTGAGGATTGTCATGGTAACTATGAGCTTGCGACCACTGTCTGCAAGTAAAGAAAAAGGAGTTGAGACATGAAACTTTTCATGAGCCCTTCTTTGATTACAATCAACTTCAAAATAAGTTTTACATATATATATATATTTAACAAATAGAGAAGCCTTGACTGTGCTCTGTTCTGTTATAAAGCACGCAGGAAGCGGCTAGAGCACGAAAGAAGTGTAGGGAGAACCACGAGACGTAGTCGAGTGTTTCTCCCCACTTCTTGTCTACTTCTTAGCACCCTAAGTGCTTTATAACAGAACAGAGCACAGTCAAGGCTTCTCTATATGTTTTATAATAAAGAATCCGTTAAATTACCCAAGCATTACATTCAATTTTCAAAACAAACTTTATTACCAAAGGGAACAACAGTGTCGTCAGCATGCTCTATACTCTCATAAAGCACGCTACAATAAGCCAATCAGAATCCCTGTTAGAATGGTTCAAATAATCTGATTGGCTGTACAAGACTAAAGCTGTCAAAAGTGTCAAACCATCAAAGTTCACATTCTACGATAGTTTACAAACTAAAATAGTTCGGCAAGTCGAATTTAACACCCACTTTTGCTTGAAGTTTTTAAGTCTCTAATACAGAATCTTGAAGTGAAATGATCAGTGAACTTCAGCCGAATTATGGCTCATAAAAACACGTGAGTTTTTTCACATGACAAGGTAGAAAACAAACTGTTCAAGGCGAGTGCTTGTTGAATGAACGACAGCCGAATTCACCAGAACATGAAGATCGCGCGGGATGACAGCGCCGCAAAACTCGGCTGCAGTGACTGATGTGACTTTCCACTCAACGTATCGGAAAGGATATCAGAGCAAGCTCTTATTTTTTCACTCGAAGGGCGGCCGATGTAGTTTCTGATATATTGTGATGACTATATATATATATATATATTCGCTCAGACACCGTCATGATTAGTATGAATTTTAACAATTTTGTCAGTTTGGTTATATTTTTCATCATTTCTGTTTTTTTCTGTTTTGTTTTTGAACACTACTTTATATATATACGATATATTTATATATATAAGCTTGCAATCTAACTGAGCGTGAAAATCTTTAAACTCGGAATGTCTATTTTGTTTTTCCTTCGAGGATTTTCGTATCTGCTCACGTTTTAATAACGTAAATCACGGCGCCTGGTATGTTTACAAACGTTTGTTTGGTTCTTCTGTTGCTACTTGCCGGCTCGCTTGTTCCGAAATTTCACCTTCAATTATCGGAAAAAAGCTAAAAAGAAGTCCCGGAAAAGGTCGAACATGCTACAATATGGCAGATGGCGTGACAGCTTTAGCTCAGCTCTATGCTCTATACTCTCATAGAGCACGCTCTTTCAACCAATGACAGCGCGCGTTATATCCGAACTTTATAATGGTATAATGGTATATTGTTAGAAAGACCTCAGCTAAGAACGAAGAAGACCTTGGGAGATCCCGCGTTATCGATGGCTGCCCCCTTTTTATGGAACAGTCTTCCTCTGCCAATTAGACAGGAAACATCAATCGACTCTTTTAAACGCTCTGTTAAAACATATTTATTTAAAAAGGCTTTTAGTTAGATTATTTATTTATTTATTTTTTTTATTTTTATTATTTTTATTTTTTTAATATTGTAATGTTAATATTGTAATATTGTAATTTTACCGAGTAATTTTACTGGTTTTAATTTAGTTTTTAATAATATTGTAATGCGCTTTTGAGTATTTTTATAGAAAAAGCGCAATATAAGTATTAAATATAAAATATATATATATATATATATATATGTATATATATATATGTACATATATATATATATATATATATATACATACATACATAAGTCAAAGAATTAAAGAGGACGCATCGATTCTCGGTGACTATGAGTTTAGCGCCTAAGCGCTCGTCAGACAGAACTTTCTGACGTTCTGTCTGACGAGCGCTTAGGCGCGAAACTCAGAGTTAAAGAGAATCAATGAATCCTCTTTAATTCTTTAACTTATATATACTTAGCTCTGCTACCACAGCATTGAGCACTTTTCATTGCTTTCCTTCACTCTGGGCCGTATTTAGATGCATTTTGCCTCTTTCTGTTAGGCCAGATACTGACACACCCCCTCCCTATCCCAGGATAACTCCGACTTGATATTTCACCAAGACTTATCACCGTCAACGTAGTTGCACTTGCGTGTCAGAAGCCTCAAGCGGTAGAAAATAAAACTGTGGCAGTTTGAACAGTTAAAAAACTAAACTTGTTCAGTTTCCCGAAGCAAATCTAAGGACCAAATAATACTAAACGTCTGTGATTTATATTTCCAATTCAAGAGTAACTGAGAAGTAGAAAGCCCTGTTCTTCTTAGTAACCTATAGTTGAATTGTCTTCATATGATAAATGACGCACCGCTGCTGAGATTTCTCCCAGTCTAAGCATAGTTTACAAACTTTTCGAGGTTTCTTACCTTCTCGCGTTGTTGTAAAGTTGAGGTTGCTGTCCTTATCGGTTAAATTCTTCTCATTCAAGATATCATCTACTTCAATAAATCGGATGCTTTCTGGTATCTGTACATTGGCCTCATCATAAGCAGTGCAGGTTATTTGGAGTGAGGAATACTCCATCGCATAGCTGGTTGCTGGGATCACCTCGACTTTCAGCTTGGCTGAGGAGGAAAAGAAGCAGAGAAACATTTAGGTGATACCTACGAAGGAAAGGAAAGTATATTCAAGATTCGTGGGCTTCATTTGTGATGTCAGGAAGAATGGATGTGAAGGACTCTTTCGAAATCCTTGCACCCCGCACTACTCACTATTTAAGCTAACTTGTCTTTGAGCGCCCAAAATAATTATATTTTAGTTTCTTGGCAAGACTTTCGTAGGAGATTATCCTTGTAAACTGTAATGGTATGGCTGGTCCATTGTTGGAAATACCGTACACACAGTGAGCAATGTTCATTTGCTGCTGCGAATGACCACCTGATATATCATGGAAAAAGTTGCTTTTTCAACTTGCTTAAGGTTACTTCCCACCTTCACGGGTGTCCTTCGAGAAAAAATTTGTACGCGCGCTAGTTTCACTACAATCCTAGCAAATTATATATCAGAATATATATAGCATCCTCGGGTGCTTTTAGAGATTTCATAATCTTTTTCTTATGAAAACGTTACGTTGAATGTTGAAATTCAGTTACGCCAAAGAAAAGAAAAATCAAATTTTTTTCGGCCTCTGATGGTGGGAGGTAACCTTAAATTCAAGCGAGTCGACAAACTTCAATGGGTGAATTGTCTTTGAATCTAAGCCACCAAACTAGCTCCTTCCTCAAAGGATTCACGTCTGAAAAAATTCAAGGGATATTTCTTTCTTTTCACCCTTAGTTCCCAAAGCAGCAACAATATGCTATCCACGTAAAACGATCTACATGAAGAAATACATAGACGATTCTTCAAAATATACGATAAAGGAAGATTTATGAAAGATCTGGTATACAACTTGAAAAACTTTTAAGCGATGCCTTCCGAAAATTAAGAAAGATTACTATAGGCAAGATTTACCATGTCTCTGATCCAAGGAGAAAGGATGTTGAAAACTACTTCAAGAAATCCATTTTACTAGCTAATTGTCTTTAAGCGCGCAAAATGGTTCTATTGTGATCTCTTGTCGAGAATTTCGTGGAATTCACGCGCGCAAGGCGGGAAAAGTGAGCTTTCTGAAACGAGCGTCTGCTCGTTTAAACGTTCCCTTGCGTGAGTTCCTTGGGCGAAGGTTAATCTTAAGTCATTTATTACTTTTGCGCATTATAAATATCATGGAAATGAATGTTATTTCTGCTCTGGTCGAAAACTCTTTTCCCGCTCGTAAGTTCGTCTAGATGTTTTCTTTTAAAATTTAATAATGATTTCGAGTAATTTAAGTTCCCAATCTCTGTATCGTGATAATCATATTAGTTTTGTCACAACTTGTCAAAACTGATTACACTTAAGGCAAATGCACAAACTAAACCAGGCAATTCAATGCACAGGTCATGCAATTCGATTGGGTCATGCACGCGCAAACGAATAGCATTTGGATCTTCACCATGTTTGAAGTGGCAAAAGTTATCTTTCGCCGGAAAACACAAGATGCAAAAACTGTTTCTTTAATATTTTTTTAAGAACTGCATATGACAAAACTATTTGGGTTTCAAGTGCAATTTCACTGTTAACACAATAAGTGCCAAGGCCTACTCTGGGACCTTAAGTCGCCGTAACTTTAGGCGACTCTGGGCGATTTTAGGCGACTTAAGGCGACTTAAGGCGACTTTAGCAAAATTTGCACAAAAAATATTGCGACTTTAGGCGATTTAAGGCGACTTAGAGCGATTGAAGCGGTTAAACCAAAGTTAGCAACAGTCTCTCCATAAACTTTAAAAATGTCTACAGAATCCCTTGCAATAAACACAACAGTCGTTTCGGTTACTTTGGTATGCTCATAAGTCACCATAGTCTAAAATATCCAGATTTCAAATCAATTTAGCTAAAAATGTTCAGACAGAATTACCACAACAGTTATTGTTAAATTATACAGTCAAAGCTAGTGAATAAATAGCCAGGAAACCAATTTAGCTAAAAATGTTCAGACAGAATTACCACAACAGTTATTGAAAAATTATACAGTCAAAGCTAGTAAATAAATAGCCAGGAAAACATCATGGGTTATATGCTCAACATCAAGCAAACCTATCATAAATATACACATAGTGCCATAGATTTTTAATTTAAGAAAAGGGACACAATTTTGATGAAACTATCCATAAATTTCCCATATAATTAATTAAAAATAACATGATTATTTACGTGTATTAATAATTTCACAAAGCTCCACAAATTATACAAATTGTTATCTTGGTAAACTTGTCTCCCATTTTTTTTGCACTTGCACTGTCAATTTTGGCATGAAAGTTTAGCAAGTCGCACGCCTTTCCAATAGCATCCAAAATTGCACGGGTCCTTTTCAGTGACCCAACCAATTTGTTGTTCTCCTGCCTCAGTTAGACAAAACACTCCAATACCATACTGAGAACCAAATGCTAAGGTCCTTCGTAAAACTACTTCCTTTCCAGTCTCTCCAACTACTTTTCTAGCTGCAGAAAACTGCGATTGGAGTGGAGTGGATAGGGTCAATTGGGAAGAGTGGAACCCTTATGACATTGCGTAACCAATAGCAACCTAAGGAAACTTAAGACGACTTAAGGTGACTTTAGGCGACTTTATGCGACTTGAGGCGACTATAGGCGACTTAATGTGACTTAAGTAAACTTAAGGTCTCAGAGTAGGCCTGTGCCAGTTAGACTGCGTGATATCAGCGATATTAAAACGATGCTATCACATTTTGTAACCTGGCTTGCTGCCAGCTTTGTCGCACTCAGAAAGGGACCCGAACCTGTTTCAACAGAGCTTTTTAGGTTTTAAACAACTAAACCTTCAATTTCACTTTCTAAAGGTCGACATCAAACTCGTTCGTTAGCACGCGTTCAAGGTATGGACATTAGTACAAAATTTGAATACGACGAAGAGGTTATAACGAGAAGTCCAGCTCGAAATGTAACTCGAAGTCGAATTCGAATCCAACTTAATAGTTTGAAATTCCCATTTCTATAAACAGTGAATTAAGACAATAAATTACTTACCTTGAGCCAGTGCTGCCGCACATATAATGAGGAATAGATGTAAAACGTTTTTCAGAGCTTTCATATTGACCTCCTTTCCCTGACGGACTTAATGCACCCACAACTAAGCCTTGAGACAGACGTGAATTATTTATGAGACGATGATCGGTATGTGCTTATAGGAATTGAATTTCGCTCTTAAATGACATTTCTGACAAGCTATTTAGCTATCACAACAATTTTTCCAATCGCTCAGCGAAATAATACCGGAAATTTCTTGAAACCAGATGTTGGTTTCAAGAGATGGTTGGTTTGGCGCTTAACGGCTGTGAATATATGAAAGTCATATATTTGAACTGCGGATAAAGACGTGAATATATAACGCAGTTATTTTCAGGCCTTCTTTTCACTACTGTGAAAAGAAGGCCTGACAAAAATAAAAAAAAAAAAAAAGCTTCAGGCCTGTACGGGCCTGTTTTTTTTTTTTGTTTTGTTTTTTTTTTCAGGCCTTCTTTTCACCACTGCTCAAGTAGCGTTCATAACTGCGAAGATCGCTTTCATATTCATGCCTTAATTAATTAAGCCGCTAAACTAAAAAGCGTAAGCAACAGTCTTCCTTCTTCAAAAGATTCGTATATGCTATTCAAGGGGAGTTTCCTTACTATATCTTGGAAATGCAGAGTATTCTGAGCCATGCGAACAATACTTTCATCTGGATGTAACTAAAATCAGGAATAGGGAATGGAGAATGGGGAATGGGAAAGCGATAACCCCGAACGGGAGTGCTGCACCGAAAGTGCAGGAGCAGGAACGGGAGTCCTGGACCCAAAACTGCAGTGGTAATCCGCATAACAATTCAAAATGGCGGATGATAACACGGATAAAGGGTCTGCACCAGATTAGGCAAGCGATCTGTGCGCTTAGTCGTCGGAGCAATCATCATGGACGATTAATAGAATTTTTGTCTCAGCGGTTTTAACCTGTTCTTTGCACAAGAACTCATAAACTCTTCTGATGAAAGATACCATGATGATTAATTAAGTTCTTCGAAAAGTATTAAACGTTGCGTTTATAGGGACTGTCATTTCTGACAAAGCTAGCGGGTGAAGATGAAAGAGGAAGATTGAACAGTGCGATCATTGTCTCTTGAAATTTCTTGGCTCCGAAGATGTAAAACGAGTAAGCTCCATGGGATGACAAAGTAAACATGAACCCAGAATAATAAAAAAGATTTGCTTACGTTTCGATCGAGTATTTCATTCCCAGGAAAGTTTAAAAATCGGCGATACTCATTTGCTTTACTTTGCTAAATGGAAGAACATTAGCAAAGGACGGATAACAATTGATATACGAGCTAAGGTTACTTGCCACTGAATATAAACAATTTGAATTGTTAGATACTGCTAAATTAACTATAACTTGCTTTTTTCAAAAAGACAACAGGGTCGGTAACTAGTGATAATGAAATCACACATGCCTAGCTCGTGTATTGTCACACGAATGCATCACATCGCTTTGGTCAGAAGAAATCTTTATTTCCATCTGTAGTCAAAACAGAAAGTAATTGAAAAAGTAAGCGGCTAAGATCTTGGGAATGCAGGTGTATAAAAGAGCTTACCACTTTGAGGGAAAGACCGGATAAAATTGTGAGGGAGGGCAGACATATTCTGCACGTCTGGGGCCATTCGTTCATTCGTAGTCTCCGACAATTATTTTTTTTCAGTAATTCCTAGCCCACGTATTTTTTCCGTTTTTCTTTTGACCTCAGCGCTCTTTTATACTGACTAATCATATTTCACTGAGCCACTCTTTCAACATTTGCTGTTTATATAAGTCCATTTAAATGGGGTCATCGTTTGTTAACATAATCTCCTGCTAAACATTTTTTGTGATACATGTTACATGCATGTTTACTTCTGTAGGCTATTACTCCTGAACGAGAAGATAACCACCGGATGAAATTCTCTAGAATTTCTCTAGTAGTTTAGAAACTAAACTACTCAGAGTTTTCAGTCTTCAAGAATCTATTTCTTCAGCTTTGATTTGGTAGAATTTCACTAATACTTGTTCGGAACAAATAATACGTTGAATATCAAACACTAATGTATGTTCCCGAGGGAAACAGTTAGTTTTGTTTTCTCGAGAGTCCTGATGTTTCTCGAGATAAAGTCGAAGGAAACATCAGGACTTGAGGGAAAACAAAGCTTATTGGTTTCCCGAGGGACCATACATTAAACGGCAAAAACAAACAAACATACTGTTGTATTCGGCGCGCGGGCATCAACTACGCAATTGTATCCCTGTCGGGATACATTTGAATTTGATCAGGGGCACGTGACCGAGAACTAACCAAATACAGTGCTTGTTTTCTTGAGTGAAAGTCTAGGTATATAACAATGCGCATTCCTGAGGTGAATCCGAGCGCTCTTATTGGTTCTTAATCGGTCGGGATTTTGCAAGTCGGACCGTTTCCACGAAAACGGTCATAAACCGTGTATTTTCATTTTGAAAACCAGCAAATGCAAAACTTGCAACTAAAACTGCGGTAAGGAAACCCGTAATATTCTCATTCTTTGTAAAGAAACTTGTAAACAAGTCATCAAACGACTGATTACAATGATAAACACCGAAAAAGAATAAGATCATTCAGCCAGCAAATTTTATTATGATCTGGAAACCTCTGAAACAAGCAATGGCGAAAGGCAGGAGGCTATTTACGATTTCATCAACAAAGAGAAAGGCTTAAACACAAGAAAGAAGATGGTTAATGATATGAAAACTCTTGTTCACTAACTGCATAGATGCAAATGAAATTGTAAGCCAAAGAGTTAAAAGCCTAACTGCATCCGACCTTGATCACCTTTTGTCAAATTTTTTCAATGAGCACACGCAGCTGAAAATAGAGAATAGTGTGAGCCAGTAACAACGACAACTTTGAGCCCGTAAAATCTTAGCGAATACTTATACGGAACAAATAATACGTTAACTGTTGAGCAATATTCTAAAGTTTATTATTTCTACAGTAGTTTATTTCTACATTTTTGCGCTTATAAAATTTCATCAAACTCTTGTTTGTAATAAGTAATACGGTGAATTTTGTGTAACGACATCCATTGGATATATAGTTGTAGTATATATAGTTCAAATAGGCGAAATGATTCAGACAATATATTCTGCTTAACATAACTGTAGATTTTACTTTCTGATCTCACTGTACTGGATTCTGGATTCTTTTCACAGCTTTTTGTTCATCTGTGAATGCAGGGCGGTATATATTAAGTGGCAAGACTGCCACTTGTCTTTAGGGTCTGCAAATTTTAATTACCCCTTATATCTAATAATAAACAAGGAAAAGATGATTACATTTGAAGTGTTTGAAAGTTGGGTCCAATATTTTGTTCTTTATAGCCAAAGAAAAACCTTGAAAAACTAGTCATAACCAGCAGACCAATAATACTAATAAAACATCATGGAAGTTTTATAAATTCACGCAACCGAAAAATTTAGAGGACGGTATAGCAATGATTGTGAATCAGTGGCGTACAGAAGCTGTGAACATCTCATAATATGAAAATCAGCTGAAGTCAAGAGTGGGGATCAAGTTGTTTGGTACGCTACCCCGTCCTCTACAAACTCAAAAGCGACACCACAAAGAAACTCAAGATGAGGAACACGTTATGGGCAACCACAGACATTGTTCCAGCAGTTGGTTCACCTTTGGAATAAAAGGATCAAAATTGAAAAATGTTAAAATATATAAATGAAATTCAGTGACAGTTGACAGATTTCTCTGTTATGTTACAATTTTACAAGCGTAATTTAATGATATTTGAGAGGTCTTTCAGCGATCTGCTCTGGTTAACTCCTTAACTCCCAGATAAAATTTGTATTTCTCCTTACTGTAAACCATACAATTCTTATAGTGTTAGTTCAGAGAATTTAGTATTGGATCAACTAATTACCTCCAAATTGATACTTTTCTTTATTCACATTACTTATCTAGCTGATATTGTATTGATATTGTGAGGAGAAATTCTGCCTTAGTCACTCATGGGAGTTAAAGGGTTAAGCCTCGAGCAGACAGGAAAGTAAGGATTTTCGTTGAAAGCTATTAGCAAACCTACTGAACAAACATATTCGTGAAGCAGCCTAACATCCGGTTTCTTTTTTTAGACACAATTAGTTCAATTACAAAAGCCACAAAGATGCTCACCGTCTCAAGCTGGATTCGAGGCAACGAGACGATATGTTTCCTGAGTTCTCTTCATCAGAGCATTTTAAAACAGTGATAGAATACTTCATGCATATGCGACTCTCTTCCATGGATACGAAAATCTTCTCTAGGCAATAATAAGGATTGTTTTGCAAGAAAATTGTGTACCTCGAAGGTGTTTTAGACATTTTTCTTCAAAATGTACCTATGCACTAGCCCAAACCTTGATGTCACTAAGAATACTTACTTTTTTGATCGATGTCAAAGCTTTGACACTGCTCCTCGTTAATGTTCTTAGAGCAGCCTGATGACAGACAGCAGTAGTAAACTCCAAGGTCAGCTTTGCTCAAGCTCGTGACGGTCAAGGAAAAGGGATCGTGAGGTCCCTTCTGACTTACCTTGTAACGCTCATCCATTGAAGAATCTAAAATATAAACATTTATAAAGATTTGAGAATAGTACACTTAACCGGTTGCAAATAGCATTCATACACTTACCGTCTTTTGGCTGATTGATAATGGATGGTAGCTATATAACAAGTTGACTGACTGGCTGGCTGATCATCAGCATAACAGTTGATCTACCTGACGGACTTAGTAACCCAAGATTGATGAATGATCTTACGGACCGAATGACTAACCGACCGAATAACTAAATAACTAACTAAGTAACCAAACTGGATGACGGACAAAATGCTGCCTTGCTGACAGAGGGAATGATAGAGTGACGTAATGGCAGACTGGCTGACTGACCGACTGACTGACTGACTTACTACCTGACCGACTGACTGACTGACTTACTACCTGACCGACTGACTGACTAACTTACTAATTGACTGGCTGACTGACTGACTGACTGAACCGAATAGCTGACTGGCGACAAGACTAACTAAACCACCAAGAACTAAACCACTGAATGACAGACAATAAAAGTTTTTTCGAATTATGTCCAATTCAAACTTACCTATACAAGTCTTAACTGTTTCGTCTGTCTTACTCTTAAACTTCCATTCCACCTTCAGAGGGTATCCTCTGGCACCGCACTCTACGGTTAAGTCGTCTCCCAACTTCTTCGCGACAGTTTCTCCATCTTTACTTTCAAACCACGGTTTAACTGGAATAATGATGATAATGATCATAAAAATAACCATAATGATGATAATAGAGCTGATGAAAATGATAATGCTAATGGCAATACTGATACTACTAACTACTGCCACTGATACCAACGATATGACAACTAATCACAATACTCAGTGATAACAATTATATCACTGATGATAGTGATAATAACAATGATAATGATATAATAATGAAAATAATAATAACAAGAACAACGAGGAAGTTGAAAAAGCCCTTTCCTGGGAGTTAAAATAACTTAGGTTGTCGTTTTTTGGGGGTATGGAAGTTTAATGGGGATTCAGGTAAATGAAGCCACTGCACAATAGAAGGATGTAAATTAAAGAACTGTCTGGTAAAGGATGATGATGAAATAAATCCATACGTAACATAGTAGCTAACGAAGCACTTACTTGTGAGCGAGCTAGTTTCTTTTATTTCGCGAGGCACCTTGTCTTTAAGGAGGACTTTCAAGTTGCAAGAATACATCCCTCCATCTTTCATGCTAATACTTTTGAGAACCAATGAAGTGGATTCTGAAATTCCGTCCTCCTTTAAAGTGTCATTCAGGTTTTCGCCGTCTTTGGACAACCACAAACTTTTCAGTGTTGTGGTTTGGCTTCCTCTGAATGTTATGTTGCAAAAAATCGTCGCGGAAACGGAATGATCCACCGTCAGATTAGAGACAGTCACTTTGGGTATGTCACTTTCTGAAAGAAAACGAACAATGGAGCTCTTGCTGCCTGAGTGTTGTAATGGAGCTCTTACTGCCTGAGTGCTGCTTATAACAAATCTCAACGGCCAATCGGCCGCCGAAGGACGATATCACAATGAGCCAATGAGCGCTAAATGTTTAAACAAGCGAGCTGTTTGCAGCGCGGGAACACGCAGGTGGCTAAGTCGGGAGGGATTTTAGTTTTTGCATCTGATTGGCTGCAAGGGTGGCATGGATTTTATAGACCAATCCCAAAGCATAGTGAAGCAAAAAAATATAGGATCACATTTTACACTTGATAAAAAATTGTTTTAATACCAGCACAACCGGCGTCAAATTTATAACCTTTGCATGGCGTATGATTAATTTCTCTGATTATCGTGATAACGAGCGACGGTTCTCTTTTATTTCTAAGCCCACTCACCACTACATAGAGTAGGTGAAGTTATTATAACTCATTATTTCTAAGCTCACTCATCACTATGTACAGAGGGTGAAGTTATTATAACTAATTATATCTAAGCCTACTCATCACTTCATAAAGTGGGTGAGGTTATTATAACTAATTATATTTAAGTCCAATCACCACTACATACAGTTGGTGAAGTTATTATAACTGATCACTAAATGCATACGGAATTATTTACAGCAGAACCTCGCCCACTTGTCCTTTCTATCGAAACAGAAAATAATCGGAGATAACAAGGAGATCAAGTTAGCTGATGGTAACTGACGAAAAATTAACTTCCAAGGAAATTACTTAAAGCTCGAGGTAAAGAGGTAAGCGCGATTTATCCTCGGTGACGCATCAATTTGTTGCTTGAGTAAATGTCCTGCATGCGTAGTCAAATATCTTTATCAGGTGCTATTCTGGCCGGGGGTTATAGAAACAGTTACAATTATGTAGCTCTTTCACTTAAATTTGAAAATCACTTTATCTAGATGTTTATTAAAGAACATACCTTGAATTACATAAATATGGAAGACAAACTGTGCGGGTTTACTAATGTTCACTGCGTTTGCGACGCATCGGTAACTTTTATCTTTTCCTAACTCGTATTTTTTTGTGACGTTGAGGATTGTCATGGTAACTATGAGCTTGCGACCACTGTCTGCAAGTAAAGAAAAAGGAGTTGAGACATGAAACTTTTCATGAGCCCTTCTTTGATTACAATCAACTTCAAAATAAGTTTTACATATATATATATATATATATATATATATTTATATATGTATATATATATATATATATATATATATATATATATATATATACATAAGTCAAAGAATTAAAGAGGACGCATCGATTCTCGGTGACTCTGAGTTTAGCGCCTAAGCGCTCGTCAGACAGAACTTTTTGACGTTCTGTCTGACGAGCGCTTAGGCGCGAAACTCAGAATTAAAGAGAATCAATACATCCTCTTTAATTCTTTAACTTATGTATACTTAGCTCTGCTACCACAGCATTGAGCACTTTTCATTGCTTTGCCTCAATGCATCCTCTTTAATTCTTTAACTAATATATACTTAGCTCTGCTACCACAGCATTGAGCACTTTTCATTGCTTTCCTTCACTCTGGGCCGTATTTAGATGCATTTTGCCTCTTTCTGTTAGGCCAGATACTGACACACCCCCTCCCTATCCCAGGATAACTCCGACTTGATATTTCTCCAAGACTTATCACCGTCAACGTAGTTGCACTTGCGTGTCAGAAGCCTCAAGCGGTAGAAAATAAAACTGTGGCAGTTTGAACAGTTAAAAAACTAAACTTTGTCAGTTTCCCGAAGCAAATCTAAGGACCAAATAATGCTAAACGTCTGTGATTTATATTTCCAATTCAAGGGTAACTGAGAAGTAGAAAGCCCTGTTCTTCTTAGTAACCTATAGTTGAATTGTCTTCATATGATAAATGACGCACCGCTGCTGAGATTTCTCCCAGTCTAAGCATAGTTTACAAACTTTTCGAGGTTTCTTACCTTCTCGCGTTGTTGTAAAGTTGAGGTTGCTGTCCTTATCGGTTAAATTCTTCTCATTCAAGATATCATCTACTTCAATAAATCGGATGCTTTCTGGTATCTGTACATTGGCCTCATCATAAGCAGTGCAGGTTATTTGGAGTGAGGAATACTCCATCGCATAGCTGTTTGCTGGGGTCACCTCGACTTTCAGCTTAGCTGAGGAGGAAAAGAAGCAGAGAAACATTTAGGTGATAGCTACGAAGGAAAGGAAAGGAAAGTATATGCAAGATTCGCGGGCTTCGTTTGTGATGTCAGGAAGAATGGATGTGAAGGACTCTCTCGAAATCCTTGCACCTCGCATTACTCACTATTTAAGCTAACTTGTCTTTGAGTGCCCAAAATAATTTTATCTTCGTTTCTTGGCAAGACTTTCGTAGGAGATTGTCCTTGTAAACTGTAAAATATGATGTACGACTGGTCTATTGTAGGCAATACCGTACACACCGTGAAAAATGTTCATTTGCTGCTGCAAATGACCAACTGATATATCATAGAAAAAGTTGCTTTTTCAACAAGCTTAAGGTTACTTCCCACCTTCGCGGGTGTCCTTCCGGAAAAAATTCGCACACGCGCTAGTTTCTCTGCAATCCTAGTAAACTATATATCAGAAGATATATAGCATCCTTGGGTGCTTTTGAAGATTTCATAATTTTTTTCCCATGGAAACGTTAGGTTGAACGTTTGAATTCAGTTACGTCAAATAGAAGAGGAATCGATTTTTTTGGGCCTCTGAAGATGGGAAGTACGTGGACAATGGTGGCACCGTTTTTTTGTTACTTCTTGATTTATCAGCAGCTTTTGACACTGTTGACCACAGTATACTACTCCACAAATTGAAGATGCGGTTTGGTATCAAGGGAAGAGTCCTCGCGTGGTTCAAATCTAACCTGGCTGGTCTCAGTCGAGTTGTCTGCCTGAATAGAACCAGTTTCAGCAGGTCTGACCTAATGTATGGTGTTCCCCAAGGTTCTGTTATTTGCCCTATTTTATATCTTTTGTATACGTCTCCTCTTGATGAAGTTTTAAGAAGACATAATATGAATTTTCATTTCTACGCGGATGACTCTCAGGTTTATTTTTCGTTCGACTCTAATTCGTCTGTAATTGTGCCGAGAATTGAAGCATGTTTACATGATATTGCGACATGGATGTCTTTGAGCAAACGTAAACTTAATGGTGACAAGACAGAGCTTTTGGTCATTGGATCGCAACATCGTCCAGTCTCTTTCACAGTGGTTGATGGTTCAGTTACAAATCCCTCTCACTCTGCCAGTAACATAGGTGTTATTTTTGACAATAGTTTGATTATGAAACTTTAAGTGGCTGCCACTTGTAAATCCGCCTTTTTTCACATTCGTAATATTTCTCGTATCAGGAAGTTCTTGTCAGCTGAGAGCACCAAAATGTTAGTGCATGCCTTCGTGATATGTAGATTGGACAACTGTAACTCTCTTTCATATGGACTTCCGAAATGCTTGATTAATAGACTTCAGTTAGTTCAGAACTGTGTGGTGCGTCTAACCTTATGTGGTTCTTAATATGACTGTATTACTCCTTTACTAAGAGAACAACACTGGCTTCCCGTGGAGCAGAGGATTGTTTTTAAAATCCAACTGTTGACTTTTAAATCTTTAAATGATTTAGGTCCTAGCTATATTCGTGATTTTTTGCAAACTTACAAGCCATCTAGGAATTTACAATAATCAACCATGAACTTGTTAGTGACGATTAGATCGAGGTTAAAATTTGAAGGTGATCGTGCTTTTCGGTCTGTGCCTAAAGCCAGTTGGCTTGTTAGCTCAAGCTGTTGGTAGAGCGCTTCACCGGTATCGCAGAGATCGTGGGTTCAAATCCCGTGCGGGCCTGAATTTTTTTCAGACCGTAATTCAACTACTAGTTCAGTAGTGTTCATAACTGCAAGGATCCCTTCTGTGTTCGTTTCTTCAACCGCAGCGCACATATATGATTTTCACATATTTATAGTCATTGGTCACAGTAAATTTATATATGATTGCTCTTATATGGGAAACTGAAGTCGGTGGGTTAGCAAAGCCGTGAAAGGCCTTTAAACAAGTAGAGTTAATTTCTTGCAACTGATAGACTACGTAATAACCTTGAGCCAAATAAGTCAGGAAATTTACTGCTTTGACTACCTCTTAAATGAAATTTTTCTGTGTATGATGGTGGTTGACATAGTGGTTACAAGTTTATCATTTTCGTAAGACAAAAAATCATTATGTTGAGTCGATTGGCTATTCCGCACTTGTCGTTCCTCAACCAAAATTCACGCGCGCACGTCCGTAAAAAAGAGCTTTCTCACTCGAGCATCTACTCGTTTGAACATTCCTTTCGCGTGCGCTCCGCGAGCAGAGGTCAATCTTAAGTTATTCATCACGTTTGCGCATTATTAATATCATAGGAATCGAATGTTATTTCTTCTCTGATCGAAAACTCTTTTCCTGCTCGTAAGTTAGTCTGGATTTTTTTTTTTTAATTTTATAATGATTTCGAGTAATTTAAGGTCCCAATCTATGTATGGTGATAATAATATTCGTTTTATCACAACTTGTAAAACTGATCACCTTTAGGGCAAACGCACAAACTTAAGCAGGAAATTCACAGGTCATGCAATTCGATTGGGTCACGCACGCGCAAAAGAAATCGCTTTTAGATCTCCGCCAGCTTTGGAATGGCACAAAGACATCTCTCGCCAGAGAACTTCTTCGCTATTGTTTTCAAGAAATACATATGACAAAACAATATGGGCTTCAAGTGCAATTTCACTATTAACTCAAAAAGTACCAGTTAGACGACGTGATGTCATCGATATTAAAGTACGCCTATCACATTTTGTTACCTGGCTTGTTGCCAGCTTTGTCGCACTCAGGAAGGGACCTAAACTTGTTTCAACAGAGCTTTTTATTGGGATACCTGTGGTAGCCCAGTCATAAAATGCCTTTGTTTTTTTGTCATCTTTTTTTTTTCCTTCGCCACAAAATGGAAAAATTGTGCAATAGTACCCAGTGGTCACTGGGCCTTCAACACCATGACAACTAACTGTGATCCAATGAGGTGTTCACATGCTGATCACGCGTGTTATCTTGATGATGATTGACGTTGTCATGCATGGACAGAGCCGGGTTACACGACAAACCACCAGATATTTGCTTATAAAACTCTTTTGTCAGTCGTTTTGTATTTCAACACGTTTGGATTACGATCACCTGGAGCATTATGGCGCAAACGCTCAAAATACTTACAGACGCATACACAAGTCGTATTGTTCGCGGCCAATCTACACCAAAAGATGTTATTGAGCGGTAAGTTTAGAAAGGATTGAGTCACGAACGCTTGAAAGCCATGAAAGCCATGAAAGCATTGAATGCCTTGTATGCCTTGTATTCCTTATATGCCTTGTATGCCAAGTATGCCAATGCCTTCTCACTCGAGCATCTGCTCGTTTGAACGTTCCTTTCGCGTGCGCTCCGCGAGCAGAGGTCAATTTTAAGTTATTCATCACGTTTGCGCATTATTAATGTCATAGGAATCGAATGTTATTTCTGCTCTGATCGAAAACTCTTTTCCTGCTCGTAAGTTAGTCCGGGTTTTTTTTGTTTAAAATTTTATAATGATTTCGAGTAATTTAAGGTCCCAATCTATGTATGGTGATAATAATATTCGTTTTATCACAACTTGTAAAACTGATCACCCTTAGGGCAAACGCACAAACTTAAGCAGGAATTTCACAGGTCGTGCAATTCGATTGTGTCACGCACGCGCAAAAGAAATCGCTTTTAGATCTCCGCCAGCTTTGGAATGGCACAAAGACATCTCTCGCCAGAGAACTTCTTCGCTATTGTTTTCAAGAAATACATATGACAAAACAATATGGGCTTCAAGTGCAATTTCACTGTTAACTCAAAAAGTACCAGTTAGACGACGTGATGTCATCGATATTAAAGTACGCCTATCACATTTTGTTACCTGGCTTGTTGCCAGCTTTGTCGCACTCAGGAAGGGACCTAAACTTGTTTCAACAGAGCTTTTTACTGGGATACCTGTGGTAGCCCAGTCATAAAATGCCTTTGTTTTTATGTCGTCTGTTTTTTTTTTCCTCCGCCACAAAATGGAAAAATTGTGCAATAATACCCAGTGGTCACTGGGCCCTCAACACCATGACAACTAACTGTGATCCAATGAGGTGTTCACATGCTGATCACGCGTGTTATCTTGATGATGATTAACGTTGTCTTGCATGGACAGAGCCGGGTTACATGACGAACCACCAGATTTTTGCTTATAAAACTCTTTTGTCAGTCGTTTTGAATTTCAACGCGTTTGGATTACGATCACCTGGAGCAATATGGCGCAAACGCTCAAAATACTTACAGACGCATACACAAGTCGTATTGTTCGCGGCCAATCTACACCAAAAGATGTTATTGAGCGGTAAGTTTGGAACGGATTGAGTCACGAACATTTGAAAGCCATGAAAGCCTTGTATGCCTTGTATGCCAAGTATGCCAATGTCTTCTCACTCGAGCATCTGCTCGTTTGAACATTCCTTTCGCGTGCGCTCCGCGAGCAGAGGTCAATCTTAAGTTATTCATCACGTTTGCGCATTATTAATATCATAGGAATCGAATGTTATTTCTGCTCTGATCGAAAACTCTTTTCCCGCTCGTTAGTTAGTCCGGATTTTTTTTGTTTAAAATTTTATAATGATTTCGAGTAATTTAAGGTCCCAATCTATGTATGGTGATAATAATATTCGTTTTATCACAACTTGTAAAACTGATCACCTTTAGGGCAAACGCACAAACTTAAGCAGGAATTTCACAGGTCATGCAATTCGATCGTGTCACGCACGCGCAAAAGAAATCGCTTTTAGATCTCCGCCAGCTTTGGAATGGCACAAAGACATCTCTCGCCAGAGAACTTCTTCGCTATTGTTTTCAAGAAATACATATGACAAAACAATATGGGCTTCAAGTGCAATTTCACTATTAACTCAAAAAGTACCAGTTAGACGACGTGATGTCATCGATATTAAAGTACGCCTATCACATTTTGTTACCTGGCTTGTTGCCAGCTTTGTCGCACTCAGGAAGGGACCTAAACTTGTTTCAACAGAGCTTTTTATTGGGATACCTGTGGTAGCCCAGTCATAAAATGCCTTTGTTTTTTTGTCATCTTTTTTTTTCCTCCGCCACAAAATGGAAAAATTGTGCAATAGTACTCAGTGGTAGAAACTCTTGAAATTCTCAGTCTGCATTTTGTACCCGCTCTGCAGTCTATATTTTGTATCCGGTCTGCAGTCTGCTGTCTGCATTTTGTACTAACAGGTATCCGTGGCACCAATACAGTTATTTTTTGGTTACATTTATTCGCACAACACACATAATCTAATACAAATACCTGTGTGTGAGGTAATTCGACATTTTCGTTCTTTTCCGCGTTAACACTCTTCTTTACTTTTGTTAGAATGTAGACCACTTACAATGTTTCAAGTAATCCACCCACCCTACAAAAAATAACTCTTGCATGCATAGCATGCCTATGTTTTGAAACAGGTGTATGCCCTTGGCCAGACTTGAGCTTACTATTTCAGAATACTAGTCCGACACCCCTAGTATCACTACACTTGATTCCAAGGATCCAGCACCATCCAGGTATCCCAGTTACCCTGCTCACAGGGTCTAGTAGGTTTTAAACGACTACACCTTCACACTCTTATTGTAAAGGTCGAGATCAAACACTTTAGTAAGCGCACGTTCAAGGTGATTAAAAAAGCATCTCTAAACCGGTACGGACATTAAGAAAATATTTGAAAACGACGAAGAGGTTATAATTGAAGGTACCGTGATCTAACAGTGATTTAAATTTCTCGCATTTTCTCGCTGGTTGCTGCTCATCTATGCAGCAGTTTATGACGAGGAAAATGTCTTTTGAAAACGAGCTTTAATACTGGACACTAACATGTTCAAGACATGGGTAAATAGTGTTGGCGAAAAAGCACCTTTTTTCGCAGTATTGGGGCGCAGTTATAAAACAGATTATCGAATAAATAAATAAACAAACTATGCACCTTAACTTAAACTTCTATCAGGTCTGTCTCGTCGCCCTAGGAACAGAATAAATAAAAACTTCCCCACATTTTAAGCTTAAACAAGCTTAAACCACGCGAAAGGAAGGCATTGATTTACATATGTTTTGAAGGAAAATTTTGCACGAAAAGCGATTCAATCCCCTCCTCTCCAGTTTCCTTCCATGTTACGTTTTCGATGCAGACATAGCTCAATTAGCGACGTAAACTTTTGACAGCAATACTCCAAATGACACCTCAATTTCGACAGATAAAAGATCAGCTTACCGTTAGCAATTCCAGCCACCGAAAATAAGGCCAGCAAAAAGAGCTTGGATGTAGAGACAACCATCATTGTGTTCCGACAGGAAAATTTTTCTTGTTAACGTGATGTTGGTTCAACGTTCTATCCAGCTGGGCAAAGGAGTGTTTGCCTTTATCACGAGACATGAAATATCTCATCAGTAGGCGTTTTTTCAATGCACTTCAGAAATGGTATGTGATTGGCTTGCGAGAGACTTTCACCTGCCAAACATGCGCGTGTTCCATCAAGAGCATGCCAATTTTGCGTGTCTAGTCGGTCGCCTGAGGTCGTCAATCATCACCGGAAAACTTTTATAATAACTTGTACGAATAGGGAATGATTTTTTAGATTGCATAATACTTTTTTCACAAAAATTAGGAAACCGCTTATGCCGAAACCGTTTTTTGTCTATGTCTGCCGAAGGCCCTGCTGCAACTTGAAATAGGCTGTGAATTTCATACGTTGTGAGATATTCCTGTCACAACGAGGGTCTTTTATGTAGGGTTAAAGTTTCAAGGTTCCAGAATTTGCTCGATATCATTGGGGTTTCATAGCGCCTTAAGCAATTCGCAAGTATCAACCTTTGGTCGATAGTTTCTTTGAACACACGAACAAAGGGTGAACGAGCACGAAGCTCGCAGATTGCTCCGGCGTTCTTTGCCTTATCAAATTATTTAATAATTTAGATGAAGGAATCCTGAAAATATTTCGCACACGCTATCATTTTCAGGGGTCGGTAAATGTAGTTCTGTTCCTAAAATAGCTTAGCTTTGAGTTTATCGACACAAACAAGTGTTTTTTTGCACTTTATCTTTTGATCCTTCCGGACTTAGGTTAAACGCACGCGTTTAAGCCGCGGACAATGAAAACGCGCCTCGCCAAGAGAATTCTTGTCACCCTTTGATAGCGTATCCTACACTGACAGAAAAAACAAAGGCGCCGGTACAGGAAAGATTAATAAAACTATAACTCTGAGATGGCATTTCCATTCCCTCTTTTTCAGAAAGATCCGGTACATATGTCATGTAATTTTATTTTAATTAAGCCACAGATTGAAGTAGGTAATTTAGTGTTAACAACTGAGTTGAAAACGTAAATTAGCCACCGTAAAGGGTAAAAAAGCTGACGTTTCGAGCGATAGCCCTTCGTCAGAGCGATTGACGAAGGGCTAACGCTCGAAACGTCAGCTTTTTTACCCTTTACGGTGGCTAATTTACGTTTTCAACTCAGTTGTTAACACTAAATTACCTGCTGTACTCTCTCACCGACGCAGCACCACAGTTTCTTTAGAAACCGTTACCCCCTTTATTCACAGATTGAAGTAATTTTGAAAGTAAAGAGGGTTCTTTCCTTGGGAACGTCTCTTTAAGACTGATGTCATTGCGTTTGCGCAAGACTATATGTAAAGACTAAGATAGGTAAACTTCACCCCAGGGAAGTACCACTGGAAAAGATAATTGAGGAAGTAAGGGGGGGGTGGGGAGGGTAAAGCACCAAAAAAATATATTCATAGAGGAAAAATTGGGTGACGCAACGAGATACTTTGTAAACCATGAAAGACGTGTCAACCAAAACAAATCACAAATAGTCTGTTAAACAACAAACAAATAAACATACAACCTAATGAATTCTTCGTTGCAATAGTATTCAGTAAAGCTCTGTTGCGCATTTGCTATCTATTTTGATTAAAAATTTCAAAACATGTTTGGAGAAATTGCTTAATTATTTCTAAGTACGATAAGTAATCTTGGCTGAGTGTCTGCTTTAGCCAAACAGTATCAATACTGCTCCTAAAGGATACTAACTTTGAAATCTAATCCCTAATATGTTGCCTTTTTAAAACGTGTAAATGCTTTGTAAAAAGGTCAAATCTTGCAATAAATACGATACATTCACGAGTAAATAAACTGATTTACTTCTCTATCACTTTAGAAAAGTATTTTTAAATCTATCACCGCGCAAATAATAATAATATTAATAATAATAATGATGATGATAAGACTCAACGGTAAAGGCGATTCATAATTTTACGGCCATCATAATATTTACCACTATTATTTTACAGTCGATGTAACTAAGTTTTCACTGCAATCATAAGTAAATTTTCTAACCGCAAAAAATCGATTCTACAAAACTTGATGGATAGCGTGCTTTACGGAGATCAACTTGTCATGCAATTCTACGCTACGTTAACAATTTCCTACTAGAAAAAGCGCTAGCTTTTGTGGCATTCCATGCCATGAGACAACGTCTCAGTGTTCACTTAAACATCTACATATCGTCCTAATTTTAAATAAAATTGTCACAGCTTACGTTATTTTTCAAAAAGGAATCTTATGTAGGTGGCTTAACTATCAATATGTAAATGATGCGTCTTTTCATCTTCAGCGGGTTCATCACTATCATCTAGCTGCGCAACAGGCAATTTACAAAACTGATCACGACTACTTTGCTTTCTTTTTCGGTCTAATTCACCGGGAGCTGTTCTTCGTTAGTGCCTTTTTTTTCTCATGTCTAAAATGAATTCCACCAAGTCCACAGGAACGCTGGCATGATGATTTTCAAATGATTTGGAACTGAGGTTGCATGCGCCACTGAAAATTAAAATAAAACAAAAATTTTACATTGTGAAAACTTTTAATTTTGTAGTCCAAAAATAGTTACTCTAACATCGAGCTTAACTGCCATGTCAGACTTATTGTATAGGCGTGAGTACCTTTTTGTTTTGTTTTTAAAAGTTATATCAGGAGTGAATGCTGTCAATTGTTTTTAATTTTTATAGCATCAGAATTTTAAAATAATTTTCTCCTCTCAAAAAGTGCAAGTGAATCTAAATTTTCTTTACTTAGCCATATAAGAGGATTTTAATCAATACAATTTATCTTTTCGTTGGAAAACATGTTTTTAATGGTGTTAGCGGAAAATAAAATGCATCGAGAAATAATCCAGCCAATCATCCAGCAATTGACTGGAACGAACCATCAAAAACCAGGCAGTGGATGCACATTTTAAGACACACAACAGCAGACCCATAGGGCAGAGAACAAACCACAGCAAGTAAATTTCAAATGCTGAGTGAAGTTTATTACCGTTTATTAAAGTTCCGTTGGCCACCTTGACAAGGAAAAACTGCTGACCAGGACCGTTACTTGCACTACATGAGTAGTTCCCAGAATCCTCTGCGGTGGCGTTCTGAATAACGAGGATCGAATCACAGAAACTGCATTCACCCTGAAGTATGAAACGGCCTTTGGCTGTGAGAAAAAATCACAACAAACGTTTTAGTTGTTTACAGTACTCTCACTGAGGGGGGCTTTGTAGTGAAAAGCCGTGATGGATCATTTGCGCCAGCAGTCAAACATGAAACCATAAGGCTGAAAAATCCTACATTTAGGAACTGCTGCTAACTTTAAAGTCGAAATCTTTGATTTCAACAGTGACATTGTCGTATTTTCCTTTTTGGCTAAAGGAATCCAATCAAAAAATATCTCAATGAGCTAAATCTGCACAGAAGTTACCAAGAAAACAACACACAAAAATAACAAAAAAATCGCTGACAGAAATTTTAAAAAAATTGTGTTTAGAAAGAGAACAAACTATGGGAGAAGAAAATCAAACATTCTATAAAGAAAGCTGAGGATATCTTACGTTTGATAATGGCACTTTTTCCCTCGAAGTTTCTCCTCCATTCTATATTCAAAGGATAACCTTCAGCGCTGCAAACCATAGCCACGCTATCCCCAATGTCAGCTGTTAACTTTACCTCACTGATAGGAAAACGTACACGAACTGTTGGAAAAAGATATAGTTATTGCAAATTTTCAATAATTTCCAAGGTTGAAGATGTTCATGGGGAAAATATATATCTGATTAACTAAGGCAAGGCCTTGCTGTGAGAATACTGGTTTGATATCCACCTATAGAATACTGGTTTGATATCCACCTATAACATACTTCGCAGCGCTAAGTCCGTATAAGGGGACCGTAGCCTGATGTTCTACCAGTACGGTCTCGAGTATGCCGGACGAATAAGAAGTTTATTACACCGCTAAACGCTACGTGTTCGGCGTACTTTTACAACAACATTTTTTCACGAAACTTCAACAGAAAGAAAAAAACAAACAAACAAAACCCATGGCACAGTTATTAAAAAAAGAAATATGAAATCTCGCTCCCGCTTCAATGTAATAAATAGCCAAATGATCCTCACACGTGAAGTACACTATGACTATTAGCGGAAAACATGTTACGAATCAGTTTCAAATTTCTTCTATTACAGCTCACCTGTCACGATCATTTCGAGACATATTATCATAAACAAATCAAAATAAGATTTATTTCATTTCTGCATTACTACTTTTAAATGGTATGGTTTTTTTAGCCCTGAGAGATCGCCAGAGAGACCGCCAGCCCCCGGAGTGACCGGCATCTAACCGGCTTCGCTGAATCAAACATCAATGTCACGGCAATAAAGATAATGATTCCTGACTTAAGGGGTTGTTCTACTCTTCAATACCAAAGAAAATGTAAAGAGAACAGTTTGATGGATATGATCACCGATGTAAGGTTTTGAAGGATTTATTCTCACGATCCAAGGGGGCCATTTTTGCCTGGCCTGAGTCTACCCCCGAAGTAATGGGGGCTTGCTGCTCCTCTTTGACGTCATGCATCGAAGGTAATCCTTCCAGCATTTCGTCTGGTTTATTCCGAAACCTCTTGAGTTCATCTTAGCCAAACTCGCCTCCAGGCCATCGTGTCGTACTTACGGACTCAAATGTGAAGTTTATCTTTTATTGTTTTTCCTTTTGGCATTTCTAATTACAACCCTCATTCTTGCACTTACCGTGGAGATAAGCTGCCGACGACGTAACATCGTAAGGTTCTAAGGATTTAAGGTAAACGGTGATTCTACATCGATATTCTCCACCTTCTCTTGCACCGACAGAATTCAAGATTAACGGCTGATTGACATCAGTTGTAGTTTTCACGTGTTTGCCATTTTTTAAGTACGTCACTTTTTTTATAGGTGTGGTTTGCTCGTTATTATCGTGGGTCAGATTACAGTAAAGCCTGGCACTGTCTCCATAAGATACTGTAATGTTCGGAATAAGCCGAGCCACGGGCAAGTCCTCGACTATAAGAGACAAACGACAACAATGAAAAATTAAAATGAGAATGAAAAAAACGGTGAGGTAATGGTTATTGATCTAATCCATTTCGATGAATCCCTACCGGATAACAAATGCCTTCCGGGGTGATAGACTGGTGCAAGGATTGACTAACCTAATGAGTTACGGATCAATTGCTGGAAAGGGTGAATTTTCATTCACTCACTGAGTAACTGACTCATTGACGGACTGACCGACTGACCGACAAACCGAAAACGGACTACAATTATGAGTAATTGAATGACTACAAGAATGACAGACTGACTGATTAACCAACCGAATGACTAACTGACTGACTGACTGACTGACTAAATGACTGACTGGCTGACTAACTGACAGACTGTTTAATCTGCCGACAGATTGACTTAATTCCTGACTTTTTGACGTAGAAATTGACTGTCTGCCTGACTGACTGATACACTGCAGTGACTGCACGCCTAACTGACTAATTGACAGCCGGTGTTAATCGATTACTTTGACAGATCGGCTGACTAACTGACTTTTTATTTGACTGACTACGAGACCGACTGACTGACTTGCTAACTGACCTAACAACTGAATAACTAGGCCACCGAATAGATGCTTTCATATCAAAAGTCTACAAAAACGTCTTCGTCATTCAAGCTAAATGCGTTGGACACGTAAACATGTTTTGATAATTTTGCAACGCTGCTGTATGTTGGAGGTCGTTTGTGGCTCCAAAAAGAGACATTTTCGCAGTCTATTTCAAATGCCTCGAATAAGTCGAGACGCCCCTTAACGGTCAAGTGTTTCCAAACGTTCAAAAATACCATCTTGAAACACTAAACGATAGTTCTGCTGTTGATCAGCACCTGGGTGGGATCTACATCAGTATATTCATCCTTTACGAGCCAAATTCGCGGAAAAAGTAATTATTAATTCCCCTATGTCAAAAAAGACCTTTAAGATTGGAAGGTTTCAAAATAAACACTTTTGGAAATAGAGAAGTTTCATTAAAAGCGAGAAATGTTTTCGTTTTACGTGCAATTTTGGTGCATCTCGACCTCTCGTGCCGTAGGGCGTTGTAAATCTTTTGCGGGAGAGGATCAATGTACTCTTACACATTTGTCTGCGACGACCTTCCACTTGATAATCCAATCATATCGTTGATACTTCAAGTGACTCACCTGCAGTGACATGGATGGTGAAACCGTGTCTTTCTCCTTTTCCGCCCTTGGTAGAATATCCGATGCATGCGTGTCTCCCCTTAGAGGTATCATCTTCGATTGTAATGTTAGTAAAGTACAACGTCGCGGTTATTCTGTTCCCTGTGCAGAGATGTTTTGGCATGTTTATTTCCATGTGGACTGCGAAGCATAACTCTGCGACAAAAGCTCACTTTACAGACTAAGGAGGAGAGCCTAATTAAGCTCCAGAAAATTGTTTTACCGACTAAAGCATACAATAGTTATAATGTGCCTATCCCTAATGATTTTTTGCGTCTCTCAGTAACGTTCAAAGTCTGAGCCTCAGAACCAGGCTTGTAATTTCGTTTCATGCCAACAATTATTACTGGAAAGGACAACTGATATCAAATCACAACTCTCAGGATATGACCTTTTTTGTAACCTCTCAAAAAACCGCACCGTTTCCCCAGGGGTTCATAATATGATTGACCAATCAGTGAAATGATTTGAAAAACCAGTATGACAGTCGATAGCAGCAGGACACGACCTATGATAGACTCCCTTCTCATCGGGAAAGAGCAGTAACACTCTTTGTCAAGCCTGCAATGCGTTTTTGATGATGAGCCACTAAGTAAACATTTCCACTCAGAGAACTGCCTCGAGATCAATAGACATCGATGGCCTACCCTCCCGTCTCCCCAACAAACTACGGCTATACCGGGCTAGAAGTTACTGGTCTAACCTTCTGTTTTGTTAGTTTGAAATACCGTCTCCGTTTCCGGAATGTCTAACCACTTTTCTTCGTAATTTGGAAGTAATTTTCTCCTTTGAAACTTCACCCTAACAGGAGGCAGTCCGTTGTCACCGACAACGATACAAGTGATATTAACCTGTGAACCACTAATGGCGAAGACGTTTTGCGGCAGGGGGTCGATGATCGTTACAGCTGCAGATGGAAAATGAAAACGTCAGTGATATTAAATGGACATGGATACAAAGAGAAAAAAAAAATGAGACGGATAAACAGGCAGGCAGACGGTCAGACACAGATAGCAAGGAAGGCATATAGAAAGACAGACAGACAAACAGGCAGGCAGATAGTCAGACACAGATAGCAAGGAAGGGATACAGAAAGACAGACAGACAAACAGGCAGGTAGAGAGAGACAGGAATACAAGAATTTACACACGAACGGATGAACAGCCGAACGAATGGACGGAACAACGGGCAAACGGTCAGACAGACGGACAAACAGAAAGTCAAATGGACAGAGAGAGACGCAGAAAGACAAATAGGCAGACCGGCAGACGGACGAATGCACGAGCGAACGAATTGACAGACATATGGACAGAAACACAGACAGTTATGGGGCTCCGGTCTTGCACCACGTCAACGAGCCGTACATTAACGTTTGGAAATAGTACTTAGTCAAAGCGTTAATGCCATTTTCTAATATATTCTAAAATATCATTCTTCAATGCAATTAGTTCCTCGTCAATGCTTATCACAAACACCTCACTTACGTTCTTTAGTCAATTTATTTCTTTTGCCATTAATTTAACAATCAATTTCCAAGAGTGAAAAAGGACTGAAAGGTAGCAAGGAAGCCCGTGAGAAACCGCAGGGCTGTTACATGATGGGCTCCCTGTAAGAAATATTATAATTACAGTGTAAGGGTAGAATTGTAGTGACAAATCCATGCCTGTCCTAAGGTTGAGATGAATTGAATTTTCATTCAATTCTTCTTTTTTCCCTAAGGGGACATTTAAACGTAGACTCCAGCTAAAAGCACTGTCAGCTATTCTTTGTCCACGTTAACGATGGATAGAAAAGCTTTCAACAATCTAAAGCATTAGATATGCTCATCAAACACAGCTGTTTTTTCGCTTCTCCTCGTTGCCGGATTATCTCTTGCAAGTCAACGAAGGCCAAGTCGAAGGTCGAAAAGATCCTCAGTACTTTTCCATTACCCGTAGTCAAATTAAAAGCACTAATCTGTCAAGTTTTAATTTCTTTAATTATTTTTTTAGCGGCTTAACTTAAAACATATCAGGGCACAGAGCCAGATGAATAACATGACATTGTTTCTTATTCAGTGACACAATTAGAAAGTGCGACCCATGCATTTTTGATTAAATTTATTTATCAGGAAATTTCCATACTCAGCGACCCGAAATCGTACCCAATCATTTCTGATGCAGTTTGTTTTGATTCGGTGATCCTTTAAATCACGGCAATTTAATGGTTTTGTACTAAGCAAGAACATCTTATTTTGCGTCCCAAATCAGCTTCGGCAATAATCTGCCCTTCAGTGTTAAGGATAAACGTTTAGTCGGTAATGGGATCTTCCCATTGTTGTAAAACAAGATAGTTTAAAGGGCATGTAAACCCAAAAATACATGTTTTTCTTATACTATGTAAAAAGTGGCGTAGAAAACGAATTTGAAATTAGTTTTGTCCAATTCGACTTATTTTAGGAGAAAATCGGCATTTTCAACTGAAATTCCATTTCCGGTAAAAACAATAGCGAGAAGTCGTGACGTAAGCGGTGGAACCAAAATATTGCGCAACACATATTCCCCAGTATAACTGGTGTGGGAGTTCGTGTAAGTAGCGGTAGTTCGGAAGATGTTTTTTCAGAAGATAGCGACTCGAATGCCTTAAGCTTAGTACATGACAGCGCTGGGGATAATCCAGAATCTTCAGGAGAGTCTGGGCCACGTCCTTAACAATATGAGCCGCGTAGGGTTCACCGAAGCGATCCGCACGAAGACAGTACAGAACATGTCGACAGCGATGCGACCGTCTCGGAAACCCAGACTGGTATTTAATTTACTTTGTGATTTATTTGTATTTAACATGAAAATGCAATAAAGCGAGGGTACAATCTAAAGGAATGCAACAGAATTTTTTTTAACTTGAGCTTCTGAAAGTGTTTTATATAAAATTATCAAAGGTGCGAGTGTGGAACTTGTCAACCAATGCCGACAACTCATGAAAGTGTTTGTTGTACGGAAATCGGGCAATTGTGGCAAAATGGCCTGAAACCCAGATAAGTTGTATCACTGAGCATCCAGGTTTTCAGTCAATTTGGCTCGATTTCTGGGTGCTGGAGACGGCCAAGTACGCGTACAGGCAGCAGCAAAGCACAGATAATCACACCGGAAACGACTAAGCTAAATATTTTCTGTTTCATCTGTTTTGTTACATTTTGAGATCGATTTACTTGAGTTGTTTCTGCCATTGATTTAATAATACAGTACTAGAGCTAGTTGTTTTTCGCTTCTTTCCTGACAGGAAATTTCGCTAAATTGCCTACAGATAGCTTGTTCGTTGGTGTTGGGGATATCTCGGCAAACACTTTAGGGTCGCTGTGCTATCTTGTGCGGTAAACAATATCCTTCATCTCAGAAGCATTTCCATCGATAAACAAGTTGTATCATGTACATTTCCTTGTGTGGCCTTCATAATTATCCAACCCTGTTTGTGTTTGCTTCGATTTGAAATATTGAAAAGATAGTTTTGCAAGCTGAAATCAGGATCTTTTAAGTTGTACTCAAAATGATGAATATTGTCCTACTGACCTTTGAATGTATTTTCACTGCTGTGAAAACCGTGACACAAATTCTTCTGCTGTTTCTCTTCAGGGTTTCTCAAAGGAAGCACCAAGTGGGGCTGGCTTGGATTTTCTTATAGAACATAAGGGTTGATTATGGGATCCTGTATAGAATTCTTTGTATCGAACCGACAAAATTCCAGATCACGTTATTACACACTGATATCAACGAATTCTCTTTCTTTGATACGTGTTTCGAATTCAGGCAAAGGTTCAGACATGTCAGTGTCTTTTACGGGCTCAGCGCTGGCTCCCAAACAACTGGCTTCCCCATAATCTTTCATTAGATGAGAAAAAAGATGCTTTTAGAGAACCAATAAAGCTATTGTTGTTTAATTAACGAAACGTTTTCATGTAAATCGATTTTGTACTTTCTCTGTTGACCTCTAACTTTTGAAGAGCTCAACTTCTTTCTCAGTTCGGTCGGCCACTTCCGAATCCTCGTCGTCTGCCGACTGTATGGGTCGTTTTTATACTTCCGAATAATTTGCTTCTGGTGAGGCCTGAATCGTCGGTACAGCACCAGGAAGAAAAATGACTGCTACAAACAACAGAACGTTCGAACGGCTCGACGAAATTGGCTATTTTCACTTGAACAAATTTCACAAATTGTCGCTTCAAATTTGCGTCATTTGGAAATATTTGCATTGTATGCCCAGTTTTGTTTGAATCAGTACAAAACTGGACGACACAACGCTTCACCATTACGAAAAAAATTGAATATATTGAAGCAAACTGTAAGTAAAAAAATCATGACGAGACCAGCAAACAACGGCTGTAGAAAAGACTCCTTCGTGCCTCACGCGATTATAAAACGAGACTTTGGAGGGTCCACCCGTGACGTCACAGGAAAGATGGCGCCATTCAAGATGGCGAATGTTTCCAATTTGGAAGGGCTTTTACAAAGTGAAAATGGACTTTTGAGAATAAACGAATGGTATCTTTGGTGTACTTGATATATTTACAAAACATCTATGTGAAAAGAAAATGAACGTTTTTTGGGTTTACATGCCCTTTAATGTAGCAGTAGTTAAAATAAACAAGATTCTTTCATCAACCTGCTGATGTCACGCAACGTAAATGTGATAACCGCATCTTTATCAATAAAGGGCAAAATTACTGAGCGCTGATTGGTTGAGAGAGAGGGCATTTTTTTCTTAATCGAGGGCATTTTTAGTAATCAAGAGAGGGCATGATTACCTGTTAATGATTGGCTAATCCGTTGCATAGCAACCGTTCGTTATCTTGAAATTTTGATTTTCCTTCGTATAAATTTTGCCCTTTATTGATAAACAAGTAATCCCATGCTTCGCGACTCGGGCAATTTTGGAAAATTTTGAAAACTCTCGTGCAATTAATCCTTAATAGTACTTGGCCTCATGTGATTACCTATACTAATTAAGTAATTTTCTACAAAATTGCAGATATGCATATGAACTCATATGGAACCAGTCGAAATTAGAATTATTTTATTAAGATAATTTATTCGTTCATTTTTATTTTTGAGTTTAAAATTTGGGAAAGTGCCAATTAGAGGCTAACATGAAAACAAAATAAATCATAATTATTCTTTCAATTTCTGAGTCATGCCTTTCGAAGATGTTGCGTCGCAATAAAACAACAAGAGAAAATGCTTTACGTGAAACAAAGAAACTTGCAGGAAACCGTTCGGTTTATGTATGCTTGTTACTGCATGTTTGTCACGACACAGATCATACGATGTTGTGAAAAGAGAATCATCCGAGTACAATCAAAGTCTGTGTTTTCCATTAATTGTTTTGCAACATTCTTATCACGATGCAATAAATAGATTTTCCTCCAAACGAAAATGGGCTCGTTTCCGTCTGAAGAAGATAGCGAAAAAATGCTACTGAAGATACGATGTTTTGTAGTTGACTCAATGATTTCAATTCATCTCTGCAGAACTGAAACTTAAACGCGTACCCAATCGCCCTTTAAGTTTGCCAATCAACCAGAGATGTTTCTTTGAACAAACTAGATATGTAACTGAGACGAATTTTCCAGCTCATAATTCTATCCCAGTCGCTTCCAGTTTCTGCAGGTTGCACTAAGTTCCCGAAGTAAAACAGCTTTGTAAACAATTAAAAATTTTGGACGAGTTTTCCTCTTTGTGGATGGCTCAGAAATAACACATCTGTAATAGATTTTTACATTAAGCCTACCTTGCATGGAAACGTGAACGAGTAAAATCAGGTTGCAAAGCAATGCGTAATTTCCCATGTCTGTATTCTTGGCACACAACAAGCGACTCATGCGATCGGGAAAACCTTAGTAATAACACCTTTCCCCGGCCTGAAATGTCTTAAGGTCATGTTAACGATGATGTCATCGATTACAAGCTTATTTCTGAGTGGTCGATTTTCCATCTTTGCAAAACAAAATAATTCAAACAGGCTGCTATTGACACAGTTTGTAAAGTGAAAAAGTCAAGGTCGTGTCTGCTCTTCTTTGGCAGGTTTTGTTTTTAGATCTTAATAACTCTATCCATCACCCTTTTTTAAATGAAAATAAAAGTTAACTTGCATTGAAGTAGTCGGCCCGAAAATTTATTCCCGCACCTGACATCAGATACCCAGGATAAACCCGCTAATTCGTCGAAACTCGACGGATCTGGTAAACAACCCCTGTCCACTTCGTTGATTTCTATATAAACCCCAAAAGCCTGAGCGAAAGTCTACTTTCTGTGTTTTCCAATTGTGTGTAATAATGCATTCAACTCTTCTAATCAGGAAATTTACAAGTTACTTTACCGCACGCGTGCTATTGTAAGAAAAAACGGTTTTCCGGGAAAATCCCCCGATATTTCGCAACAGACAACAATAACATTTCGTGACACTTCAAGAAAAGAGGAAAATTCTTGAATGCGCGATCGTAAAAACCATCTAAATTCAAAATGAGTAAACATTAATTTCAAGTGTAATAAAAATACAAATTAAATAGTCGAAAGGAAGCGCAACACTTGTCGGCAAGTGTGACGCAGTCCCCAGTAGTGCTAGCCTATTGTTAATCGCCCTTTATCGATATCTTTCTGAGTGCTCATAAGCCTTGTCGTTAGCTCTGCCGTGCTGTGTGACCGGAAAAGCTCTCTGTGGCGGTCATCTGAACGGCTTTATCATTCAACCTCTTCCCTGTTTTCATGAAAAGACCGAGCTTCACCTCTACGACGCCTCACCGCCTTTTCACTGTTTACAACATACTGTTTTCACCGCATCCTTCTTGTTACGTGCTGACAGTGTCGCAAAGGGTCAAGACGAAACGACGAAAACACAGGCGTATATTGTTACATTGACCAAACAAGACAGATTTAGTTTCCTACGTTGTTTCGGCTACTTTTTCTTAAGATTTACACCACAGCGTCAAAGAGTAAGTTAACCACATAGATGACTAACACTATGCCAGAATTTGTTGGTTTTTTTTTTGCTTTTGCTTTTTCGGTCTCTTAGGTCACTGAATGGCTTTGCCTGAATGTTTGATCTGTTGCTCGATATCCTCTAAAACCTGTGCGCGGGAAAGCTCGCCTTTCCACACTGAACATAGAGTAAAAAAAAAGGTTTTCAGAGATATTTCTGATCATCGGCAGACCGGCTAGGGTGTCAAGGTGCCGTTCTCGAAAAATGCAAATGATTACATGAAAATAAATGTAGCATTTCAATTTCATATTCTGCACGGCTCTTGAGGGTTTAGTGTTTGATTTTTCAGTAAAAAAGAGTATTGTAGTGAGTTGATAGTTGGAGAAATTTGGAAGTTAGATCTCGTTTCTTTATCTTCCGTTCTTTTTATCACGTGGTTTCTCAGACAACTAAGGAAACGTAGGAACCCAAGTCAAGCTGTGTTTTTAAGTTTGAGAATATTACGTAAAGCAAATTACGTGAATATTAATGAGGGTTTTTTCGTGTGGCTTTCCACTTTGTTTTCTGTAATTGTTGTGCAAACGATCTTTCTATGCAATTTTTATCTGAGTAATATTTTTACTGAGTGGGTCATAGAGTGATATCTTTTGTTTTCGATGTAAGGCATATAGCTAACAAGCTGCAAATGTCTTGTGCGTGAATGTTCGTGTCCAGTGCAAGATATTTACCGAACTTCTGTTTTTCCATTGGTGGGTTTTATCAATATCAATAAAACCGCCTTGCAATACAATATGAGCTCGCTATCTCTTGAACGGCGAAATTAGAATGCAATCAAGAGGTTATTCAAATGATCGCCATTTACTCAACAGACATACAACGCCGGAACTACCCCACGCAACTCCATGCATGAACTCTGATAGTTACTTTGCAGGTAAATTGGTTCTTTCTTCGCCAAACAAGAGAGAAACCATTGCAAAAAAAAATTCTTCCTTTTCCATTATCTGTCGCACAGAACTGGTTGATGAAAAACCTAACTTTGTACTGGTAAAAACCGGTTTGCGTCAGTGTCAAGCATGCCCGTCAGTGTCAAGTCTACCGTATAATCATCAAAACGGCCTTTGAACCGGCAACTTCTGCAAAAATTGCGTGATGCTTTCAAGGTGTTGAAATCTATTGATCGCTGACTAAGAGAGTGCAAGCGACTTATTTCAACATCCTTTCAAGGAAAGCTCTCCTTAGATGCCGCATTCCGTTGCGGTGAAATCAAATACTTGAGTTGCGACATTTTACGGAAATTGCCGAAAGTGATTCAAAAATGAGCTTCCTTTCGAGGGCTCTCAGCCGTTATTTGAATGACATAATAATATTTCTTTGAGGGCTGTTTAAAGTATTGTAAGATATAGAATTAGCTATAAGCCTACGGACGACTAAAGCATCCAAATAATAAAAAGATGGAATTAACGAATGCAAGGATAGGTGGTTAACTGAAAGCATGCCTACCAGGCCTTTCTTTTCCCTTTTCCAAGCGGAGCAGGAGCAGTGTAAGGGCATGGGACAAAAGTGAACTAAAAAAAAGGCAAAAAAGTGACGCACCCCGGACCTTCTGCGCAGGTTAGTTCACAGACGACTGACGTTTTCGGGTCGAATCATGCGAAACCCGAGTCAGCGAAATGAAATTTTTAAAACTTGAATGATTTAGGGAAAAATCAATAGGCGATCACCTTGATTTTGAGGGTAGTTCAGTTGAATCAATTTATCGACAGTCACTGATTGTGTGAATTAGGAAACGAACGACTGAGTGAAACTGATAGAACAAACGATTATAAATCAATCATAAAGCAATAAGTGCACCGAAGCGATCGATAAAGAAATCCATTCTTCATTGGTTATAAATAGATCGTTCGCAATGCTGAACTGGAAGTCACGTAGTTCACATGACTGTTTACGCTCTTTTTCCGTCCCAAAAGTAATAAGTCATTCCCAGAGTACTGTTTACATCGAGTTGAACTTGCGGCTAAAGAATCAGTTCCAAAAGATCAACGATCAAAAGCAAAGCGAAGTTTTGACTCTGATAGAGTGTGAACACAATGACGGAAAAATAAAGACTGCCTTGTCTTACCTCGTCATCAGTCCTGCCATCTTCGGTAGTCCTAAAATTTTTCCCCCGCATGCTCGTTCATGATAGTCGTGCTCGAGCAGGCATTTTGCTTGATCTGTCAAAGACAAAGAAGAGTACTTTAACTGAGGGTTTAACTGCACATCTCACCAAAACTTCACCATCCTTGACCTTTATCTCTTCCTATCACATTGCAGGCACGTGGGCCTAAATGACTGCTGTATGGCTGTCTCAAGTACACTGCTATTCTTGCGTTTGTTTGCAGTCATAGATTACTGTTAGCAACACAGGAATGCGCAAGGTGGAGATTTTTGGGCTGCGGAAGGTTTTTCATCAGGGAGGAGGGAGTTGGGGTCACAGGTCTAAAAAAAACCCTCCCCCCACCCCCTTTCTCAACTCCTCCCTTGAGTAATGTCGGAAAAGAAAAGAGGAATGGCTTGTTATTCTTCACTATTACTAAATGATGGGTGTTGGAAACAAAATGATGGGTGATGACGGGTGAGGGGCTTATGGGTAGGGATAGAACAAGGATTCGCCTGTGGAAAATATCATGACTGAAAAAAACTGAATTCAGCAATGCAATGCTTGTCTTTAGACAGCCAGAAACAGAGTTCACTGTTCAAGAGGCAGACCGCTTGTGTGTTAAAAGCCTTGGGATGAGATTATTATATGAACATTTATAAATAAGGATCTCATGGTTAATTTTTTTTTAACTTAATACTGAACTTTAGACTGATTGACAAAGGAAAGAGTACATCCAGGCATTTAAGCTCGACACGATTTCTAGTCGTCCGTGTTCATAAATGTTTCAGTTGAAAGGAAGGTAGCAGCCCCGGCAACTAACAATCTTGTTGATTGGAATCACACCAGTCGATAGAGTGGAATTTTAAGGTAATGGTTTGGCACAGAACATTATGTCAATACTTAAATGCGACATTGTTAAAAATTTCAAAAAAAAATTAGGTTTCCCCCCTGCCATGAATGACACCTAAAACCGGGATAGATATTTAGGGTTCTTGGAGAAATCATCGAAACCCTCATTATGCTTGGGAGTTACATCATTCCTTAGAGATCGTACCCAAAGGAGGAAAAAGACGAAGACCATTTACGCACTTCAAGTTCTCCCTAGTGTCACTCGCCTAATATGTTTCTTAAATTTACTCTACTGTTGATCACAACTGAAGGAATTTGTTTGACATTCATCCGATGCTAGATTCTTCCTTCTGGCCCATACTAACCGGAAAAATGGGAATATTCATCGAGCTTTATTTTTTTTTTCCTTTCGCTTGTTGGTTGTTGATAATTTTTTCTCGTTGTCACGCGATTGCGTTTGAGATGCGACCTTTAAACTCAGTTCTTGCATCATCGTTACCCGATTGGACATATCGGGTCAGTCTGAGTCATTCAGTTCTTAGAGAAAAGGATAAAAAGTGGCGGTGGATAGAGATCGGCGTTATGTTTTCCGTAATTTTTATTATAATATATATTTATATTTTATTATAATCTCTTGAACACAAACGACGTCAAAATGTGGTAAAAACCGCGAAAAAGTGCTTCACGAGGCTTAGCCGATCGCGTCACTGATCGATGTCCTTGCCACATTTTTCCCGTCTTCTGTGAACTATTTCTGTACAGATCCACGAAAATATGAAATCTTTTAACAGTATATGTTATAGAAGAAAAATATTGTCAACGTCTTCCCTCCGATAGATCATAAGAAGGAATTAACCAACCAAAAAGCGACTGTAACTCAGCGTATCAGTATTGAAAATGTTTGTGTTACTAAGAGTTCGAGTTAAAATTGCCAAATGCCACGCAAATAATCAGTTTTTGTCTGCGGATAGGTTGAGAAATTTTCATAAGCATCATAGGGACTGACAGATAATTTCAGCACCAAACAGACTAAGTAAAGTATTTACTACTTTCAGTGCAGTTGGCCAAATACAGGATCATGCATCTGTGAGGGAAAGTGATTGATGTTTATCATTTCCTTTCGTTTTCAGTCTTAAAATTATGTGTTATCAAGAGTTCGAGTTAGAATTGCCGAATGTCTCGTAAATAATCATCGTTTGTCGTCTGATAGGCACATAAATGTTAACAAGTAACGTAAAAACTTTAAAAAAAGATGGCAAAGATTATTTCAGCCCCAAATAGACTATGTAAAGTGTTTCCCTGATTCAGGGAAGTTGGCCAAATACATGACCATGCATCTATGAGGGAAGGAGGGGGGGTATGCAGTGAGGAAACCATCTCTAATCCCTGAGTTTAAAATGAGCCATGTACTATTAACAAAATAATCTGTTCTATTCACAAAGCAAAGAAAGTGCACCTTTGGAAACCCCCCTCCTCCCCCCTGCTTCCCAATGAATGAAATGACACCCTTTAAAGGAGGTTAAACAAATATTCTGCCCGGGGGAATTAAGAATTCTAATCATGCCAACACTGACCTCGGCAATAAACTTAGGGGAAGTTTTTTTTAGCGAGGTCGAATGAATGCCGTCCAAATGAGGTAAATTTAAAAACTCTGTAATTGCTTCAGTCAACTTTGCCTCTACTTTGCCTGGATAGGAAATGAAACCTAAAGTATTATCAAACACATTCCACGGTAGTTTTGCTGAGATTGTTGTTTTACAAATCCGCATGTTCTACCCTCTATTTCGATATGTCGAAACCTCAGGGGATTAATGTCGCCATTTATCAATTTGTATTCTTGTGTTCTCTGATTGGATAAAATTGAACCTTTACATTTTAAAATGGTAAGATAGGTAAATGATGACGAGATTGATAGGCAAGGAAAATCGAGAACAGTTGAGAATGAAGAAATGTAACAAGGATTACTTGTGACAAATATAGCTGAAAAAGTTATAGGAACCTTGACCTAGCTCTTGAAATTTCCGGCTTTCTGGAGTATATCAAGGATTTTTAATTAACGAGAATAGAAGTAGAAGTAGTAGTTTCCATTGGATACGTGTTAGCACAATATGACAGTCATGAAAACAGCTTGCTACCTTGTGATCTAATTCTCATGTGATCTAATTCTCATGTGATCTTTCAGGAAAAAGCTCCCCACAACGTAAGCATGGCCGATGTAGCGAAAATTCTGCTTCTTTCTGCGGCGATTTTTCTCGTACAAAGTGTTCTAGGTAAGTCTATATATATATATATGTGTGTGCCAAAAGAACTAAAATACTTCTAGGGTGTGTTAGTGAGTTCAGTTATTGATAGACTTATCCTGAGAAATCCACCAGACCATATCGAATTTAGCGATGTTGATTAAAATTTCAAATCAACAAAACCACAAGGTATAATTACATGCTTCGCCACTATTCTCTAGCAAAAAGAAAATGTCTGAAGGTGTCAAAACTGCTGCCTCATTTGAACCCTGATATTACAATGTAAAATCATAGATGTAGGGGTGTCAATGAAAGTCGGTTAACAGCCGTCAACCGCCGCCTTAAAGACTGCTCACTGCCGTCTTTGTCGCCTGGCATCAGGCTGTCGTGTTTGGGTTTCGCCTTACGGTGCAGCCGCCAATAACACCAACGGTAGTCGCTAATGGAAATAGTTATTGAAACTCCTGTAAATGGAGTCTGCGTAGAATACCAAGTGTTGAACAAAGGCATTAATCGTTCGTGAAAATATACACGCGTCCGGATGTTTCATATGAACTGCGGTTACGCCGCAATTTAGGCGTGTAGAAAAAAAAGTAATTTACATTTTTCCCTTCATCCATTTTATTCTTCTCAATCCTCAGAAACCCGTTTTCGTTCTTCTTTAGTGTTTTCCTATTTTTCAAATTATTAAAAAAATTATCTGTTTACCTATAAATGTTATAGTCTCCTGCAAGCTTATGTATTTTTACTCAGTGACTCTAAATGTCGGAATGAGCTCTTCTAGTTTCAACCAGTCATCATGAAAATTATATGCAAAATTACAACAAATTTTCCAGGTTTCCGTGACCGTGAGGAAAAATAAACCATTAAATTAAAGTTTTCCCAAGTAGCGCTGAAAGAATCTATCAATAGATAAGTTGAGCGTGACTTAAAACAGCAAACGTTACACTGTATGTTAATAATAAGTTTTTTCGGCTGTGTTTACAATAAAGTGAGTAAATATTTCCTCTAGCGTTCGAGATCTTGATAGCATTCTTTAAGTCTTTTGATCAGGAAACGCAACTCTGATCGCAGATTTTATTAAGAAGACTTTTTCTTAGTATAGCTTTACTGTTTTAGTTCTGTTCACCAATATAGGGCAGTAGGTTAGAACTAGGTGTATTGATGAAAGATCTTCAGCGATCTAACATAGCTGCCATTCCAACCAGTTGCTTAGGAACTCGCCTTTTTCGTCGGAGGTGGCCATTGCATTTAAGTTCGAAGAAAAAAGTAATTACCCCAAAATTTACAATCACGAAATGAAATTAGGGACGTTAGGCAAAGTATGATGGCGATGATTTGGTTTTGCCGAGAGGTATTTGTTATTGCCGTGACTAGTGTGGGTCACCTTGAAGTATTCCAGAAGACACGATATATTTCTAACAGACGCGCGCAGCCGAAGTGCGCCTTTCTAAAGTAAAGCTATGCGTAAAGAGCTCAATGGACACGTCAACACTTCTCACATATGCTATTAAAATGCGGAAGTTTCTCGTTGAGTTTAGCGCCTTGAATGACGGTAAGCTCATTCAGCCATTTGCGGGAGTCCTGCTAAAAATTAATTAATTATTTTTTTTAAGCGAAGTGTTCCTCAGAGATACTGTCCTGACTGCTTGAGGTCCCCGGTATTGATTTATCTGATCCATTTGCGACCGAAAAAAAAATTCAAGAAAAGTTCTCTTTTCTTTTCTGAAACACTGTTTAATACGAGACCCTGGATGAAAAGAAACGTTTTTGATCAGTGTTGGGTGCGACAGACGAGAAATTATCACATAAGTTTGAAACAGAAGTAACCCAAATTGAAGCAGTTTGAATTACACTAAGTATTGGAAGAGGAAACATTGGCTACAACTGCGTCGATTCTTTTCCTTCTAGTTCACATTACTTTCGACCATGTACCATTTACTTTAAGGTCTTAATAGGGTTAACCGTCAGTGGTAAAACAGAAAAAATTGGCAGTTAGACGAAAACATTAACAAACTTTAACCGTTTGCAGGAGCCTTCTATAATTAGCTCCTGCTAAAGGCAGGAGCTAATTATGTGCCAGGTGAGGAAACCGTTACGAGACTACTGGAGAAAACGTCTAACCAAAATAGCAGAAATTTTTGAGAGCATATGATCAAAGATAAGAAAGATATGGCCTCATAAAGTCTTAGTTGACGCGTTGGTACACTTCCTCAGCACCACACAAACGTGTATAAGACTTTTTTCGACGCACTGAGGTTTCATCCATCGGCCGCAATAGATTGTCATGTGCTCTTTTCACAGGCGTAGTTGGATAAACACACCATAAGTGGAAATAAAAATGTGTGAAAGGATTCTCAGTTTTTTTCGTCTAGATAATGGGTCATTTTACCTAATCTTTCAGGTGCAAATGATATTAAATTCGTCAAGCCTCTTCCAAAAGGCGTCTATGCTTTTGAGTTTGACTCAGCCAGCGTTACATGTATCGCTTTGGATTCTTCCGGCAGTACTGAGCCTCTGATCATCAGCTTTAAGAGGAAAGACTACGTGGGTGAACTTCGTGAACTAGTGGAAGATGACAACGTCTTCTTCAGGAACCAAACTCAGTCAGTCGGTGTGTAAATAAATTGTTCTTTTTATGCTTTAATACTCACAAATCTGTGTCTCCTTCTGGTGGACGACGCAGTGACCTTAATGTTAGTGCGCTGGACTCAGCTGAACTCAGAATCACGAAGAGGTCTGGGTAGAGTCTTTTCTGTATAATAAGAGACATGAAAAAACACGCGCGAATGGCAAAAACTTGGTCAAAAGTACTTTAATATCAAGACTTTGTCTGTCTTTGACGTGATACTCAACCACAGTCCTTATCGACACCGGAATAGACCGAGTGCAAATAATGTAATAACAACAAAGTGAGCCTTAAAATGCTAAAAGAGAAGGATAGAGAAAAACCGGAAGAGGTTAAGGGGGGGGGGGGATTTGGGGGGAAGGAGCCGGGTTACTCTTTCCGGGCGGGAAGACAAAGCAAGAAATATTGGTTAGGAGGGAGGATACAATTTTTCTTGCGGGTCGGGAAAAGGAAAGTTGTTAATGATATGTGTCAATACTTGTCTTACAGAATGAAAGAAAAGCTATGGAAGATTCTGACTTATTGAACATTATGTTTGCAGGTAAAGACACAAAGCTTTTTCGCACAATGGTGATCAGAAATGTGACGCTAGAATATGACAGTTTGTCGGGAGGTTATGAGTGCCATGCGTTTGCAGGAAATATGAGCAAGAATCCAGAGGACAGATTTGCCTTCAATGTCAACGTAATCAAAAGTATGTCTGATTTGCACCTGCTGTATCACTGTAGATCTTAGAAAATTCACTTATTGACATCATCTCGCCGTCAATCACTAAGGGAGAGATCTCTTCGCCATTTTTTTTTTTTTTTTTTTTTTACACTTCTTCCCATAAAAACCTTGCCTCTTTTCATATTTTTAGCTTGCAAAAAGAATCCCTTTCGATTCGCTGGAATCAGTTCGAGGGCGAAGAGAGCGGTAACCTTGATTACGCCCGAGTTAGCTATCCCTTCCGCCTTCCCCTGAAAGTCAGTCACACTCGTCAGTAGTAGGATTGAAATATAAACTGCTAACATGGGCCATTTTTGTCTTCATGTAGCAAGTTATTCAAAAATAAAGAGTCAACTATTATTGCCTTCCCAGAGAACGAAATTCCTAAAGTCACAGTCACACCTGACACTCAAGTCCTGAAACACGATGAAGACCTCACCCTCTTTTGCAACTTAACCAATAAAGGAAGCGATGGAAATAAACTAGAAAAAATGTATTGGTTTAAAGATGATGTGTTGTTAGATAGTCTGAAAATCGAAGAATCGGAAAAAGACTCTCTTGAGTTTCCACGGGAAATTAAACGCGTGGGAGTCAGAAATGGAGGAATATACTCGTGCGTTCTGGAGGCCAAATTGAGAGGTGTTCTGGGACACAACGTGTCGGATGACGCTATGATTCGCAGTAAGTGTTTTTCTAATTTCACAAGCTCGATAACTGAGGTAACCCTACTGTGATCTTTTACGAACTTCTGTCGCTTATGGTGACTTACATTTTTAACAAAAATTGATAGATCACTACTACTACAATTACTACTACTAAAATTTTCCTTTTCCTTCTTTAAAGGCTCAATAAACACATTTCCATTTCCAAATTTTTGAGAAATACTTAATATAAAACTTTTACCATAGCAACACTACGGTCTACCTGTAACTCATAAACGCGTTTAGTGATCCTCGTTTCCATTATCGAACTGACACAAGCTATTTTTTATAGTTTTACAATCTTACTGAAAAAAAAAGCTCCGGTATGCTCTTGAAGCCATTTTAGAGAATTTACATCAGTCACATCAAGAGATTAGCTTTACTGTTGGTCGCCTACCTTTATCAAGGAAATTTAAACTGTCGTTTAGCTGAAATCTACACGTATTTTGATTGGTTCCTTCTCACCATCTACTGGAGGACAGACACATACATAGCGTCACGATTATAACTTTTTGCTTGTTGATTATATGAAGCAAAGAAATTCCATGTTGACGTTGTAGATCGGAAACGACGTCAAACTGGGGTAAGAATTACATCAGTGACATGCTCTACCGCGCCTCGTGCGCCGTTGTTTTGTTCTCACCGCATTTTGACGTCATTTGTGATGTATAATAATAATAAAAGAATAAAAGAAGTTTAATTCCACCATCATCGTAGTTGATCTGAATTACAATGTGGTTACAAATGTACAACTATAAGAATTACATGCTGTTAATCAATAAGGGACTGGGTTACAATAGATTTTATATTAAAATTACAAATACAAGTTAAAATATATATGTAGGCATATGGTCTAATCATCTATCTATTTTTCTGTCTATCTATCTATCTATCTATCTATCTATCTATATGTCTATCTATCTATCGATCTATCAATACATCTATGTATCTATCTATCTACTATCTATCTATCTATATGTCTATCTATCTATCTATTTACCTATCTATATATCTATGTCTACATATCCACTATTTATATATCTATGTCTATCTACTATCTATCTATCTATCTACTATCTATCTATCTATCTATCTATCTACTATCTATATATCTATATGTCTACCTATCTATCTATTCATCTATCTATTCATCTATCTATCTATCTATCAATATATCCATATATCTATCTTTTGTCTATCTATCTATTAATCTATCTATCTATCTACTATCTATATATCTATATGCCTATCTATCTATCTATCTATCTATCCATTTATCTATCTATCTATCGATCGATTAATCAATATATCTATCTATCTATATTTATCCATATATCTATCTATTTGTCTATCTGTTTACTGAACACGTAATCGTGGTTCAAATTTCTTAGAAATTAAATGAAATCTTCTTTCTCGATATTTTTTCAGTTGCGACCTGGCTTCCAAAACCTGGAAAGAATGCTAAGCAAAATTTGCACAATGTTGAGCAGAAGTCATTCAAAGGAGATAATGTGAGTTTTGAATGTGCAGCCAAAGGATTTCCTCTAGAGATTGAATGGAAGATAAAGAAGAAAAATGAGGACACCGTGCAAGCTTGTATAAGTAAGTCTTTCACTTTTCATTTCCCATTTCTTTTTCTCTCTGCGAGAATTGATCACAGAGTAAAACACGACTTCAAAACTGAATAAAGTTGGGTATCTATCAACTTTCAACGCGAGTCGAAATAAAAGCCTTCAAGATATCAAGAAGGGAAAACTTTTAAAAATTTCAACTGTAATTTTATCAGGGTATAATTAACTTCAAATATCATACTTCCTTTATTATATTAAGTGTCAAAAAAATGCTTTTAAATCTACGATCAGTTTATTTCTACCAAATAAACTCATGTACCGTCTCTTTCCTTTTCGACCCTCCTTCATGTTAATTGCCTACAATTTTTCCTTTTCTCACGAAAATGTGTTTAATCAGAACAAGCCTTCGTTTAGGAACGCCTCCGTTATCTGAAGGCATTACTTGTTTATTCCAGGATAATTAGAGGTTATAAATCCTCTATAAATCATCTACAAAGAGTTATTTAAAGATGTAGCCGGTTTAGCCTCCTCCCTCTCCCTTCAGATCCTAACGATCGCGCTGGTTCCAAAATTGTCCACTTTCCCTACCATTAAACTCTGCTACACCAACTGTGACAAATAATGATCTTGATGTCTTCTATCCCTATTGCCGCCATTCCACAAATTTAACCATCAACCGTCTCAATACCATGGAAGATATTGATGCCATTTCTTGCCATTGGTGCCAAAGTTTTCCCCCTAACTGCCAAAGTCGAACCCCGCCCACGACCCACCCCTTTCCACATGGAGACCCTCAACTATGCCTCTTACGCCAGATTCGGGGAGACACAATGAGAACTTATCCCTCAATCCCGATAAACTTTATTTCTATGTAATTTTTTTGTGCATTCACCATTGCCTATTGTAATTAAAAATATCTATAGAGAACCATAACCAATCTTGTATTGTGCACTTCGTTAGACGGAACGGCGAATGTACGCTACAAAATTCAACGTCGCAGCGCTTACGACCCGTATGTTCTCACCATATCTGACGTGCAGTACTCGGATCGCGGCTTTTACTACTGCTGTCTTCCCTCAAACTGCTCTGATAACGTCAAAGATAACTGTCAACGATTCGTTCTCCGCGTCAAAGGTAGGAACTTATCCTAAATTTGTTAGGGCTACTGCCTCCGATAGGAGGCGAAATCACATGTGGCGCGGAATGACGTAATATCCCAGGACGTGGAGTGCTTCTTTGTATGAAACAAAAGTCTCAATACTGATAAATTATTTATAATTAACAGGCGAAATTAAAAGAAGCATAGGTAGTCATTATAGGAGCCCAGAGGATTGGGGAACCATGAGGCTTTCGAGCTAGCCCCTTTAAATTAAATTATTGAATTATCAAAAATTATCAATATGTTACCTATACTCATCATCATTATTATTATTAATAACATCATTATTTGTTACCACTTAATTATTGGTTGAATGTCAATTAGACACTATATTCTTGAATCATCTTCCTCTTGTAGACCAGGATACTCGTAAATATGTGGAATGCGGCAGGTTTTCTAACGTCATGAAACAACCTCTAGTTCTTTCTAATGCTATAAAAAAAAGTTTGCTACATTAGTAGCCATATGGAGTCTGACTGTATTTTTGCACAATTAACGAACTCACTTCCTCCTCATAAGTAATTTTCAGTCGAGCGCCCAAATTATTCAAGATTGCTTTCGCTTTCCTTTACGTCGCTATGTGATTAGCTCAGAAATTTCGCGCCATTTTCTCAAACGATCAGATTCACAGGTCCGAACCAAAAATCGATAAGGTAGAAAAAAACTTTGTTGAAAGCGTGCTGTTATGTTTTTTTTGGCAGATCCACTGGGTGCGTTGTGGCCAGCTGTTGGTATCCTGGTTGAGGCCGTTCTTCTCTTTGTGATCATTTTCTTTGCTGGAAGAAAGGAGAAGAACAAAGAGAAACGGTTTAAAAGGAATTAACGTCGACGTGTTAATCATAATCATCCCTGCAAACTCATGACAGTGAGACTAATGAGAGTGTCACCGCAAGCTAGGAAATAAGCGAGACTCTGATGAGCGAAGCTACTCTAAGAAAGGACATAAAAAGGGACGCTTTCCAACATAGAAAAGAAAAATGATAGTGTGGTATTCGATAAAGAAATTCAGATGACTTGAGTGGCATATGAAACTTTCTATAAAAAAATCTCTCATCCAGTCTCTAATTTAGAAGAAATCTCTTCTCCAATGTATTTGGAATACCCCCCATATTGCTAGACTATTTTATAGTCGATACTAGTTTTTTTTTTTCTTTCAAGTGTAAATTGTTTTAAAAATAATTCACTTTCGGTAGTAGGTATGCCTGAGGTAGTCGGTACCTCGTATTTATTATTCGGATAAAACGCGCATAATAACCTGCTTATGAAATAAGCTATCTTTTTTTTCTTTGAAATGCAGAAGTGATCATCTTTATTACCGGTGACATAGTTTGTAAATACTGCTTATTAAAGATTGGTGGAAATATTGATTTATATCCTAAGAATGTTCAGTCTTAAGGTGAAGAAGAGAGTCCCTAAATTGTTAATTATTACATAGGTAACAACAGAGCTCTTGCGTCAAACAGCCTCGATTTCAAGTTTGTCCGGGATTGAGTTTCACCTGGGGCCGAGTTAATAAAAAAGTTTACTGCTGGTAGGTGCGGCGAATATCATGGCCGTATTAGAGAGAATTATTCCTCTGTTTCTCACTGTTTGTGCAACAGTAAAGGCTCAAGGTAAGTTTGAATCTGTTTTAAGAACCCTAAAAAATTCAATGGTAGCTATGAATGAACTTTTACTTGTCATGCAAGAGCTTCCGAAACAAATCTTATTGTGCAAATGAAACTTGAGAGGAAAGCGACAAAAAACATGCCGGTTAACTGTTTGTGAATTTATATTTGTGCATTCACCTTACAGTCGGTTGAAACCTTTGAAGAAAACCTAAGCTTTCATGGAGATGGTTTACGATCTCATATAAATCCTTATTTTAGAATTTCTTCGAAGCTTTTTAAGCGTTTAACTCTCGTATTGTACGAATAAATTTCGAACTCTCAATGCAAATTATGAGCTTCTTGTGGCGAAAACATCTCGGGTTTTTTTGTGGTTACAGATGAAAGGCGGTGTCTTGAATCTTCGATGTTGGTTTTGAAGTTTACAATCAGAAATTGTCGATAATTCTGGAATCATCTCAAGTCTAGGATAAACTGATCAGAAAATCTAAAAGCGTGACTGAGTATTCAACACCAGATAATTATGTTGTTTGTTCCACGGAATTTAGCTCTTTGGCCTTTAGATTGTTTTCAAGAGTTGCAGATGAAAGATATGTGATGTCGAATGTGTTAAATTATTTTTGACTAGTGTTTTTTATTTACTACGTATTTCTACGTCGTCACAAAAATTTTAAGATATATTATTTAAAAATCACGTTTTTCGCTGAGCTTGAATTCCGAGATTGATATTTTTTGACAAAGCGTTGCTATTGTTTAGCTCAAACTTTTCCTCTTCTGATGTTTTGAAATACATGCTTGCAATGTGGCAAGGACGATTTTGAAAATTTATTATGAAAATGACACAATCTGTGATGTTGCTGTTACCGGATCTGTGTTTGGGCAGTTACTAGATAACAACAATACTTGGTTATGGAATGATCTAGTAATTTTTGTGCGCGTGATCCGGACTTTTAATTCTTTAACATGTAATAACATACATGAAAAAATTACTCAGTTCTGATTGGTTAAGATAGATGCAGTTTTCAGGTAATTCAATGCAAAAAAGTCACAAACCAGACTGAACAATTCCTTGAACTGTTAAGCCTGACTTTGAATTTTTTTGTTCCTTAATGATGTGAAAATATCTTTGTATATTAATATTTTGATTGTACGCCGTTGTTTTGACTGAATGCACGATGTTATTTGCAGGGTTTGAATAAATTATTTTTGCACTTGATGCAAGCACCTTGCTTCTGCATAATGTTGATAAGCTATCTCATATTTTGTCATGTATATTATGAATATGTAATCACATGATTTTCTCATGCTATTTGGAATAAATAAGCACTTTATATTCCTGGAAGTGCCAAAATCTGATCAGTAATGTAAATCTCTTATCTTTCTGCCATACTTGTCCCTGTTAGCTAGTTGAGAAAATTTGTTGGTAGATGTGAGTGTAAAAAAGCATGTAAGCTAATAAGTCGATGTTGATGAACCTAGTTGACCCAGGATTTTTCCTTGTTGAACACTTGTGACAAGTTTAAAAAAAAACATCTCTCTTCAAGGTCATGTACTCTTTCAAGTACATACTGTAAGGGAGGTATTTTGTCATTTTTGACATTTTTCTTTGGTGCATAAGAGAGTTAATTCAGTTTCATAGATCAGAGAATTTTTAGGTTACTGTGCATAGTTTCCAGGTGAAATTTCAATGACCCAAACTACAATGTTCTTGTATTCTTATTGAGTAGTGACAAATCTTTTCTCTAAATAAATTATTTTTGCACTTGATGCAAGCACCTTGCTTTTGCATAATGTTGATAAGCTATCTCATATTTTGTCATGTATATTATGAATATGTAATCACATGATTTTCTCATGCTATTTGGAATAAATAAGCACTTGTGAATTTTTTCAAATACCACAAATTGCACTCACTCTATGGACTTGTGCAATTTTGTTAGTCTTTGAAAAATTTTACTTGTGCTTATTTATTCTAAATTGCACTTGAAATCATGTGATTACCTATACTAATAATACTAATTACCAAGACAGATCTAAGCACTTTGGCTTAACTCTTTAGCTCCTAAGAGTGACTTGTGTCTAATTTCTCCTTACTATTTCACCCCTGAATCAAACATGAAAGTTATGAGAATAGAGGAAATGATCACCAACTAAAGCAGCTCTTGACTGTTACACAAATTCTCCCTGTCAGTCTCTCTGTGAATGTATGTAGAACAGTGTGGAGAATATGCATACTGATGTTAGGGGGTGAAGGGTTAATACTTTACATATCAAGGAGAGACAGCATAGGTTAAGTCATAATTATTGTGTGTTACATCTTTGGAAGGTAGGAGTAAAAATCCATTACAGCTTCAAATTAACATCTGTCATCCCATGCAGAATAGTGCATCAATCTCTCATATGTAGTTGTTTTTTTTGGCATCCCTGCAACCTTTTGAGTAATGTCAGTTTGGATCTCTTTCTTAGGAGGAGGTGCTTTAGATATTAGATATTAGTATATGAGCATTTTAAGAAGTTTAATGGATATAAAATCATTCTTTTTTTCTTTTAGGGGAACCACCATTTGGAATTGTACAACCTTTTCCAGAGAACATCTACTCCATTGAGTACGAACCTGCCAATGTTACTTGTATTGCATTTGATGCAACTGGTAAACAAGTACCAAAAAATATAACATTTTTTCGAAGAGATGACCTTAATCAATATAGGGAAGTCACAGGTGATAGGTACTTGTTCTCAAGCAGAACAGAATTTGTAGGTGAGTACATATTTGTATTACAGTTAATGCATCTAGCACCTAAAAAAGAAAACAACAACCTCTTAATTCCAAACTTTACTCCCAAAACAGGATTCTTATACTTTTGGGCTTATTGTGTTATAAGTCACAACAGCGAAATTCCGTTTGAGGCGAGGGTGATATATGGAGAATAATACATGGGCGTGTGTAGATATGGAATTTCTCTTTGAGTGTTTAACTTGATTGCTCATAAGTGAGTGCAGCGAGGGAGATGTTGAGTTGAACATGAGAAGAAAAATTTCATATCTACAAGGAACTGTGTATTATTTTGTTTATCATATAAACACAATAGCCCTTTACTGAGAAGAAAAGCCAACTTCATTAATGTATGAAAATAAATGAATCAACAATCCTCAAATGACAATCATAGAGTGCGTTGGCGCTAATTCTTGAGATGGAAAAATGTGTTGAATCATGATTACAAAAACAACAATGGTGGTAATTTTCAATTTACAAAATTCTCATTTATTGACTTTGTCCTTACTGACAGAGAGATTTGAAGTTTTCATTTTCATATATGTGATGCATTAATTTTTTCTTAAATTTGTGCCTGAAACTGAATCAGAACCCCCCTAATCCCCCGTCCTTATTGCTACCCTCAGTCCTGGACAAAGCCATATCCTTCTCTCCCTGCTAACAAGTTAAGTGTTTTCTTTGTAGGTAACTTAAAAAAATTACATACTACCATAACTTGGAAGAATATAACAAGGGAACTAGACGACAGTCAGTACAGTCTGCTTGGAAGCTATGAGTGCCACGCTTTTGCAGTAGATGAAAAGGTAGCAGCAAAGAGGCATGGCTTTAGTGTCAGTGTTATTAAAAGTAAGTCTGTTTACATTTCATGGGGAGTTTTGTTACCTTATAGTCTCACCATAAAAATTAGTGCATTTGTCTAGTCTATTTATCCATCCTGTCAAGGTGTTTTGATGGGTAACAATAAACTGTCAGGAAACAGGGGGAATACTAGGAGGGGTATCCGGTCAACTCGCTGACGGACCAACTCGCTGACGCCAACTCACTAACATATAAAATCGAGTAGAGACATCGGCGAGTTGGTCCTCAATCCAATACAACTTATTAGAAGTTAAACATACAGAAAAGTAAACGACATTTAGTGAAAAACACTGGTGAACATTGGTGAACATCAAACAGAAGCTTAAACATTGGTGAACATTGGTGAACATCACCAATGACTATAACAGAAGCTTAAACATTAGTGAACATTGGTGAACATCACCAATAACTATAACAGCTTAAGACACAAACGAGTTATTGTGCGACAACAACACCGTAAAGACTCATCATGTCAATTGCTCAGATTTTTTAAAGAAAACTTGGCTTTCTAGACAAGATCTTTAGTAAAAAGCAATTCTTTTTATTTGCAACAAAGTTTATAAAGATATCAAGGTGAATAAAGCAAAGTAAACATTGCCAATGACTAAATCCACTTTAGACGCGAACGAGATAATTATTGTGTGACAACAACACCGTTTGTGCGTTGACTTTTTACCAAGCGACTTGACTTAAATAAATAAGACTGATTGACATGAGATAAACTTTGTTGCAAATAAAAAGAACTGCTTTTTACTAAAGATCTTGTCTAGAAAGCCAAGTTTTCTTTAAAAAATCTGAGCGATTGACATGATGAGTCTTTACGGTGTTGTTGTCACACAACTCATTTGCATCTACAGCCAATTTTGTTCATTGGTGATGTTTACTTCACTTTATTCACCTTGATATCTTTATAAACTTGTTGCAAATAAAAAGAATTGCTTTTTACTTAAGATCTTGTCTAGAAAGCCAAGTTTTCATTAAAAAATCTGAGCCATTGACATGATGAGTCTTCACGGTGTTGTTGTCACGCAATAACTCGTTCGTGTCTTAAGCTGCTATAGTCATTGGTGATGTTCACTAATGTTCACCAATGTTTAAGCTTCTGTTTGATGTTCACCAATGTTCACCAGTGTTTTTTTACTAAATATCGTTTACTTTTCTGTATGTTTAACTTCTAATAAGTTGTATTGGATTGAGGACCAACTTGCCGATGTCTCTACTCGATTTTATATGTCGGCGAGTTGGCGTCAGCGAGTTGGTCCATCGGCGAGTTGACCGTAATTCCTAGGAGGGGGGGAGAGTAACTCTTCTAAAAACTTGCAGCCTGACTGCTTTTTGCTCTATGCCACTGAGAATAGGATGGGCTGTAACAGTGTGGCTACTTACGGTAGCTCAAAGTATGTGAGCATCCAGCATACATGTAGTGTAAGTGGTTAATAATTATCAAGATTTATGCCCTCTTCGCAAATTGTAAAGTAGCTATTTTTACATAACGATTCACAGGTACAGTAGCAAAGTACCTCTATAAACCAAGTGGATCTCCACTCCAACAGAGAAAAAAGATGTATTACTAATAAACAGAAAAATCCACCCACCCTGTTACTTGAGCACTATAAACAAGATGGCCAATAAACCTTGCTCGATGGTTTACACAATTTTGCATTTCAGGAAATGAAATCCCAAAAGTGAATGTCCCAGACTCCAATCTACTTAATCCAGGTGATAACATCGAAATCTTTTGCAACCTTACTGAAAGAGGAAACGAAAACAACACCCCACTGAAGAGGATTTCCTGGTATAAGGATGGGAGGTTGTTGGAGAGTGTGCGGAATCCAGATCCAGATGCAGAGCAGCAAAATGATTTTTTACCCCCACTGAAGCTTGAAAATGTTGGTGTCCAAGATGGGGGAACATACAAATGTCGTTTGGAAGTAAAGTTGAGGAACGTCAGGGAGTACACTGTTGAAGATACCACAGTATTAAAGAGTAAGTACAATACACAATTGTGCTGATAGAAATTTTTTTTTTGCTTGAAGAAATTCTCTTGAAAAAGCTACAGTGGTTGTTCATTATGTAGGGGTACTTATTAATAAGAACCTTGGGCACACTGCTCAAAAGTCTAGTTAATAAAACCCTTTCACTCCTAAGATCTCATGAGTAATTCTCATTACTGTCTGTAATTAATTTTTTATGGTGTTATTTCAGTTAATTTAACTAAAATCCCATAATTGAAATATTTCTGTATTCTCATTACCTGTCTGCCTCATACTTTATTGATAATGCAATAAGAAAGGCTGTCTTGGTCACTTGCAACCAGACAATTGATGTGATTAAAGATGACTATCCATTAGAGGATTATCAGTTGATCCAGTACCAAATTCTCTATATTTACATCATAAGAATTGTATGGCAGACAGTCAGGAGAATTACCAATGACTTCTTGGGAGTGAAAGGGAATCAGCCAATTTAAGAACCTACAGGGCCCATCATTCAAAAGTCCAGGTAACTCAAAGGGGCCCAAAATTTTTAAAATTTGAATGAAAAGGCTACAGTGCAGAAGTGTAGATGTTAACTCAAAAACCAGACTTTTCTTTTTCTTTTGTTTTTATTTCTATTGTTTTCAGTTTCAATACCTGAATAAACTGTAGCTTGATCTTGAAAGTAAAAGCTGCAAACAAAAGTTGGGCCGATGTTGTTGTTGTTGTCGTTATTGTTTTTTTTTCAATAGTGTCTACTTTTACTGACAAGCTGGCTGGCATTCATTCACTCCTGCAACATTCTGACCACCAAAAGCCATACCATTATTAAAAAACTGAATACCAAATGATGAAAACAGTTTTATATTCCTGGAAGTGCCAAAATCTGATCAGTAGTGTAAATCTCTTATCTTTCTGCCATACTTGTCCCTGTTAGCTAGTTGAGAAAATTTGTTGGTAGATGTGAGTGTAAAAAAGCATGTAAGCTGATAAGTCGATGTTGATGAACCTAGTTGACCCAGGATTTTTCCTTGTTGAACACTTGTGACAAGATTAAAAAAAACATCTCTCTTCAAGGTCATGTACTCTTTCAAGTACATACTGTAAGGGAGGTATTTTGTCATTTTTGACATTTTTCTTTGGTGCATGAGAGAGAGTTAATTCAGTTTCAGAGATCAGAGAATTTTTAGGTTACTGTTTATAGTTTCCAGTACAAAGTGTATGTTGTATCATAATTCAAAGATTGCATTTATTTATGTATTTGCACACTTCAAGTGTTTTAATGGGTCATTGCCTGTGTGAAATATTCTAGTTGCTCCCAGGCTTGCAAAGCCAAAGGAAGACATTGAAAAGGTGGCATTTAAAGGAGACGATGTATCATTTGAGTGTGCTGCAAAAGGATATCCTTTAGAGGTGGAATGGAAAGTGAAGAAGAAGAATGAAGAAACTGTTGAGGCTTGTATAAGTAAGTTTTGTAGAATGATACTCCTTTTATTCAGGGCCCCTAAAAACAATTCAGTTAAGTTTTCCTTGATTGATCATCAACTGCCCTTATTTAACAATAATTTGCCAAAGGGGAAGAGAATAATTATGATTGAATAATCAGCTCAAAAAGTATTCTATCGCATTTAACACTTCCTTGGAAACATTGACAAAAAGTGAGCTGATTATTGCAAGATATGAGAAATTCCCAACCAATCAGAGTGTGCACATCTCTATAATAACCTGAGCAATTATACTGACAATTAGTAGCATATACTGAAACAGTGAATACCAGTGAAGTAGTGCTCTGATTGGCAACTCAAACTTAGAATAATATCATTTGCTATTCATCCTGAGCAACTTGCATGGGATTTTTTCCAAAAATGTTGTAATTGTTGCAGGAATAAACAAGTTAAGGTCATTTTTTTGTGCTTTATTGTCTTGAGCACTGTTTTAGTAGATAATAAAGCAATATTAACCTGGATATTGGATATCAACCTCACCACTTTGCAGCTTGGTGAATATCAACCACCAGCCAACTTCACTCTTGTAAATAGGTGTTAGTTAATCAATTTTTATGGTCTTTTAATGACCACATAGGCAAATGATCTGTTCTTGACGTATTAACTCTTTCTTGTTCTACCTTTGTTATCTTTTTTGTTAGATGAATCAGACGGACACTACAAGATCGAGCAAGCTAGCATGTATGACCCTTATATTCTGACCATATCTAAACTGGAGTATAGCGACCGTGGATTTTACTACTGTTGTCTTCCTACAAACTGCTCCAAAAATGTAGAATATAAGTGCCAGCGATTCATTCTTCGTGTCAGAGGTGAGGCTGTACTTTGATTATTTTACTTGCTGTAATCCTCTGTACCCCAACATCACTTCTCTATGCATTTCCTTTGGTACTGAGAAGGGCCTGTGTCTGAAAATCAAGAATCTCTTCAGTTGGTGATCATTTCTTTTATTCTCATGACGGTAATGTTTGATTCAGGGGTGATGCTATTAGGAGAAATTACATGTAGATGTATGTAGATGATAGTCGCTCTGAGGGGTCAAAGTTTACATGAACATGTACATGTATGTCTTCAGAATCATCACTTTATCTCATACTGTAAATATTGAAATTTTCACTTTGAAGTTCTATCATTGGTGTCTCTGATTGGACAAATGATATAAATTCACAGTCATTTGCTTCCAATCTTTGAAATGTGTCTGTCAGGAAGGAAAATCTCAGCATGTATGAAATAAAAACATCATACCATGGGAAGTGCTCAATTGATTTTTATTCATGAGTTGCAATGCGTCAAAAAACTCACTTGTTAGCTGTGCTCACTCATTTGTTTTTTTTAATGCATTGCAGCTCTTGAATAAAAATTGTTGGTGTACACTTTCATGGAACAATCTCAATGATAGATGCATGGAAATTTAGTAGCACGTACAATTAATGTTATTATTATAGTTATTTTTAGTATTATTATAATCATAGTCCTTATCACTAACGTTATCAATATTTATATTATTTTGATTATTTTGATTATCATTAGTATTATAGTTGCTGAAATCTCTGTTGCTCTCATTTGATTCCAACTATTACTGAATGGTGGCATACACTCTATCTTAGCGTAGAATATTATGTGACTTTGAATTGTATTACGAGTATCCACCAATGGTGTTTGGTTCTGTTTCTTTTTTTGTAATAGATCGATTGGGCCCTCTGTGGCCTGTTATTGGTATTATTGTTGAGGCCCTTGTTCTCTTCTTAATCATCTTCATTGCTGAAAAGAGAAAGAAGGACAAAGAGAAAGGTTTGTGAAACAGTATCTATTATGAATAGCTCAAAGGTGCCTCTATGTATTTCAATTAAGCCTTCATTTTTTCCGCCTTCCCCATTGAAAAAAAAGACTCTTTAAGTTGTAAGTGGTATTCGTTTTGTGTCACCAAAGTTGCATTGCAGCAGGGAAGATACAATTTATTTGAACATTTGTATCAGAAATTGTGATTAGTTATTGTTTAATCTAATTGATCAACACACAAGCAATAAGAAGGAAGAAAAATAATTATTTACTAGTGGGTATCGATTGAATGAACAATAAATTTTCAGTGCTAAAATTATGGTGGACTGTGATGAGAAGTAAGCTTTAGATGTTGGAAATGAAAGAGTTGAAGTATTACAGGTTTTTAAAAGTGTATATTGAATATTAAATCTGGGCAACAATGCTCAGGAAAAGGCATAAATTATATTTTAGCTTTCAGTAAGTTTCTAAAAAGACCTCTATTGGGCATGGCCCACTTGCAGTATTAAAATCTTTGTAAAAAAATTCTTTATTTTGAATGAAGTTTACTCAGCACCCATAAACGAGACTGTTGTATCGTCACATTGTACATACAGTGTACATATTGGTATATGTATACATATGTATGCAAGTCACTAATGTTTAGCTTTTCTCCTCTTTTTTCTTAATTTACTGATGCTGCACATAAACAGCTGAAAAGTAAGTACACACATTGTTTCTCTACGTACAATAAACTTCTCTAAATATATAGCTACTATACATGAAACTTGAATTCTGTGCCACAAATCGTTTTGATTGACTCATATGCTAAAGGCTCTTGACATGAGATGGCCCATGTCTATGGAGGGGTAGGATAGGAGGGAATGGGAACGAGTATGGGGATGGACAAGTGATTTGAAAAAGACCAGTATTCATGTGTTGCTCTCAGATTTTTCATTTAACACCCATCCACACCCACACTTGACCTATTATATAACTGACTGCTCCTTCGAGAATGTTAGAGCATGCGGTTATCAAGGTGCTATCAGAGCAGTGGCTTGTTTATGCTCAAGTTGGCGGATTGGTGACCTTTAATAGGAAAGTATTCCCAAAGCATTGAGAGTATGAAAGTAACGAGAGAGTAGCAACGGTTCATGAAAATTTTATGGAAAACGAGGCTTAGTGTGACATCGTTGCGCTTATGAGCTCTTGTACCTTCTCCGCTGCTTTTCCTTAACTGTGTATTGTACAATGTGTTGATGCTGACATCCATTTCTCAATCTTAATTGCTGCAAACCTTTTATGTATTCCTTAGGGTTGATGGTCGAATGGAGTTCAGTTACAGTTCCACAGATGACGGAAATGGCACAAGGGGCCAAGTGCGCTTGCGTAAAGCGGGTGAAACCCCAGTTGCCTAGAACGTTTTCCTGATATTGTACGTGTGTAGCCCATCCTAGTCATTTTTTTTGGCTTTTCTTATAGAGCTTTAAGATAAAAGAGAAACTGCAATTTTATTTGAAATACGTGTTTCTTAAATGTTTTCGCGAAAGCTGCTATATCAGTACTGACGAAAGTTTGCTTTTTCATCACTGCTATAGGGCTTATCGAATCAGACACATTTAGAGGTTTTGGGTTAATTAGAACGATGCTGATTTTTCCATTTTCGTGTATAGTTAAGCGAAAATAGTGAAAATTTTAATGACCGATTATTCAAATGCCAGTCACGGGGGATTACTCGGCGAGGTAGACATGAAAGGAGATTGGGAAGGAGGGAGAAAACAGAAAGAGGGTATCAGAGTATCTCCCTCGTGTGCAACCTCTCTCCCTTCTTCTCCCCCCCCCCCCCCCTTCCCATTTGCACCAGCCAAATTGTTTTTTGAATTATCTAAAATAATCTTTTGTATTTAATTATTTTGGCGTAAAAGGCAATGAGGTATTTAGTTTTAGAAAAATCGACGTAAGTATCGGCCTATTATCTGCAGAATCCTCTATGAACTACTGCGAATGTAAGAAGTATTGTTTGATGATAATTTGTGGCAACCGTGTAACGTCGTACCATTTAAAATGGCACCTACCAGGAAATTCAAACATCAATGTGGCATGTATATTTTTGTAGTTTGTATTCATTCTGGTGCCTTTTTCCCTTTTTGTTTTTTTTTATGAGTTTGTGAGGTTTACAACATCAGCAACTTGTCTCATCAATGGAGGCTTCCTTTATAATACACGAGCTATAAGAAATTTATCAAAGCGATGTCTAGAAGATATTGAACTTTATTTTTAGGAAGGAGCGATATAGCTCCGTAGTTTTATCACTAGGAGGTCAATTTGAAGTATGCAGTTTGTTACTTGAAACATAATCATAACCAAAGTCATTGTATTCTCTCGTTGATATTCTGCAGCGTCATCTGAAAAAACAGTGGACCGGTAGTTAATCTAACGGTTTTCCTTCGTTTAGCTTAAGCTTCAATTTGGCCAAACGGTTTTTGAAAGCGTTCATTTTTGTGATCTGTGTCAACAAGGCTTAAAGTTAACCCTTTAACTTCCGAGATCTTATTAGTAATTCTCCTTACAATCTGCTATACAGTTCTTGTGATGTTAGTTTAGAGAATTTGTGATTACATTAACTTATAATCCTCTAATCGATACTTTTTCTTTATTCTCATCATTAGTTTGCTTGATATTGTATTGATATTGTAAGGAGAAATTCTGTTTTGGTCACTCATGGGAGTTAAGGGTTAACAGTGGAAAAACACCATCAAACATCCCACTCAAGGACAAATCTTGAGGAACAGTGGTCGTTGAAAACCGTAATAGGTGCATTTAGTCCTTCACACCCTCACGTCGTGCATGTTCTTCATACTATTTACTTTGTATTATTCATGGCACTGACGCGGAGAGACTTTTTTACAATCCAGAGCTTCATTCAGTGGAAATCAGTTTCGTTATTCTCATGACGGTAGTGTTTGATCACGAAGTAATATTGTAAGGGGAAATAAGATGTTCGTAACATTTAAGGGTTGAAGGGTTTAATAACCAGCCCAATTTATTTGCAAGTTTTGTGCCAGGGTTTTGTGTCGATGCACGATGTCGGCGCACATGTTACTCTGACTCACTCTTGAAGAATTAATTAAGTAAACAATGATATTTAGACCGTGTTCAGCAGCTTTTTTCGGCTGGAGCGCAATCGCCGTCCTCTTGTCGCGCTTTTTCTGTGATGCAACATTAGTTTTGTACTGTTGTTTGACGGAGAAAGTGGAGCAAAATTGGACCTCTTATGAGTTACATATTTAGAGAATGATTTCTTTCAACTCGCTTGTAAATGGCTTGAAACCTAATCTAATAAACATTGAAAATATTCAGTGACTGTTTCTTCTTAGCGTAAACCCCAGCCTGTCAAGCATGGAATTGAATGTACAGTGCACGGATTGATCCAATCAACGGAGTATTAAACATTTAATTGTGTATTGACCGAGAATTTCGCTATCTGGGATGTTGCATTTGAACGAAGCGAGGACTGCACAGTAGAAGGTTAACTAAAGTATAATTTACCGAAGATATCTTGATTATTTGGCGCTATGGGGTGAAGGCGGCATACTGGGGCTTCAACTGAATCAAAGATGAAAGCGAAGTAGTGTTGTCCAGGAGTTCAGTGAGGGTGATTTTGTGTTACACGAAAAACATTTCAGCTGAAGAAATTAGTGAGAATATCTTATCGGTCCTTCGGAGTACTTTTCAATTTAGTGTCGAAAGTGTCCCGGGATTGCATTGGCTTTGCTTTAATTTGCTCTATAATTGGTCCAGAGAATTGGACCACTCTCTCAGCCCAGATGTAAAAGTTACACCAATCACGACTTGGAAATTCGCGTTTTCCCGCGCTTCAGGCAACTTGGTTGTTCTTACTTTCAATTCTCATCAGCTAATAAAGTACTTTCCTTTCTTTTGATTAGCCGTTAAATTTCTTTGGTTTTAGATTTACAACAGTCAGTCGAAAAGTGCTCTTATTCAAAATAATTGGAAAGCTATCAACCGTTGTGAACGGTTAGGTCCAAAACATTAAACAATAATCTGGACCTAAGAAATCTGTCGCCGCTCTCCTATCCTTTCACCACCGTCATCATGGCAAGAGGCACATTTTAATTGACTGTGATGCACCGCTAAAAATATCTTAAAGAATCTTAATACTCCTTAAGAAAGGAAAATTTCAATAAACTACACGCATTCAGTTGAAATCCCACGTAATCTGCATTTAACACCCAGGCAGTCTACGTTCGCGCCAAACTTTTGTCTTTGCATCAGCCAAAGGTCTGTATATCACTCTCACACTTAAATATTTAACCTTCATGGCGCCGACAAGTGACTGCTAACTGCCCATTGTAAACATGTGTCAACGGCGACATGATGTCGCAGAAACCTTATGAGCTTATTTGCGATATCCCTTGTGTTTTTTAAATAATTTCTATTTTTAATTTCCAAACTCTTCTATCACTAAGCGACTCCTCGTCCAGTTCCTCGTTTCCAATAAAACAGTCTCTGTTCCTTTGGTAATTTTTATACCGCTTCGGTTTTTTCTTTCCGTATAATGTTTTACACCCCTGGTTCAAAAGTTCCTACTTTTTTTCAGCCACTGACAAGGCACGAAGAAAAAAATTAAAGGTGTCGCCACTGTAGCATCTTCGGCGTCAATAAAATATAAAAAAGTTTCACTTCGTTGTTTGCTAAATAGCAGTAATAAAACCTCTCAGTCCTTCATGAGACATTCTGATCACACTTGTGACGACACACTGGTGACCTTTAAAGCATTCTCGAATCTCATCCTTATCACCTAAATAAAGATCCAATCAATTATCAACTTCACTGAGCATTCGTTTTTCAGGCCCATCTGGTCAAAAATGACAAGCGTTACGGTATAATCTAACCGAACAAACTCAACTACTTTATTTAACAGCGAGTAATGTTCTTAGTAAGGAGCTACTCCTAAAAGCAGTACAATACTTATCGTTAATAAACTTAATTAAGCCTCACAGTCTATATCCTAGCTCACCACTGGCACAATCTCGATGCTGTCTCCAAAGTTCTTTGAAATAAGCGATCTTCCGCAGTAACTCTCTCTCTCGGTATAGCTTTCAAAACAGTCGTCGCTCTGACAACAACTTCTCCTACTACTACATAAGCGAGTCTCTCTTCACAGTGTTCTGGAACATTCCAGAAGCTTACACAAGAACTATTTAAGTAATATTAAATAATGAATACGTGACTTGAAGAAATGTTCTGGAAGGTTCTACGGTGACTCAGCAGTCTGGAGATTTCTAGAAACGACAACATTTACCCATAAAACAAGCTGTTTGAAAGCATCTGATTAACTTTCCTTTTTTGTTTTCTTTGATCACTGTGGTTGATAGTATTCTTGTAATTGCGGGCTTTTCATTTACGAAATAGATCAGAAATAAAGAATTTGCGCTCAGTCACTCTTAAAAGTGCAACAAGGATTGTGTTTCATTGAGTTTCATGATTTCTTTATGTTGGGAAATTGCGTACGTATTTGGTGATTATAAAGACCTGGAAGATGATTGGCGATATGACGCGGAGAACTACGAAGCTCGCAATGACCGAGATAATTCGCTTCAAATCTGACTCTCTCCATCTAGGAAGGCAAATACAGGAGAAAATATTTGCCATATAGACAAAATCTCTCTCCCGAAACGAGACGCACGAATTTAAATAGGCTTAAATAAGCAAAAAGTAGCAGGAAGTATGGCTGACGTCACGTGGAGCGGGAAAGCGGTCTGCGACATCATCCAATCACAGAGCTTGTTTTAAAGATATGATAAATTTTACAGACTGTCTGCGTTTGAACCCAATATGCAGTTTTAACAACAAGCAGTAAAAAAAACAGGTTTTCAGCATGCCCAGATCAAAGTTCTTATCATATAAGTCTGATATACATTTTCATTCATATGCATGCAGGCTTTTATATGGTAATTCTATGTTTACGGAAAACGTAAAAGAATAACATCAGAGTCAAAATCTTCTAAAAGCTCTCTTGGAATCAATATCTATCCTCTATCTTGCTTCATTGAAAAGGAGACACCGCATGTTTATCTTGTCAGACGAATTTCAAGCTCTTAAACAATGCAAAATCACAGGTTTGTTCCAAATGAATAGTTAATTAAGGGAAAATTTGCGGAAATAAATTGGAAATAAAATCTCAAAGCAAACAATTTAGAGGAAAGGATTTACTGTTAAGAAAAGATTGACATTATGCAATTTAGCCGATCTAATCGGGTTTTGCAAAGAAAACGCAGACATTGATCAGCTTATCTTCGTGACGAAGTCAGTGTCATATCGTATGCCTTTATTGATGAATCTTTTTCTTTTTTTTGTTACGCGCGATCGAAGCGAAAAACAATAATCTTTGGCTCACGAATTAAAAAAAAAAACATTGAAAAACACCAAGAGACCGTAAAGGCTTGAATAGGATTCTCGATCTATGGAAGAAAACGCTCTCGATAATGAGCAAATATTTTGAAACTGTTGACTGGAAGTTCGACCCAAATAAGATCAGAAACGTAATAAGGATTTATCGATGGCAAAATGATCCGTCTTGACTATATCTCTATAACGTTGACCACCGAGGCAAATTATCGCAGCATTGAAAGGAAAATAATTAAATTATCATTTCCTTAGATCATTTGGCATTTTCGTCTTTGGAGAACTGTATGCTTGAAGGGGAAAAACAGAGATGCCTTTGTGCAGCATTAAGAAACTGAATGTATAATTTAAACAAGATTGTCGAACTCAATTTCTCCAAAATCAGTTTTAAAATCTCTCCATTATCCAGAAAAAGTTCAATGTTTCTTGTGACGTTAAAATCGTTTTAAAACTTTAATTCCTTTTCCTTTGTGTTCACCTTAAAGGGATATGGAAAGGGTTTTTGATTGGCAGTTGGGAAATTTGATTTAGTTTTCCATAACAATGTCTGCGGCCTTCAGAGTAAGTATGAAAAATAACTTCCGTGCATCTGAGAAAAAAAACAATGAAAATAGCAAGGTATAGCGCCTAAAAGGTTACAAATGATTCAAAAGTACATATTTTGAATACTGTTCAGACAATTCAAGCCAGACAAAAATTCTATACTAACTTCACTTGCTTCTTCTCAAATCGCTTTGTGCGTGTAACGAACGGCTTTTTGTAGACGGGAGAAAAAATAACAATAAAGTCAACTTTAGTCGCCCACACCACATAAATATTGTTTGGATTATTTGCAATTTCACAGCGGGCTAGAGGTTAAATGCTGATAGAATTTCATTCCGTAACGTGCGGTCGATACTCTTCATTTCTTTCGATGGTATTGACTGGCCCAATCGCACGTTATTAAATTTTCTCCATTAGAAGCACAAAACCATTATTTCCAATGTACTCTCTGTGATGTCACAATCGCCATTCGCACGTCATGTAAAATTCACAAGGCAAAATTCTGCATTACCACTGAGATTGGAAATCGGGCGCCTCAACGCATTGCGCCAAAATTATCTCGTACGAAGAACTGCGGGAACCGCGAAAAAATCCTACGAAATTGTTTTCATTTAAGGGAATGTATATTTTGGGTGTATACGCGAGTAAAGAACGCAACGAGATTTACGGCTTCATCTTATCTGCCAAGGACATGAAAAGAAATGAGTGAATTTTCCCCGCGTAACGATGAAAAAAGCGCACAGAACCAGGAATGTTGCGCTTCAAACGACGAGATGCAGGCTGATATGGCGTGCAAGAAAACAGAAGTGGCAGCGACAGAACAAATTCAGGCCGAACAATCTTCGCCGGTCGATGGTAAATCCAAAGATATCGATACTTCTCCAAACGGAGAGAGGACCAGTGAATCTTCCTATGGAACGGAAAATTCGGTGTTGTCTTCCCATCAGAGTCTGCAAGCGTTGCAAGCGTTGAACAGCGTGAACGAGCAAGAAAGTGATGAAACACGAAGTATAGAGGAAATAGAGATCGGGTTGTATGAACAAGGACCATTAAATGAAATAGCAATTGAAGAAAATGATCATGAAAGCATTCGAGAATGTGACTCGAGTTGCAGCAGCCCCCTTTTAAACGGCCATGTTGTTGATAGTGATGTTCACATCACAACAGAAAAATCGCAGGAAACTCATTCAGGGACAAGTGACAAGGAACCGAAGGAAAATGGAAGATATTTTTCATTATTCTGTAGGAAATCCCGCACTTCACCGTCAAAATCGAACAGGTCCAATGGAGATGTAATTATTAATATTGACGTTGAAGAAATTTCTATCCATGAGTCTCCTCGCCGCAAGTCGAAATACTCTCTAAACGACCGTTTGAAGGGCTGGTTTCAACCCATGGACAATAAAATGAACATGAAAGTTTTCGGGAGTAGAAGAGCCTTAGCAGACGAACTTATACGTTACAGTAAAGTAGGATGGATTATACATCCAACAAGTGCATTCAGGTCAGGGAATAATTATTGTTTGCAAACTATGTTATTGTTATGTTTTTGCCCTTTAGTTTATTTTCGTCCCTAATGCTTTTGATGCCATTTCTATTTACTTTGATTGATCGTTCGTTTTCTCTACCAAGGAACATCCTTTATTGTGGCTTAAATATTGAAGACAGGAAGTTCGTTACTGAAACACTGTTTTGTGACTGCATTTCACGCTGAATAATGTAAACAAAAACTCCCTCACTTTTCTTTAAAAGGGTGGAACTTGTCACATCGAAACACATGTATTTTCCCACTTGCCCCACAAAAACCTCAACCCTGATTGGAAATAACTAAACATCGTTAGAGGAATTTCATTTGCTTGTGATTCGCTACGCTGTGATTACTTCATGTGGCCGATTTCCGTCTCCGGCTTTAGTTTAAATTTTAATGAAGCTCTATTTGCGTACAAACTAGTTCTTTTATTACGGTTTTTTCCCTATGCAAATCGAAATAGTCACTTAAAAAAACCTGTGAAAACTCGCTGTCCTCCTTTGTTATTTCGCTTTCACCAAGTTTTTTTGGTTAACAACCTCGCAAACAGGTGATTTTTAAATGCTCTTCTTGTCGCCCTTTAATATTTTTCTTGCCTTTTTTTTCTTTTTACACTCCATTAGAGTCGGGATTAAACATGAAAATTCAAAAGAAAAAAAACATGTGTCTGCGAAGCAGGCTTCTGAGAGCTATTGATGAATTGTTTAACGAATTTCATTTGCGGCCAGGCAGAGATTTTATGAAGTGATGATTTATCATGATTAAATCTTTAAGTCATATTGCCAACACGATAGCCTGTCAAATACCCTTGTTTAATTAACGAACCAAAGGAGTCGAAACGTTTCGAAAAGTTACTCAAGTAGGTTGCAAATTGCTTGTACGGCGGATTAGACATACTTACCAATTTTAAAATAAAATTTAGTTTAAATGGTATGAGGTTATTTTCAAGAGGACTAGGGTATATGTTTACAGATTGTTTAGTCTGAGGGGAAAGATTAAAAATAGCGTAGTACGTGTTACAATTTTTTTGTGTTTGTTTTATATTCATATTTTATTCGGTGAAATATGATTTACACTCAGATATCGGCTGAGATTACGAGACTTTTTACGTAAGTTTATTTCTCTCGTTTTTTGGTCGTTTGTAGTAAATATTGATAACACACACTGTATCCACTCATAAGGAAAATCGATCATTGCTGTTGATGTAAAGAACTGAACGCACCGCATAATTAAACTAATGAGCAGGTCGTGAGGTTTCATGAAAAGGTGAAACTTGTTATGGATCATGATTGATTTTCTGATGGTCCCCGTGATTCGATCAGCATTTTCTACAGGAGTGATATTTTCTTTAATTGTAAACTACCGTTATGTAAACTCTATTTAAAAGAGCCCTGCTTTGTACCCTTTATATATAGTCTGTGCTCTTTGAAAACGGGAGATTAAAAGTTCAGTGCTGAGAACGGAATGGATCGTAAAGAAAATTTCAAACGTCGAGTTTTCCCGTAAAGAGAAAAAATCCCGTTTCGCGAAAAAGGCGACCCGTTACACACTTTGCTTCGCTAACGAAATTTTTTCATGGGGAGTCCATTTTAAACTGTCATAAAAAAAAATGATACTCAAGTTTTGCATATTGAAAACTGTCTTTCGAATCATTCGGGTCAATACTTCCTTCAACACAGAATCAACATTACATTCAATAACGAATTCCAAAAATTGCTCAAGAAATTTATGCTTAAGCAAGTCATTGTTCCTTTTGATGCCCTTCAATTGTAGCCTTGGCGCATTATTAAAAGTCTAATGACAAAGAGAAGCAAAACGATGTGCCCAATGAAAATTTGAGTGCTGTAAATTAGTTTTTTCCTTAATGCTCTCTCTTTGTATTTTAAAACCTTCGTTATTTTAAAGGGATTATTGGTAATGGGAATTCGTGTTCAAGAGAATCCGTATTTCTCTAAGCGCATGCATGTTTGCATGCTATACAACATGGGCGTTAAGCCAATAAGTGCGTAAGTAACTTTATTTCAACTCTGGTTGATGAGGCTGATTAAGGCCCTAGCAGTACATACTAACACGCCGAGAAAAGTATAAGAAAATAACAAAAAAAAATAGTTCAGGATATCAAAAATGATTAGTTAATGACTGACTTTCTAACAAATTTAAATAAGTAAACAATCCTAGCTCCAAAAATTACAACACAGGGAAAATCTAAGACTCTACATTACAAATGTAGCTCTCTTACAGCATTCTTAAATTCCCTAAGAATCGTCGTTGAGCGTAATACATCCGGTAATTCCACACTTTGGCACCAGTTTTAAACTGTAATCAAATTATATTCTTTTGGGAACAAAATCTGTTAAAAACTGCATCTTCTCCAACTTGGGGCTTCGTTATTCAGTAGTTAGTAGGGCCTAAATTGTGCAAGGTTTTGTTAAAAACGGTAATTTTCGTCTGAACTTTCTTTTAAGCCTTCGCTCGCTACAATTTCTTTAATTTTAGTTTATCTACCAGGAAAAATTTGTCACAGTACAAAAGGGATTTATTTTATACGCATTCTGTTCATGGCATAGTGTTTTAATCTCAGGAACTGCCCATAGAAACCTTTAACATTTTTTTTAATTCTTGAACCTGACTTCAAAGTTGGCTAAAATCACGAGTTTGTTTTTTTAAAAAACAACCAGTGGGTTCGCGGAAACTTAAGCCATTTTGGCACAAAAAACGCATTCGAAAACGAGGTTTTACCAAAATATGTGGCATAGTGACAATAACAAAACACGTTAGTTTTTTACTCTGGAAGGGCTTATTGATTGGTTTTTCCCAAAAGCGATAACTAAGCACAATTGTTGTTAGCAGAAAGTACATTGATTCCGACGTTGACATTTCCTTCGCATCTAGATAAAAGCCTGATTCAAGTCCCGTCGTTGCACGCGTGTTAGAATCTAAGATTCTCAGTGAAAATAAATATTTCACAACTTTTGCTTTAACTTAAATTGTCATTTTGATCTCTTTTGATTTTCAGGCTCTACTGGGATCTTATGCTTCTCTCGTTGCTGATCGTAAATATGTTCGTTCTTCCCGTGGCGATTGCTTTCTTCAATGATGATATGAGTCCTTCTTGGATTGCTTTTAACAGCATTTCTGACGGAATCTTTCTCTTGGACATTGTTTTAAACTTTAAAACTGGTGTGCTTATTCACGGTACACCCAACAAGTTTATTCTAGATCCGAAAAAAATCGCGATACGGTAGGTAAATTTTTCAATACTTAAAAATTTATTTTTCTCAGTTGACGTTTTCTTGGTTTTTTTAAGTTTGTTTCACTACTTACTGATAATTTCATATAAAATATTTAGGTTGAGGGCGGGTCATCTTTTATTAACAACGATCTTCCTCGATTTCCAAGATAACGTGTTCAATTAATAGGTCAAACACCTTTACTGCCAAACAACATGTTCCTCTTTGTATTTTGATTTCCAAACCACGCCTTAATAATTTAAACATAAATTTCTTTAACGACAAAAATGGGCTGAGAAATCGTTACTTTCCAATGACATGCGAAAAAATATTTTTAGCGCATTTGTTCGGCTCTACTTTTCCCTTGTCAACCCTTACCATCATTTTCACGTCTTTCCGTCCGGTTTCGGGAACAAATTAGAAGAAACCTCATTCTCCGACTTCACCCGTTTGAAATTAATTTTAAATACAGAGTTTTCAAATTGATTTATCTATGAAACATCCGCCCATATTTTAAGCAAAATAATACCGAAAACAGTGTTTTGTGGGAGCAATGTTGTTGCTGTTGTTGTTTTTTTAATTTTTACGGAACTACCTCTTAATGCTTTCCGAAATTTCTAAAGGGTATTTTTGATATTTTTCAAGCTCTTCTCCCTCCCTCCTTTGAATGTCTTTGAATTCACGCAAGCGTGCAACACGCGTGATCTCGTCACTGAGCTAATTATTTCTACAAAGGTTGAACTTGAATCTGAAGTTCGCACTAGTTTTTCTTGAAAAGTGGATTATTGTTTTGTTTGCCATCTCAAACTTGCAGCTGTGCAGAGTTAAAGACTTTCAGAGGCTCTACTAACAGCTAAATTTTGTATACTTTTCGTCATACACGGCGGCACGATGAAAACGGTTTTGCTAAACAACGGCTAAACTTTGTTTAGATTATCAGGCCTTACACTTTGCATTTTAATCATCCAAGTAATTCCAGATAAGAACCACAAGTGGTGTCATTTTCACAGGTACGCTAGGACATGGTTTCTTATTGATCTGGTTTCTTCGTTCCCGTTTGATTACGTCGTTTCCTCGGCGACAAGCTCGGGTTCCGGACGATTGTTGAGTGCATCCAGGGCATTGCGCATTCTACGCATGGCAAAACTTCTCAGTTTGTTGCGCTTGCTCAGAATATCACGTCTTGTACGTTACGTTCATCAGTATGAAGAGGTGTGTGAAATTTTCCTCAAAGCCTTTGTCATTTATGTAAAACGAGGAAGTTATGTTGGCCTGGACTCAGGAACGTTAGGACAAGGGTTGGAGCTCTGTTTGGGGGTCCTTCTGTTTTGTTCTTGTAAGGGCTTCAAAATCTGCCCTTCCAAGGCCTGCCTCTCTCACCCTCTAGGAGTGTATATGGGTACAGGCAAACTTTCAGGGGAAACCTGATGAAATGCTGGAGGGGGAGGGGGGTGTCTTGAATGGACTAATTCCCATCCAGATCAGGAGGAACAACTGTCCTAGAAGCCGTTTCATACTCAATAACAGGGGCGAGTTTTGGAAGATTTGTGAGCCAGTCTCATCTAGACTTCAACAAACTTTCGGTGAACTATTTCTAATGATCGACGTAATGTGATATATTTCTCGCAATGAAAATCTATATATCTGCTGGAAAGCATTTCCTGTGTGTTTCGTGTTGGAAAGTTTCGTAACAGAGGAAAAAATAAAATAAGAAAGATAGAAAGCTTTAATCTCGGTTAAGAAATAGAGAAAGATTGATTTTTTTCGTCTTGTCACGAGCGTGGGACGAGGAAAAATTTCTGATTCACCGTGAGGAATCGAACCTCAGACCTTCTGATCCGCGCTCCGAGAGGAAAAAACTGTCATTTTTTTTTTCACAGACAGGACAATTTTAACCATGTTCTCACGTTTTTCTTTATATCCGGTAAAACTTGGAACAGGTTTTAAATGTGACTCGCTCAGTCATCCGGTTCGTTAATCTGATAAGTCTGATGATGCTGGTAGCTCACTGGAATGGCTGCATGCAATATCTCGTACCAGTCCTCAACGATTTCCCGGCGAACTCGTGGGTTATAATTCATGACTTACGGGTAAGTATGGTTCACAATTTTAATAGAAGTCTTTAAGATGATTGACAACTAGCTGCAGACACAACAAAATGATCAAAAGAAGCGAAGATTATCGATTTAACCGCATCTTTTTGTACGTAGTTCGTTTTCATCGGTATGTTACTGGTTCCAATCGATTTTATGGGCCACCGCTATACAGGAGACACTGATGATCCTGAAATTTTAAACATTAATCGCAAAAAAGCCCTCGAATGAGGAACCGCTATCGGAAACGGACACCGCACAGAACTTGCCTTTATCACTGTGCACCAACCCCAGCGCCAATCTTACATTCACAGCAAAAAGTAGAGAAAACGTAACACGGCAATTGCTTTTATATTTACTCAAACTTGCAGCCGACGACTTTCAAATGCTTCTGTCGTTACAATAACGCATGGAAAATCAATTTCATGTCTAATGCAAAGATTTCCATGTTAATTTGAATGTTCTCCTCTGGTCATTTACCGAGCCATCATTTTTCGTTTGGTGTAACCAAAACTTTTATCGTCAGCCAGGAGTCGATGACTCAACGCCTTCCTTTCCCCTGCACCCAAAATATACGACTTTAACGTTTTCTTCTTTTTCGTTTAGGACAAGGCATGGACGGAGCAGTATTTATGGGCTCTTTTCAAGGCTTTATCACACATGTTATGCATCGGATATGGAAGACATCCTCCTCAAAACATTCCAGAGACTTGTGTTACAATTACCAGCATGATGTCTGGTGCCACATTTTACGCGCTTTTTATTGCTTATTCCATAAACGTTATCCAGACCATGGATTCCCCGAGTCGGCATTACAAGGAAAAGGTAGGAAGGACAGACTGATCCAGATATTGGATACTTAAAACTGACTTAGTTATTGACGCACATTTGATAGAGTAGTTTCCAGGTTGATTGAATGACTGACCGACTGACTGACTGACTGACTGACTGACTGACTGACTGACTGACAGACTGACTGACTGACTGACTGATTGGCTGACTGACTGACTTACTGGCTGACTTACTGAGTGACTGACTTACTGGCTGACTGACTGGCTGACTGACTGACTGACTTACTGACTGACTGACTGACTGACTGCCTGACTGAATGGGTAACTGATTCATTGATTGACGACGGACAATTAGACTGGAATAAAAAATAGTTTTTAATCGAATCGGAGTGAACTGAATGAAATACAACGATACTGAATGACTTACTGCCAACTGACTAAATGAATGACTGAAGTCATTGACACGAAAAACGGTTGGTTATTCAAATTGCAGTGTATTATTTCTTATTTTTAGATCCAACAAATTGAGGAGTATATGGCTCACAGAAGACTGCCTGTTCATCTAAGAGATAAAATTACCAAGTATTACGAGCACCGATTTCAAGGAAAACTTTTTGACGAGGAGAAAATACTGTCTGAAGTTTCTCGGCCATTGCGTAAGGTAGGAATGAAAAGTGATTCACGAATAAATTGCAAAACCAAGCAGTTCTATACTTATTCGAAAAGATGTAGTAACATTTATCAGTGTAAGAACTACTACGGCTGAGGATGGAAACGATTTACACGACTTGCGAATGACGAGTTAGGTTCAAGTTACAGGATCAAAAACGTAGCTATTTTCTAAGAATACGAGCAGTCCCTCCTTTTCGGCAAATTCCGTCCAAACGAAAAAAAAAGGAGTCTAGCGCGCGGCGCGGAACTCTTTCTGCGCCTCACTCCCAGAGTTCCACGCGGTGCTAGCCAATTTTTTTTGGGACTTGCACAATGAACTTCGTTGAAAAGGAGGGTCTGCTATTTTCTTTAATAATACTACCATTTCTTTCTCATCGTCAGGCAATTGTCAATTACAACTGTCGCGAGCTCGTCCGTGCTGTTCCATTTTTCTATGATGCTGATCCAGATTTTGTGTCAGCCATTATAACCAAACTCGACTTTGAAGTATATCTGGAAGGTGACGTCATTATACGTGAAGGGGAACTTGGAACTGAGATGTATTTTCTTAAATCTGGGGTAGTGAGTGTCTCGTGTGAGGGAGTTAGTACAGATGATCTCTCTGATGGTGCATATTTTGGAGGTGAGTTTAAAGCAACTGGCATTTACGCTCTCGATTATCTCGAGCTCAAGTGTAATAGTAAAATCTGCAAATCCCAGAACTCGTGTGAAAAAAGACGACGATGTAAATGTACGTTAGGCCATCTATACAATAAAGCTAAATGGGATGATTCAGTCTTCTAGCTTGATCATATCTACAATGAACTGCTTTGAAAGACTCTTGCCCTTCCTTGGACATAGGAGGGATTTAAAATCTACCAGTGCTTAGTTTTTTGAAAGGGCGGTAACACCACACAACGGATAAATCGCCGTCTTACGAACAGGTGTTTACAAAACGTACAGCACTATCCTCCAGATAGGGATTTATTCAGCGGATATCCTTAACCATCCTTCGACGCTAATTTACAATTATCACAACGAATGCCCATTCATTATTAGCTTATCTTACCTTTCATTATGCAGACACCATTGTATATTTTTCCCCTCTCCCGAGATCAAATGGAATAACCTAGATCAAAACTTTGACGAATTTCTTTCTATTTTTTATATCATTTTTGCCAATGATCTTTTTTCTTAGAAATCTGCCTTCTGACACATGCAAGACGCACTGCGACTATCGTGGCAAAGACTATGTGCGACATATTTATTTTACACGCCGAAGATTTCAGGGAGGTCGTGGAAGAATTTCCAGAAATGCGACACGTTATGGAATCAGTGGCATCGGAAAGATTGAGCAGAATGGGAAGATCAGTCGACTTTTCAAACTCCGCTTGTCCTTCCAGAGAGTGTTTACTTGCCAAACTTCAAACCTCAGCTTCCAGACGGAGCAGTATTTGTTGTAGTTGTACGAATTTACTTCAACCCCGAGAAAATAATCCGGAAATTGTCATCACCAGAGAAGTTTCGTCAGACGATGGCAAGAGTATCAATATAATAAATTAGAGCGCTTTTCGATCGAGTGTCGTAAAATAAAACCCAAAGTAATCTCAACAATCATCCAGAAGAAAGAAAATACCTTCAAGAACTAAGGAGAACTCAAATAAAAAAGCAAACAAATTGCCCAGAGCTCTGGAAAACTCGGGCGACAAAGTTGTGGCTGGTTTTAGTTTTATATCTGAATGGTTGAGAAAGTGGCGTTAGAATTTTGGAGTAATCACAGAGTAAAGTAAAGAGAAGCCAAAACAATCTCGGATTACTTTCGACAGTCAATTGAAAAGTTCTTTAAGATCAATTCTTGCCATTTATTTTTCAGAGGTTTACCTTTCGATTTTCGTGTAGAGGTGTTGATCTCTTTTCAAATGTTGATATGAGGTTTGATGGCGTAGAGCTGTGCTAATATGTGCAACGAAATTGGCACCAAATATGAAAAGCATGTGATTAGGTGAACTCATCTATTGTCGAAATTTGAAGACGTCTAAAAGCGAGATTTGGCGGTCATTCCTAAGTTTTTAAAAATCAGCATTAGCATCTTTTCCTTACAGGACTTGTTACTCTTTTAGAAAAGATAACAGGTCTTGTGAAGTAAAAATGTTTCTGGATGGCAGACTTTGCAATAACCTATTACTATTTTTTCTGTTTCTCAATTTGCGGGAACACCCTCGGGCTCTCTTTTAGGTAAGTCATTATTGCGTTATTTTAGAAAACTAGCGAGGAATTGAAAGGAACCATATTTAGCAGAAGTGAGTACTTAAAATTTTATTTGTGACTACAGCTTCTTGTTTTACAGAAAAAAATATTCAAAATAAAAATCTGCCAAAAAAAATATTAATAATCGTTTTTAACTCAACAAGGTTCATATGGCATTTCAACTGTGGGTTTAGTGGTTCAAGATCACAGGTCGGCCTTAATGTCTACAATATCATTTTCCTGGCATTTTAATAGCAATAGCGTTAGCCTGATCACTTTTTACCGCAAACAACGTTTTAGATGACTACACATTTCAGCTCGTAAATTGGTTTCACCCAAGGACATTATATTTAGCGAAGGATAACCCACGCGGTAATGAGTTTCCGCGCAGGTTGAGGATCGCGATTTTTATGAAAACACGAACTAAGAGTCACAGGAGAATATTAAGAAGAAATAACTTAAAGGCAGCATAAATATATTTTGAAACTGCCAAACTTTCAAAATGTCCGAAGAGAACCCAATGCGGGTAAGTCAATGTAGTGAATAGAGCTTTATTATATATTTAACCACTAAGGAAGTCAAACACGCCGACATTACCTTGCGTTTGAGTTTCAAATGCAAAGAAACTGTTAAAGTAGTTTTAAAATGTAAGATATATTTAATAAAAGGGACACGAAATACAGGATCCATAATCAGAATCAGGAAATAACATTTGTACATATACTTTGTCTTGACTTTTGCGTCTGGGAAAGTTTTCTTGATTGGATAAATAAAAGTGCTTGATATATTTATCATCTGGACTGCTCACAGATAACTTAACTTTACAAGTCCAACCCTTGTTAGCTGATATGCATCACAGCAAGGCTTAGAGGAGATTCGGATCCGTACCTCTCAGATTTACTGGTTGAGCGCTATCACAAACTGAACTATGAAGCAACATGTTGGGAAAGTAGCATATTTATCGTCTTCTTCAATTCCATAATTAAAGGAATTTGAAAATGATTGAATGAAATAAGTTACGTTTGACTCGCAGATGATAAACGCGTGAGGATGTAATCCTCGAAGGTCTCATAAGTTTGCCAAGTTCGTAACATCTCTCTCTCAAACTTTGAATTTTATTTTTACTGAAAGCTGGGGTATAAGGCGTTTCGGTTTTAACGTGTCGTGGGTATTTTGTTCAACTAGAGATATTTTGCTGGAAAAAGATATGTGCGATAGATGAAGACACTCAAAAATAGTACTGCGCGCGAAATCCCTAACTAGCCACAGCCCGGCAAAGTGATACTTAATTCTCGGTAGTGAAACGGCCGCCATTTTGTCTCTGTTATCTTATATGGAAACATTGCCAAAGCGAGCCGAGCGTATGCATTTATTTTACAACGTGTGCGGAACCTGTCACAATCAGAATGATATCCCGTCGTGGAAATGAGGCTTAGTTCGACAATTGTAATCTTCGCACTCATTTTGTTAAGTTAACGATAATTGTATTAGAAAAGCAATATTATGTATTGATGTAAATTGAATATGATGTACGTAGGTTATCAGTAGTATTTCTCTGTTACCCCACGATATATTGATAGATGGCAGACACATTTTGACATTCTGTCGTTTATTTTGGTCTGAAGTGCAAGCCTTCCGTTAATGAAAATTTCGCCGTCAAGTTCCTATTGTCACACGTACGAAAGCCAAGTAATTGGCAACCGAGGAAAGATTAAATAAGTCATGTGTTGATGTAAGAAATCACCTTGTAGCTAAAGAAACATTTAGTTCCGCTCATTGTCATCGACATGACAATTTTACCACGCAAGTCAAACTAAATTGAGCGTAGTTCTAAGCCTTGAGTATTTTGTTACAACATCTGCTCGGTAGTCAAATATAGGCTTCTCTCGTTTGCAAGGACCGTTTATTTATCGCAAACTAGAGTTGCTTTGGACGAAAACTGATATGTGTCTCTTTTTGTGCGCCGTCGATCTCTAAAGATATACGATTCCATTTTTTAAAAATCTTCAAAAAGATCAGCACTAGCGGAGACAGACATCATTTATCGCTGAGGGTAAATCGAACTTTATTCAAAGGTAGGAAAAGCTTTACTTTACATGAACAATGCGGCGGTTTTCAAGACGTCGACTTGGCCAGAGAAAAATATTACTAATTCTCCAAAGCGGTTACGCTGTTATTATTCTGAAGAAGCAGAATATTAAGAATTACTTTAGCACAAATAGACAGCTCTTTGATCTGAATCATCACATAATCAAATGTATCTCCTCTATACACCTCATTCACTTAAAAAAATAGCACAGTAAGCGGAGCGTAATTTCACAACGATCTTTTGTCGTGTGGAAAAAAACTCACAGCTACCCACCGAAGACAAGATTCATATATCAACAATTTAAGGAGAGGAATCGGTTGGATCATCACAAGTTAACGCCTATTTCAGCAACATCCGGCCGACTGGAATAATAAGATTTCAAAGAGGCGTTTAAAATTAGAAACGCTTTTTGTTTTTTGAAAGAAAACAAGCCAGAGAGAAATAGAAATTGAAGGACAGGATCATGAAATAATAATAATAATATAATCAGCGTATAACACATACAGGTTGCAATACTACTGCAAAATTCACCTAAAAGTAAGACTATTACGTCAGTTAATCTGGATTTCTCGAAAGATAAAATAAAACTATTTCCGCTGCTGTCTTGTTGGACTAAGACGGTATGAGACGGAAATTTGAATAATGATGATATATTACCCAATTAGGTACAAAACGAATTCATAGATACATAAGCTTTGATCTAATTTTTTCTTTGAGGACGTCAATATCTCTAAGTTTAGAATTGTATTGCCTTTGCTATCATAACATAATTTTTCAGATATCCAATTTGATTATTGTTCCCCAGGTGATGAATTGCCTTTGTTGTTAACAAAATCAAATTACGACATTTAATTTTCCACAGAGACGAGACTTAGATAACTTTTAATTCCGCGAAATTGAAGACCTTGAGTTAATGTAAACGTTAATCTACGTCAAAATATTGCCAACTGTTAACAACGCTCGCGTATATATACTCTTATTTTATTTAAGAAGAATTTGAATGCATCATAACTTAGCTGTTTTATTGTCGTTACTGAATCGACGACGTCAAAGAATAGCCAGACTATTTCGAGAACGCCATCCTTTTTAGTCGGATGTGCAATATGATTATTGAATGCAATTTTTAACGTTCTGTCAAAACAGATGTTTTCAGTAATAATCTAGGTGTTTTGGCGACTGTTAACTCGGCCTTTACACCAATCATCAGCAAAGTTATTCGCCATACTGATCTCCGTACATCCCCTGAGGTGCTGAGAAGGAGCATTTGTGTAACAGTCAACAACTTCTTTAGCTGCTGATAATTTTCTTTATTCTCATGACCTTACTGCATGATTCAGGAGTGATATTGTGAGGAGAAATTAGGTGTTAGTCACTCTTAGAGATCGCATACATGTTCATATGACTTTTGTCATTACAAATTTAACCAATGAACAAGATCTCACACAGATATAATGGTAACGAGGCTATATTGAACATTTAAGAACCAAAATACAAAAGTGAGCCTTCCATTGCAAGGTTTATTCTAGAAATTGGCCCCAGTTGACCCCTTCTTTTAATTCTACTGAGCGCTTTTTCAAGAAAGGCTGCTTAGGAAAAAGGTTTCCCGAAAGGTGTTTGAATCTATTCAGGGTACAGGCTGGTCGGTCAGAAAACGAAGAAAAGAAAGGCATCTGAATCAATAGGCGGCTGAAAACCGCATCATAGTTTATGTAGCTGCTGTTATAACAGCCTTGTTGTCAGTAATTAATGTTTTCCAATTTTTTTTATTTCAAGAATATAGTATTTAAAAATGCTCTTAAACTTGGACACATCTTTTTGTGCTTCAAAGACGTAAATTTTACGCACCATTTTTTTTTTCGCATTGCGGAAGTCCTGCATAGCCACGCTCTTGAGTAAATTCTGCTTTGCACAAAATACATATTCCTGTCCTGATTATCATTATCATTCTTATAATTATTATTAGTCGCTCTCATCATGTACATTATTATCATCATCATTATTATTAGTCGTCGTAATCATCATTATTACTGTATTATAATAATAATTATCATTAGTCCTTATCATTATCATCATCATCACCATTATTATTATCATTATTATCATTATCGTCATCATCATCATTAGTATTATTATCATCATTATCATTTTGTCCTTCAAGGTGTCCCTTCTTCATAAACTGAAAGCATTTATCATTTTCTGAATAAGCATTGTAGGCCCTCAACCGAAAAATCCATTATTCTATTAGGAGTCATAATCTTTTGGAGTGGTCTTTGGCCCGAAGGCCCCTAACCGGTCCGTCCCAATCCTCATTAAACCTGTCTGAAAGCCCTAGGATTTAAGAAATCCGTTCGTGATGGCTTAACCGAAACATCTACTTTGTTTTGTTTGTAGCTTAAATAACACAACCTGTGAAGTAGAAGACAAACTCCGCGCTGAACAAAAAAACATGGCCAACAACGTGGAGGAAGCGAAAACTGGAGCGTCATTTAGTTCTATTGATTACGTTCAGCTCGTTATTTACCCCGTAATTCTTCTGTTTGGATCAATCGGCAACATTCTTGTAATGCTCGTAATATGGAACAAGAAAAGACATCGAAAAATCAACGACTATTTCATTCTCAATCTGGCGATTGGTGACTTTTGGATGGTCACGATTAGCACCTCCGTGGATTTCTATTTAAAGTTCCGTGAATTTCCATTCGGTGACTTGCTCTGCAAAGGAGTCTGGCCACTAATGACAATGTGCTTATTCGCAAGCGTGTTCACGCTAACATGCATGGCGATAGAACGCTGGCACACCATCGTGAAACCGCTGGCTCCAAGGCTCACAGTCACCAAAGTTCTATGGGTCCTACTTTTTACCTGGATCGCAGGACTTGGGTGTGTCTCGCCTCTGACGGTAGTTGCCCACCAGAGAGGACGCAGTTGCACAGAAACCTGGCCTAGTTTCGCTATGCGACAAGCGTATACAGTTGCAGTTGTTTCGTTACAATATGCCCTCCCCCTGTTTATTATAACAATCGCTTACGCGAGAATCGGTATTTTCTTAAAGCGCCGCACCAGGCTAAAAATTTCAGACTCCAGCAAGCGCTCGGCTGCAGTGCTTCGTAGACAAGCAAACAACGCTAAAATCAACAAGAACCTGCGCACAATCGTGACCCTATTTGCCATTTTTATGTTGCCCAAACAAGTGTTGTGGCTCTGGTTAGACTTCGGCAAAGGCGGAGATTTTGAGCACTTTGGTGACGCCCTGATTTTCAGTGAGTTTATGCTGTATATTCACAGTTCTACCAATCCAGTTGTGTACGGTACTATTTTGCAAGAATATCGTTCAGGGATTTGCCATTACCTGAAGCGCATATTTCCTTTTTTGAGATCCAGTTGTACCAATAGCATTCAAGTTCATCCCGAGCTTAAATTGGAGAGTAATAATAACAGTAATTCCATGACTCTGACAAACCGAAAGTTATTCCACCAACCAGAGAGCGTAAAGGAGATCGCCTGAAAACAGCTGTTTCTCTTGGGGATAAAAGATACATAATCAGTTGTGTAATCGAATCATCGAGGGTTGAGGACGGCTTTTTAAAGAACACTATAGATATTTTTTCAGGGTGTCTGCTTTCGAATGACAAATGTTATCTCATCTATTTCATGTAGATTCATGTCTTTTAACAAGACGCGCAATTCAAAATTAAATGGATTTTTTTCATATAATTTGTTTAGATCGTTGATAAATCAGTAGTAGCTGAATAGTTTTAAATTTTCATTCTGCTCTGTCTTTGAGTTTTCAATGTTAAGCTTTTCAAATTTACGTTTTTATGGTAAAAAACATTAATGATAAAAAATCTCTAGATTTGCATGGTTTCAACAAACGAAGGCAGTGTTCATGTATCTGTTAAAGACCACTCTCACTCGCAGAGTCACTTGATAAAAAGGAGTGGCTCTGGGGACAAAAGTGTGATAAGACTTGTTCACCTTTCCCCACCTCACTTACCTCAACCAGGAATGGAAGTGGAATCATGAAACAAATTATAGCGGTAGAGTTATTAAAACTTCGTTTTTATGAATTAGTAGATATTGATAAAAATGAATTATTGATATCGAAAAAAAAAGTATTAAAGAATTATGAATCATTCTATTGGGCTAGGAAGAGCGGGCAGGGTTCACGAATCCCAAACATGATGTACCGCTTCCATCCTCGAAATTCAGACCCTCGCTCTGTTGACGATCACAAATTCTAAAAATTTTTTTATTGACCCAGTCTTATCGATATCAATTGTCCAAAACTTTTTCACGTACTCAAATAAGCATGAAAGTCGAAGTGAGTTGACTTCAGGTCCTTTCAAAGTCTTAAAGTCCCGAAGAAGCGAACATGAACGAGAATGCACTGGTACGGAATTGTGGAATATTTCCCATAAATCAGCGCTGCATGCTTTCAAGATGGCCGCCAAACAAGTTGCCCAGTCTGCGGGAAAAACTGTATTTAAACCGCTTCTTTCGACGAGCCATGCTGAAGCTAGACGAAGGGTATTAAATCTGTATAGAGCCTGGTGGAGAGAGGTACTAACATACCGTTTAATATGGTCTTACGGCTGGATTTATAGCATAAAAGCTTTGAATGTTATGCGCTAGATCGGAGATCATTTCGGCGTTCATATGAGTTTTCAATATACTGTAATACGAGGTCAACATTCTCTAGAATGTTTTCCAAATGAATGGACTACAGTAGTTATGGAGAAATCTGTACAGTTTTCACTCGTGTAGTTATGAAATGTGAATTAACTCTACGAAATTCAAATTAGAGTGAAATTCTGATGTGTTTTTCCTTCATGAGCGAGGCTCGGCCAAAGGTTCTCTGGGATCCAATATAGTCAGGTACTCGGTATTCCCTTATCTCAATACGGATATAAGTCATGCTGTATTTCGTTAAGTTTTGGAGGGAAGTTGACAAAAATTTTGTACATTTTCAGCTCAAATTTAGGTATTTTAAAGGTTCCGCAATTTCAAGGTATATTCTATAGTGGGTAATGTATGATTGAATTTGCCAAACTCATATCTGTTTTTCCACAAAACTGGTGATTTAGCCCTCTTTTTAAACTTTCTTCTGTGTATTCCACATATCTTCTAAATGTATCTTTTGAAATGTAGGTTGACTGAAAGCTAAAATCGTCATGTGTTTGTAGTTTTCATGTTTCAATTTTCACATCTACATATTTAATTACACTACCAGCTTTGTGCTCGAGTTTTTTGTATTACTTTACAAAGGGTGCTTTGGGGAGGGTTTTTGTGGAACTTTGATTTTAAATGCTCAAATTTTTCATTATTCTGAAATTGATACTTCAAAATAAAAGCTTTTAAGAGCCCCTAAACCACCCCCCCCCCCCTTATTCCTACCACCAACAGATAGATCTTGCCAAAAAGAAAAGGTTTGCCTCTCTTCAGAGCACAATTTTTTACTGGATCAAATTTTTAAAGTTCAAAGAAGAAAAACAAGCTCACTGTTTGCATTAATCTGGCAACAGAATTTATCTCTTGTGTAACTGTAGCACCAAGGGAATTTTTAGGAAGTTTAGTCATTGTGGTAACATTTTGCTTGATGCTTTAGCCATATCATTATGCCCAAAATTATGCCATCATAATTGTACTTACCTTAGCTTTGGTTATTTTTATTTTTAACATTGACAGGTTCCCCACTCCATTGAGGCCTATCAGTTAGAAATCTCTACTAAGACTGGCCGTGCCAAGGTGCGAGAAGAATTCATGAAGAATGCCCATGTTCGGGATATCAGAGTGATTGACATGCTGGTAATCAAAGTAAGTTTAGGGAAGGTTTTGCCTTTGCATGGATTTGTTTTATAATAGTTGCCATTTGATGTGAAAATTGTCACAACATTTGATGCCATGCCCCCATACTAATTTGATAAACCTGACTTTCATGATTTTTTTCAAAAATATCAATGGATAAATTTTGTGATTTGAATCACCTATTTTTCCAACCACCAATTCGCAATACATGAGAAATTTGATCTTGAGGAGTCATTATGTGAAGTTATTTCAGGGCTATCACACACTGTTGTTAATCTTAGAAGGTGATATGTATCCTTTATAATCTTAACTTTGAAATTCAGTCTACTGTTAGTAGGAGATTTTGAATATGTAATTTCTTTTTCTCTGTTTAATAAGTAGAAAATTTTAATGAAAAATTTGAGCCATTACAAACTAAATTTCTAGTGTGTTTTTGGTATTTTTATTTAATGTAAGTTTCTCTACATGTCTGTAAGAATCTGAGTGATAATTTAATAGGAGAACATCTGTAGAAATTACCACACTTACCTTTATTTTTTTACAGGGTAAAATGGAACTTGAAGAAACTCACAAGTTGTGGAAGCAGGCAACACATGTCATGCGTTATTTCAAGGAAACACAAGAACCTAGAAAAACAGAGTTCATGGAAAGATTCTTTGATGGATATGACTAGAAATTAACTATCTTACATGTTTGTTGTAAAGAAGAATCTACATGGTTTAAATTTAATAATTTTTCTTTCTTTAAAACTTAGGATGAATTTGTATGCTACATCCTTTGTTTGGTGTGTGGGAAGGCTTGGCTGATTTACTGAGCAATGTAAATAAATTTGTGTGTATCTGAATTCCAGAATAAAATTTTTCTCCCAGTTTTCCAGTTCAATGAATTTTCCAATGATTTGGTTTACTTGTTTGTTATGCTTCATCCCTCCCCTTTTAACAAAAGCAGCAATTTTTCTTATGCTTTCCTGCTGTGTTTTTCACAACACAATTAACCCTTTGACTCCTAAGAGTGATCGGAATGTAATTTCTCTTATCACCCCTGAATCACACATTTAGGTCAAGACAATCAAGAAGATGATCACCAACCAATGAAGCTTGGATTGTTCAACAAATCTTTCCTTGTCAGCACCTTGGTAGATGTATAGAGAACAGTGTAAAGGATATGCATACTGTTGTTAGGGTGTAGATGGTTAATTTAATCCGAGGTGGTATTATTTCTTATTATGATAATTTTGTGCTAAGTAGCTCGGCTTGTAGGCGAATAAATACGGTAGATTCTTACGTTTGCGAACGGCTGCAGTGTTCGTTTCACTTCCTTCGATGTTAATTTCTGTGTAAAGATTAGAGCACATGTCAAGTTTTGCTTTTCTTCAGGAAAAATCAAAACGAAATTACTACTTTTAACTCCGAATCAGCGGTGATTGCCTCATTTCCCCATCACAAAACAGCCCCTGATCTCTCACCAACTTCCTAACCCACCCCTCCTAAAATGTATGCCTCAGTCAAACAACGCATTTGAACGACGCCATTTCTTGATGCTTTTGAGAACTGTAAGTGGTTAGTTACTGCGTAATATCATATACGTATTTCTTTGTTCAATTTACCGTAGTAACATAAGCCAAGGTTCAAATTTAATTACTTTTACCTATCAAGATTTACGCTTTTGGAGACCTGAGAAGTATGCGAACATAGCGCCCTACCGACGTGTTAATTTCTTTCCGAAGAGCTTTTGTCTTCGAATCACTTTAATTGAATGTGATATTGAATGCACCTTTTAATGAAATTATCTGTAAAAGAGTTTAGAAGGAACTGTCTAATTGGAACATGAATATTGATGATTCGCAGCTTTGTTCTTTTCATGCATAATTTCGTTGCGAAGTAAACGGGGAAATTAGTTGACATCGAATCGAACGCGCGGCTCTTTCGTACTCAAAACATTCGTATCGAATACGCGTTGATTGCCTCTGCAAGCCAATTTGACGGAGTTTCGGTCGATTCTTTGGAGAAACGCAGAACAGTTTAAACCTGGTAAGTAGTTTTCTGTTTAATTATTGATGCCTGATCGTTTTGATTTCAATATCCCCACCTTCGATTTGAAGTTATCTCTTATCAAATAAACCTCGGTTGGTTTTCGAAAATATTTGATGGTGTTTCATGTACTCTGCTTGGAAACCTTAAATGGTTCAGCTGTGATGCATAGAAGCTTGTTCAGTTTGTCGTTTTTATATTATTCTCTGTTAATGCGTTATTGAATGTTATTGTTGTGAAAGTGTATGTTGGCAAACGAGAAATTTGTTTACATTAGTTGACGTTCATCTTTCTCGTGATTCCCGAAATTAATTTTCACCAACCGAAACTTTTTTACTTATACTAGCTTATTCCACGTGCATACAACTGTATCGTAGAAAGTTATGCGACACACCTCGAAATGTTTTTTTTTTTTTTTTAGTTTATCAATATTAATTGCCGTTCAGGTCTCATTTACTCAATCAAGAGCCATTATCTCACCTCTCAAAGCTTGCCTGTGTCAAACCTCTCGATACCTCTGTAGTATATTGATACAATGTTTAAGTGATGCTGGTTTTAAATCTTTGGGTAAAGATTTTCTCACAAATTTATACCTTTAAGACAAGACAAATTATATGTATTAAATGTACATGGTAAAGCAGTACTTGTCGACAATATGGTTGCCATAGGTTTGTGTAAACAGTCTGTTATTATGTCTGTCTATATTTAAAATAATATGGGGTGAGATGGAAATCTTAACTAAATTTAGGCATGTGCCATACAACTTTTATTTAACTTCATGGTATGCCACTTTTTTGTTTAAAGCATTCATTACTTTCAACCTCACTATTATAGACTTTGTTGTGGCTAGTTGACTTTTGGCCAAATTTCAAACCCTGTGTTGGAGTGCCTGCACAAAAATTTTCCTTTTCACATGTGCATCAAATATTACATTAGCATGGTTTGCATGACCTGATAGCTTAATTGCTATTCTTTGTGCCTCTAAATTGATTATAATGTTTGCTAATTAATGGAAAACACAGATCAGCAACAACTACTTGCCTTTTGCTGAATTTCTTTTCCATAGGAGAAAAACCCAAACCATCGCAGCCCAATAATTGACACATTTTTTGACATAAGTAAAACATCAATAATTAAAAGTCAAATTAGCACAAGAGAAGAAAAGTCCATATGAATGATTAAAAATAAGATGCATTGGAGATGCAATTGTGCCAAATTTTTAGGACAGCACAAAACATTTCTAACGTTCTAAAAATAATGGAACATCTTGGAAATTGTTTGGTTTCTTGAAGTGATTGCTCTTGTAGAATGAAAATCTCAAATTATAACTCAAAAGAGGTCACTGTGGTAAATTAAGTTCCCTCATCTCTCTAAAATATCTCACCTGCCCAGTCAATTTGACTTAAGAAGGCTATCATCCAACAGAACTTTACACTGCCTTGTCAGAATAAAAGACTATTTGTCCATGCAAGAAACAATTGAATAATTAACTAGCATAGTGGTAATTCGAACCACATACTATTCTTGACTACAACCACTATTTAACATATAACTCCAGCAATATCCAAAAGAGTGAATTCTAATTTCCATTTTCCATAGATATCAAATGATTTGCTTTCACCCAAATAAGCATGGATGGGACTATACACTACAATGAGCCAGCTGACTGAGATGCATGTACAAATCACTGATGGTCTGTCTGTTGGGGATCAGGAGAGTGACTGTGATGATGACGACAGGCGGGAATTGATCAGTCATTATGCCAATGACAAGTACCTCAGTAAATGGGAAGTGGCTGAAGAGGAAGAAGAGATTGAAGAGGAAACAGAAAAGTTGGATGAGAAAGAGCCAAGTATAGAAAACTCAGAGTAAGTTTTTGTGTTTGTTGATTGTGGCATTTTTAATCCTTTACACCCTAACATCAGTGTTTTTATTCTCCATACTGTTGTTTATACATTTCTTAAGGGGCTGGCAAGGAGAATTTGTTTAACAATCGAGAGGTTCTGTAGTTGCTGATCATTTCCTTTATTCTCGTAACCTTAATGAGTGATACAGGGGTGATACTGTGAGGAGAAAATAATTTCTGCTCTTTCTTAGGGATTAGAGGGTTAACCCTTCAAGTCTTTTTAACTCCTTCAATCTGTAAATTGACATATAAATTCTCCCCACTGTAGTCTTCAATATTTTGGTTTTCTTTTTGTGTAATTGTTATAATTTGTATCATGGATACTGGCTCAAATTCTTTGTGAATGAGTTGCAAAATGACCCATTCTAGAAACAACTGTAGGTGTAACAAGGTACAAAAAAATGGTTACATTTTCAATAAAGGGTAAAATTTTGTAATTGTTAAGGGAGTCATAAAGCTTGGCATAGCTTAGCTCTAAATCAAGATCATGAGAGTGAGATGTGGACAGTTTTTATCCTGGCTTAAAACATATCATTCTTAACCTTTCAACACAGTTCCAATTGATTGGCACATGTAGTGAATGGTAGTCACCACTATCTGTGTTCCACAGATCGTCAATTGTAGTTGAGTAAATTGTCATCTCTTCCCTTTTTTGCTAGGAAGAAAGAGGCAGCCGGAGACAAAACTGTCCAACGTTTAGTGACAGCCAGTGACTGTGATGATCTCTCTCTTGTGTCATACAACAGTGTTAGGGACTGTAACCCATCAGCTGCTCCAAAGACAGCCCCCAAATCAGTACATCATCACCTAGGACTGCTGTCTGAGTCCACTGGTGACGGATTGAAGGTATGTCCTAACAGACCAACTTCAAGTAGATTTATGCCACAGGCTATTTTGTATGGATCCATCTATTAAAATCTGAGTGGTTTGATGGTTTTAACTGTTATTGCTATTATTTTTATTATTTTTGTTTATCATTATTATTATTGATATTGACATCATTATTATTTGTATTAATTTTATTATTGTTGTTATTATTATTGTTGTTGTTATCATTATTATTTTGTAAATATTGACTTTTAGACTATTTATCACTCACAAGTATTTGAAAGATTAAATTCTAAATACTTGCTGTTTATTTTGATAATTTTACCTGTGAACTCCTATTTTGCTTCAGCTATGCAAGTTCTTCAGAGTTAATAAACATTTTTGTACATAAGACACAACTTGTTTTCATTCCATATCCATGGGTAAATATTCTGACTGAGTTGTGAATAAAGCATTATTATTATCATTATTACTATTATTATCATTATTATTATTACTACTCTAGTAGTATGGAACTTCTCTTTCAGGATGTCCACCTCCACTAAGGGTACACAATTTCTTGTGTTAAGGGTGTCCCAAGTGGTCTTAGTTTTCATTGTAATACGCCAAAAGATGTCGAAGCCTTGTTCAGATCGTGTGTATAGAGATACATTCGAGTTGTTAATGTGGTTGTGGGTTTCTCTTCACAGCTTTGGCAAGGTTACGGAGGAAACATTTATTTTAATGCCGTCCGTTGTCAATCAATGCGGATCAACAGTGCCAAGTATGGAAAACTGAAAAAAGACTTTACAAAAAGATGGAAATCTAAATCTTGCACCCCATTGAACAGAAAAGATGGTTATCAGACACAATTATTGAGTTCAGCCAAATCAGATATGGACATAGCGATACCCTCCAGCAGCAATTTAGGCAGTCTACGTATGAGGTCTTGTAAGGAGAAGAAATGCAAGACAGCCACGTGTAGACACAGCGAAATTCCTAAACCTCTAACCGGGAAGATATGTAAGGGGTTCAGTGAAAAACTTTTAACTGAAACGTTTAAGCGGCTACAGGAAGATGGTGGTTATGGACTGAAAGGGGAATCTTTATCCGTATCTGGGGGACAAGTTGGCGATGCACTGATCGATCCTATAGATAAAGTGAGGCAATTTAATACTCAGTTGAAAGGTAGAGACATTGCAGTGAGTTTGGAGAGAGGCTTCCCTACCTTACTCTCAGATAGTTCATTTTTCTCACACAGTGACCACAGAAGTTCAACTGTGGTCACTGCCAACGCAGACCCATTTGTGAAGCTTCCTGTTCTTGGGAACACTGACGGGAAACACGGAAATAGCAAAACCGAGAATGGAAGCTCAAGTGAGAACAATTCGAACGAGCCGAGGCCTGTGTTCATTATTCCATTTGGTGCATTTGATGATCCTGTAGACAGTGAACCTGAATTAAAACGAAAAGCAGATAGAAGAGAGAAGCCTTTATCTAAGAGCCTTACAGATCGAAATAACAATTCGCCAGGGTCTTTAAAAGAGGCGAAAAATTCTCTGGAAAAACTGGACGATTCTGTTATAACAGAATGCCTCGTAGATAAAGTTGCAGACGGCAGTGCCTATAGTCAAGAAAACGATCAAAATTCAGTCAAGTATTCAGTAGCATCCTCTGGTGTTGTCAAGGATGAAAAGGCGTCATGTAGCCCTCGATCAGCCAAACAAACTGTACCCGACTTTCATCTAAAGAGAGAAATAAGCAACCTTTCTCTGAGTAATTATCTGAAGGCTGTACCCACACGAAGTTCACAGGAACAGGATAGTCTGACATCTCCCAGGTCAAATCTGATGCCAAAGATTAGCTACACCAAACGATCGCGAGCCTTGCCGACATTTTACATGGTGAACAATTCCTTGCATCAAGTAAATCACACTGGATTCAATTCACCGCGGGCGAATACCTCTCAGGTATATGGTGGATATTTTCCGACAACAGGCCGAAATGAATCGAAAGTGTTTTACGCAGAGATCAGCACCAGTTCAGAGAAGAACTCCTCGCCAAGTGGTGATGATAAAATGCAAGGATTCTTGAGAAGAACGAGAAGCACAAGCCCCAAGAAAGTTCTTTCAAACTCTCGCATTCCGTTTTTGAAGACCAATTACCTATCCAGAAAGTCACTCTCACGAAAAAGTGTGGAACGATCGCCAAGAGCTCAAAACTCACTAAAATCTGACCAGAGTTTATTGCACGTACCTGTTACAGGACACCAATTTTCGAGGTTGAGTGGAGTCAGTGATAGATAATTATTTTGCCCTCTGGTGCGGTGAAAATGAGACGGGGTCAAACGTTTGCGCATGTGTGAGCGTTGAAACGGCTTAGAGTCTCCAAAAATGGTCTTCCTACATCGTGCTCACAGGCTGTCAAAAACCAGGTCTCACTAGAATTTGAAATAGCTTAAGTTTTTTCTCCAAAAATTTTATTTCCCTATAAAGATTTCTTAACAGTGAATGGTTTGGAGACTTCTGCGAAATTTTAGCTTTCGTGAATTTTGTGGGGCACCGGTTGGTTTTATGGAGGTCTTCGTATAGAATTTGCGCGGGAAATTGGTGCGCTCCTGGCAGTGATTTTTTGCGCATGCCCACCGTTTGACCGCTGCCTCGACAGTAGACCTAGACAGGCTGTAATCAGGCAATCAGTGGCAATATGCAGGTTTGGAAAGAGTTTTCAAGGCTGTGTTTACGCTTGCAAGTTTTCCTCGGCAAGTGCTGTTATCGGACTCCTCAGGTTTTCAACAAAAACTGAGATTTGCCAAGAGAAAAAGTTAGAAATTTGTTAGTGACGTGAACGACATGAAGATGACGTGACATGACTTGAAGATAACGTGACGTGATAAAGACGTGAAGTGAAGACGACACTGAAAAATCTGCAGTAGTTTTAAGTGGAATTCTACTCTAACAAATGTTCCTGAACCAGTGTCTTATCGAGACCGTTGAATAGACCATGTATTAGCGTGACTGTTTAGATCTTTTATATCCAGCACTTCCTTTAAGATCAGAATTTAAAGAGTAAATAATATAAATAATAGCTTAATATGATCGATGAAACCCCATAGGGGCTTATGAATTGATATAGTGTTAATATATGTGTTCCCATACTTTTGATACGAGCATGAACGGTGTACCAAGAATTGTGAAAGAGTGGTACGATGATGAATATCGTGACTTACCTACCCATTTAATATCTAGGGGTGCTTTAATTATACGAAAGATGTGTTTGTTGTTAATTGTGGTTGTATTGCTGTGTGAATGTTCAAATATCATGATCACCAACAGGTGGCAGTATTTCGCCTTCTTTTCGGCTAGTCTCGAAAGACACCGAAGACCAACAGTGTAGCAGTCGAAACGTCGCCATTTCCAATCGATATTGCCTGTAGGTTGCGAAACAAACGACCCATTACCCATCTATTTTATTATTCTTCAACATTGTTGTGAGCGTGTCTGCGCCTTTACCCTTACGGTAACTAAATTTAAGTGCTTAAACATTTACAATGGGTGCCGTAAAAAATTCAGGCACTTGTGATTCGTTTCACGTCATGAACAATTTTTAATAAAGCAGAACTGAAATGTTTCCCTTGTATTTTCAATTTAGTGGCTGCTCTGATAACATTTTGAAATAGAGAAAGAAAGAAATGCGTAGCTGGCATGCCTGTCATCATCCGCTTGGCGAGCTGCCAATCTTTTCTTAATTTCCTCTATATTCGCATGTCTTAACAAAATTCCCGGCCATAGACTACACTTAGCACGTTGAAAAGTAGACTTTATTGAAATAAGCGTACGTTGCAAAGGAGCATAACTAATTCATGCATAACATCTGCTTTTCTTTTATCACAATTTAGAGACGCATACAATAATTGAAGACAAGCGCGTGTGTTCTGTCGAACTTCGTAATAAGACCATCGCACTTAGTGGTAAAACTTGCTATCGCATTTCTCAGTACCTTGCAGCAACACTTACCACACTATGTAGAGTGCAACATGTGTTGTTACAAAATGCCATAGCGTACTTTAACAAAATGTGCGATGATCTGTCATAACAAAGAGAGACAGCTTTCTTATTACAAAGTGCGACAGGTATTTTATAGTGCGACGATCATTCCAAAATGCGAGAGAACACACGTTTTCCTAAATACATCCCTGTTCTCAAAGTAAAACGGACCGATATTTTGGAGATTTTACTAACAAAACATATATTCGTCTCAGTTTCTAAGATCCAAATTCATGAAAATTTGTGACATAAAATTGTGTTTATATTTCTTTTTTAAAAAACTTCTTGTAGTGGATAAAAAGGTAAAGAAAAGCGCGGACTGTTAGATTCATCCTTGCTTCGAAATATACCTGACCGTTTTTACTTATCGTATGTGTTGCGCAAGCAGTTTGGAAGAAGCCAATGTCTTTCAACTTTCTAGCATAAACATCTGGCTTTCTCTTGAACAAATTTGAAATAACTTAAAGATGACAGACAACCTGCTGCTTTCTTAATTTCCAGCTTGTTCGCAAAATAAAATTAATTTATCTATTTGAACGTCTACCGATGAAGACGAAAAATCCATTTTCGTCCATTAGCGTATATATATATTCTAACCTTACACTGAAACACGAAACAATTCGTTGCGTGTCATTTGCGGGGGTAAAAGAGGAGCAACGTCTTATTGACAAAGGCAAGCTTCATCTTTTATTGACTAATTAAATGTCACTGCGCAGTAAGAACATGAAGAAGTGTTTACAAAATAAAAAAATACTGCGGAATTCTTTGTCCATTAACAGGTGAATATATAATTCGTAAAGAAAACTACCCGCCTCAATCACAAGAGAACCCGGAAAATTAAAGCTAGCTATTACATGAAGGCCTTAAATTAACCTGAGATAGTAAACTTCTATTCATTTGCAACCAGAAAGTGTTTGTACATAACCAGCCGATCCGCAGCAGCAAGATCAATGGCAAACATCAGCTCAGCTGGAGACGTAGCACAGCCACCGCTTGTAGGCATATTAGTATTTTTGGCTGCCCTAAACGTCTTTCTCTCCATCAGTTCAACTCTGGCCAATACTCTTATCCTAGTTGCCCTTCATAAAGTGTCGTCTATTTATCCACCAACGAAACTCTTCTTTCGATCTCTGGCGATCAGTGATCTTTGTGTTGGCCTAACTTCGCAACCGCTCTTTTGTGTAAGCCTTACGGGTAGAATAACAAACGTACGAAATAATCTATTCTACTACAGCGATCGATTAAATACTACTACAAGTTATGTTCTGTTGATGGTCTCTGTCTTGACATCAACTGCAATAAGTGTGGACAGACTTCTCGCGCTGTTGTTGAGGCTGAGGTACAGACAGACTGTGACATTGAAGCGCGTGCGAAAGATTGTAATTGGCATTTGGTTTATTTGTTGTGTATTAGGCGTATGGCGACACAGTTCATGGGGCGAAGAAGTTTCTCGGGTCACATTCATTGTTTTTCTTGTACTGTGTTTGATAATCTCTTTTCTCTCGTACATCAAGATCTATCTTCTCCTGCGCCATTATCAAGAGCAGCTGCAAAACCACTTTCAACAACCAAACAGACCAACAATTCCATTAAATATGGCAAGATATAAAAGGACGGTTTATGGCATAGCTTGGGTACAGTTGACATTGCTTGTTTGTTATCTCCCCTTCTGTGTTGTGCTCATGTTATTTTCATACGGCAAAATACCTGAAAGTGCATCGGGGATGGCTTTTCTTCGTTTCGCAATTACAATTGTTTACCTAAACTCATCTCTGAACCCGATCCTTTACTGCTGGAGGATTGTAGAGGTGAAGGAAGCTGCAAAAGATACGATCAGATCATTAAACTGTTTTAAGTCCAACTAGCTAGGCGTTCTCTTTTTTAGTATTGACCTGTGATTGGAGAACGGAGAAACTGTGCGAAATAATGACCTTGGACGAATCGGAAACGAAAGCCGGAATGTGCTCAACAGTTCGAGTCATTAATTTAAAGGTGTGATTCTCCAACTGTAAATGTTACGCGGTCCCCAATTTGGATAAACGGTGCCCGCCGGCCGACTTGACAATATCTCTTCTCAGTACTTCTTCTCATCCATTTCATCGTTTCATGAAGTGATTCACTGGCGCTTTTCCCGCGAACCAGATGGTCATAGAATTGCTTTATGAATTGCAATATTGCTTTGGCGTCGACGGACCACACAGAAGCCAACACAGATCGTGTGCCATATCCCAAAAAGGTTCGAGTGATTCCGAAAACTCGTTTGGCTTTAATTTTCCCAAAGTACCACCAGCTTAGCTCGCAACTGGACCTTTGACACATCGTCCATAGTCAGTATGAAATCATCCCTTTTCAGAGATTTTATTCGCATAACGGATAGGTGCTAAGCATATCTCACCTCTGACTGCATCACCATGCGCGGCAAAGCGGATTAAACTTATTTTGTTCAACTCCTTCTGCACAGCGTGCTTGGTATCATGTTCACCAAGCAAGATTCTCGAGGGCTCAAGTTCTAGTAGCTTGCCAATCATCTCTGCTTCCATTCTCGCACATGGTAGTTCAGATATATATTTTTCTATTTATATATATATTTTTTTTCGTTCAACAAAACTACTCCAACATCGATATCTCCCACAATCAGAGCATCCTTCCCACAGTGATAATCCATTGGGCTGTCGTGGATTAACTTGAGGGTAGTCAAGGATGGAACCAGCCTGACTGCATACTGATCTCTCTAACAGATAATTTCCATTCTCGTCCTTCATAGCTTGAAACGGTACCCTGTGCAACTCTCCCTCGGGAAATACGATGATTTTGGAACCCTCAAGAAGATTATCAAAAGGCCCAATTATATTGTCGTACCTCAGCCTTAAGGCTCTCTTGCATGAACTATCGAGCGGAGCCTTATCATCATCATCATCATCCTCTTCTTCCACCTCGAAAGGGCGTGCAGGATCTTCCCGTGATTGTGATTGAGAACACTTTTGGCCCGCCTCAAAGATAAAAAACGATCTGTCTTCATAGGAACTACTTCATCCAAATTTGTACTGTGCATATGTTGCATTATATTAGCCAAAGACTCAAACATGTGATCAATATTCTCAGCTTTAAGACGTTGAGGAACTGCATCCATGACTTCTCTTGACACCTTCTCAAATTTAATGCTCTGGTTTGGTTTCACGACCCGAAGGAAAAGCTCGTTCACATGGTAGACGATGTACAGAACGACGCGGTCTTCCTTCAATAACAGTGTTTCAATGTCGCTGACTTTCAGTTTTTCGCCCGGGTTAGCTCCTTGAATGAAGTATTGTTTTGACATTAAATCTGCAAGTTCTCTAGCACGCTAAGCTCGTCAGTATACATAGCTTTGTTCACATCCTCTTCTGACTGGCACATAAAGCAAACAAGCAACTTGAAAGGAAAAATGTTATCGTTGCCGAAAGAGACTCTGAAGTGATCCTCTTTGATACTTGATACTGTTTGATTTCGTAGTAAGTTTTCGATTAATAAATTCGATGAATTAGGCATATGGAACACCTACCAATCGAAAGGTGTGATTTTAACGCTGCATTGTCATTACAATAAAGAACCCTATTAAAAAACTTCAACGGGTCTTAAACAGGACAGTAAGGACGATGAGTTTCACTCCCGTAAGTGACCAAGACAGATTTCTTCTATATATATATATATATATATATATATATATATACATACAATATCTTGCAGACAAGTGATGAGAATAAAGAAAAATATCAATTATGGAATTACTAATTGATCCGATACCAAATTTTCCAAATTAACATAGTGAGAATCATTTGGCAGACACTAAGGAGAATTACTAATGAGATCTTGAGTTAAAGGGTTAAAAAGGCTTTCATCTAACAGAACTTTACACTGCCTTGTCGGAGTAAGTGACTATTTGTCCATGCAAGAAACAACTGAATAATTAACTAGCATACTGGTAATTCCAACCACATACTATTCTACAACCACTGTTCAACATGTAACTCCAGCAATATCTAAAAGTTATAGTGAATTTTTATGTCCACTTTCCATAGATATCAAATGATTTGCCTCAGCCCGAATTAGCATGGATGGGACTATACTTTACAATTACCCAGCTGTCTGTGATGCATGTACAGATTGGTGATGGTCTGTCTGTTGGGGATCAGGAGAGTGACTGTGATGATGACGACAGGCGGGAATTGATCAGTCATTATGCCAATGACAAGTACCTCAATAA